AGGAATTGACAGCAATTTGCAGGTGAGACCTGGTTGAGATATGCGTGATTTCTACAATTTTATACGGATCATGAAGATTCATGAAGTGCTTAAGCAAATGGCCAGCACTTGCTATCTGCTCTGCATTCGCAGACTCCAAGCTCTCCCATGCCTGGCATGATTCAGCTTCAGCACACAATTTCGAACATTGTGGAATTATGATGACTTATGTGCCAGTGTGATCCATTGGTGGCACTCAGGACGTGTTGTACTGAAGGCAAAGCTGGCAGCGAAGCATACTGAAGTGCTACGAAGTGCTGAAACATGGCCAGCTGGCCAACTATGTCCAGTTTGCCGCAGGTCCAAGGCAGCCACTGCTCCTTAATCCACTTGAGGTTTTTCTCCGCAAAAATGGAGGATATCCCACACTGGCAATTTTGTATAGGGAAAATTGTAAGACCATGATAACCTGGGGGACTTGGGGGTCCAAATTTAACCCGTTTTTCACTGCGGTGTAACTAGGCTTCAAGCAGCCGTTGAAGCAAGCAAGACTGCCAAGGCAGTAATGAAGGCCTACATCATGGCACTCATCATGGCTCTGTTTGCAATACAGCAAGCAACTGGGCATAACTGGCTGGGTCTTGTGATAATCGGCAGTTTGTAATGGGTCAAATGAAAACACATGGAACACTTCACATGAATATTGTGGAGAAATGTGGAGAATATACATAAATGAATAATCATACAAATCATGAATTTGTGTTTCATGCACTGGAGCTCGTTGCACAAGACGTAAATGCAGGTTCTCACTCAGGGCCTGCAACCAAATCAGAATGCATCGTGAAGCTTGGACTGAGCTCACCTGCACAGGGCGGTGAGTGAATTGCTGAGCTGCTGGCAGGAAGGAAAGCAGTTGTTTGAAGTTGATTGAGCTGCTGGCAGTGCCGGAGCCAGCTAACTTGCCTACAGTGTACAAACATGAAGCAATCACTGCTTCAGCTGCGATTTCTTTCAGAACTGCTTTCTGAAGGTGAGCCCCAAACAGCAACTGGTCGCAAGGCAGCTGCCAAAGCAACCGCCCAGGCAGGTTCCTGCCTGACGGGAACTGCTGAAGGAAATGACAAATTGGATGTGATTGATTGTAATTGTATATAATTATATATATATTATAAACGTACCCATCAACCATCAAAATACCATCACCACCAAGGCTTTTGAGCATTGCTCACAGTGTCTGGGACCAGCACGGCAGATAATGGTGCTGAGATCAAGCCACCCATCGTTGCCTGGCTGTCGGTCTTCAATCAGAATCTGCCTCTCGAAAGGGCTACTTGAATATCGTGCTCGTATTCATTGCACATCCCTCTTCACTTCTACAAGTAAATATGGACAATTATGCAGGAATGCGACATGAACTAACATGTTTTACCCCGAAGATCCAGCGATAAAATGGCAAGTCAGCCACACTTTGTGAAACTTTGTCAAGCGACGAAACTCAAGCTGTGCTATGATGATAAACTCAATTGGGATTCCTTCCCAAATATCAAATCCAAAAGCAGGAGTTGACCAGTACAGCCTAAATCCAGCACGCTGTCTGTCGCAGCTACACTACTCTTGAGCCGAACAGAATTCGCGCAGTCAGCTTTTGACTTCTGAATTCCTGATCATTTTAAAATCAACATTTGATTAAATGAACTCCATGCAGGCTGAACACTCTTAAATAGGCAACGAGATCCTTTCGAAAAGCATCAGCAACAGCATCATCGCCACCAACACCAAAAACAAACAAAAACATTAAGGATTATTAAACATTATTAAACAACAATATAACGAAGCCAAAATCAGCTTTCACAGAGCTGCAGGTCGGGTGATGTGTGCCAAACCCGGCACATCTCGACACCAGTCAGAAACACATCAAGCCATGGCACCGTGGCGAATCTTCCCTAGAACAACTTGACGACATTTGACGACCAGTTCCAGTTGATGAACTAAGTCACCATAAGTCACCAAGATTCACTGAGTGTCTGACGGGAAAGAGAAAGCAGAGTCACTGCTAGATTGGAGCTCCAGAGGAGCTTGAGAGAACGATGGGCATTTGTTCAAAATGTTCAAAGTCTTGATTTATGCAACACACACATCATTAAAATTCATTAAACACATCCTGCACATTCTGGATTTGATTTCAAGTTTCCTGGCATCAAAGCTCACCTTCAGTCGTCCCCAATATTTTTTCGGATACTGTTGGTCGCAGAAAACAACATTCTGAGAGACCAACGAGCCGGGATGGTGACTTTGCATCTTTACAAGAAGGAGCAAAAGTTCGGCCCATCCAAGCTTTGCTGTTTCTAGTGGCTTGCAGTTGCTACGCTGTCGGCAGCAACTGCTTCCCTGTACAACAGAAGGGTAAATCAATGTAAATCAATTTAATTATCAGCCGCATCTCAGATCAAGGTCATCCATACTGCACTCACAAACAGCAGGAAAGCAGAGGTCACATGTGAGTGACTTAAGTCCAACATCTGTCGATCAGACTCCGGTTCAGACTCGGATTCAGACTTCGACTTGCATGCTGGAGTGGGCCAATCCACAAAGTTTTGAAGGTAGGCATTGGTCACATACTGCAGCATGGAGGTTGGCACTTTGATCACCTCGGGCACATGTTCAAAGACCACCCATAGCGTGTAGCGCGGAGGCTGAGAGGTGCCACCAGCTGCGTTGATGGGTCCTGTCACCAAGCCATGCCAAGGATAACGCACGGCACCCACGCAATCTCTGGTTGGCTCACCATTTGAGGCATTGATGGACCAAAGAGGGCCGTGCACATAGCCTGGTGGCAAGGGAAGGGTCATCTGGACATATTCGTTGTCGCGCTGATTCCAAAAGTATTTGTTGTTCTCTGGGATCTCTTCAGGTTTCTTAACAGTCTCAGTGCTGATGGTGTGTGGGAGCTGAACAATCATGCCTGTGTTGGGTGCTGCAGAGTACATGACCATATGCAGCTCACCAAAAGTCAAATTTCCCGGAGTGCCAGCGTGATTGTGGTACCCTCCATCAGTGCTATCAATCTGACTTTGAGTCCACCACTGATTGTAGTTCAAGCGAGCACCAGAGTGGTCTTGAAGCAAAATGCCTGCCAAATTCCAGAATTCCAGGCTCTCTGGAAATGCATCTGGAAAGTAAGTGGGAAATTTGGTCCACTTCATGGCATCTGAATGTGGTCCACGAATAGTGGTGGTGGGTGCTTGGTCCATGGCTGTGATTGGCACATTGAAGAGTTCCACTGGCACCACCATCAGGGCAAAGACAGCACCTTTCTCCCCGGCTTTGATGGCTGAAAGCCGATGGTCCAACTCCAAGCTTCGTTCGGTGTTGGGTGGGGTCACAACAAAAGTTTCCCAGTGACCTGATGGAGTCTGTACTCCGATCTGGTTTACATCCAACACACTTCCACGGATCAGTTTCATGAACGCATGTTCCGACTGGTTCACTGAGAGAGGATACAGCTCCCCAGGGGCCAGCTGGATGTACTTCCAGGACCACCCAGCGATGATCCATTCAGGTGACACAGCCACTGGACAGCTGGAAGGATCTGGCAACTGGACGATGATGTTGTTTTCTGGATGCCACTCTGGAACACCCGCAGGATAACAGGCGGGAAAACGGGTTTTGGAACTCACATCTTTGCACCAGTCATGGAGGTATCCTTCAGCTTGAAGGGAGACGTTCATGTTGCAGCTGATGCCGGCGTTCATTGTGGCATTCAGCTGTGGAACCGCTGCAATTGGAACCACCAAGGTGATCAACCACCGCATCATGTGAGACAGACTAGGCACCAAGGATGGTATCGCGACTGGAGCTCTTTACACTGAGCCAAACAAGTGATGAACATATCAGCGCATGTTACTTTTGTTGGAATGATTTCACGGGTTTCACGGAACAAGGAAACATGATGCTGCCAGGAACGACTGACACGCGGAGTCACAAAACATCACAAAACCATTCTCTTTTTTTTTTTGCGAGCTGTAGTCACAATGGTGGGCCGCTCAGATCTTGTGTTTCTTGTGTGTGGGTTCCACCACCAGCTCTTCCTCCTAATCAACCCCACATGTGAAGTCTGCTGTAAACCAAAGAAGATGGAAAATTACAAGAAAAAAACAAGTGTGAGTGAAAGCGCATATATATATATATATACACACTGTATACTCGAGTTATAAAGAGACATGTAAGAAAAGATATAAAGATAGACATAGAGAGCAGGAGAGATGGAGAAGGACGACGCAGGCGGAGGAGGAGGAGGAGGAGGAGCAAAGCAACACCAGAAGACCAAAACACCAGAACTCCAAACATCAGAACACCACAACACGCAAAACACGAAAACGCCAACGCCATAACACCACTAACACCAGAACACCACCAACACCAGAAAACCAGAACACCAAAACACCACGAAGCCAGAATGCCAAGACAGTAAAGCACCAAAACAACACCAGCACCAAAACACCAAAACACCAAAACACCAAAACACCACCAACACCAAAACACGGGAACACCAAGACTTAGATCTTCCAAAGACCAGAAAAAATTGACCGACTGCAAGCGACCTACTTTTTGTGTGTGACTTCCCACAAATTAAACGGTTTGGTCGTTTTGATTGAAAACAATTCGGGTTCTGGGACACGCTTAGGTGCTCTTACATTTTCTAGCGTGCCTTTGGAGATTATGGCATCCGCATCTTGTTTCGGTACATCTGTTACATTAATTGAGAATTTCTAATTGGCTCCCGGTCCGTTAAATTCCTGCCGTTTATGCAACGCGCTTTGAAACGGCGTGGTATGTGGGTATGTGGCTATAGACTATTTATGGGAATTGATGCTGTGGTGCGCAAGTACTTGTAGCCTTGACTTCACTGTGGCCCTTTCAGCCAAGTTCTGGCCAGGAATGACTTGAAGCCCCGACCTTGGTTCTGTAGGTTGACTGATCTCTGCGTGTAACTTTGCACAATCAATCCGAAGCCAACTGGCTCACCAAAAGGTAGATAGGGCCAGGTTTTTGGCCACATTAAACGAATCGATCGCGCTTACAAAAAAAGCCTTCAAGAATCCTACAAACGGTTGGTCATGAAGGTCATGGGTGTCAAGACTCATTTCAGAGATGGCTGCGCTGAAAAGCTTTGTTTTTCCTTTTTGATCATGTTTGTTTCTTTCAATATGCTCGAGAACAATTAAAATCCATGTGACCTACCGTAGTTTTTGGGATTCGTGGGCGCTTCAAGGCTTTTGTAGAAATTTCGAAGGAGTTTGTATGATTTTGTAGTCGTTTTGAAGGTTTTTGTAGGCGCGATCTTTTCATCCAAGATTACCAAATTCCTGTCCATCGCGACCATTTGGTGAGCCAGTGAGACTCTGATTGATTGTGCAAAGGTACATTGTGCAGAGATCAGTCAACTTAGTCAAGGTCGAGGCTTGAAGTCATTCTTGTGGAAGGCCAGATTGAAGTCAAGGCTACAGGAAGTACGCGTGCACCACCTGCTTTAATTCCCAAGTGAAATAATAAGTCTAGCGATGTCTAGCAACATACATACTGTGCCATTTCAGATAGCGTCGCATTAGCAGCGGGTTTCTACAAACCAGGCATGATCAACTCCATCAAACTGGGGATGTCGTCATCAGTCGAAGGGCGCTGAGGGCTTGCACTTTGAAGGGTTGCGAATGGATGGTTGGCTGGCTGGCTAAATGGATGGATAGGTGGGCTTTCGATGATCTTGCACCGTGACATAAGACCCGGGAATTCCCATAAAGTCCGGAAATTAATGGAGATGAGTGCCCGGTGGAATTTTAGTAGGTGGAGCCTTCTTGTAACGGACCAAAACGTGTAAAAGTTACAGTACCAAAACAATCCACAACACACAAAAATTGGTTGTTTCGGTCGAGAATCACTTTTTATGGGTGAGATCCGCGAAAAGTGGTCAACAACCTGGACCTAGTCATCCAAAATAAAGTAGCACGATGGAACATCTAGGGACACCAAAAACCCAAAACACCATAACACCACCAACGTCACGACACAACCAACGCTACAACACCAACCCCCAAATCACCACCAACACCGGAATACCACAACACCACAACACCGCACAGATTTTCGACTCATCCGCTCTAAGTGCCACACCTGCCAGGCGAAGTGCAATGGAGCAGTGGCACGTGCCACGCCTGCTACGCCACGTGTCACGCCTGCTACGGGAAGTGGCCGCGGCCCAGCGGCGACCAAACAAGCACACCTTTCCACTCATGCTGTCTAAGTGCAACACCATTGATACAAATCCTAACAGCATTGCTGACCCGACTGTACTTGCCACCTAAAATCCCATGCTGGGCTAGGCTCCAGGCTCAGGGCAGCGGCCGCAAAGAAACGGTTTGAGCTTCAAACTTCGGCACCGGAGCGGTGGAAATGCGACCGATGTCTGCCACACTGTGGGGCTGTCATTAAAGAAATCGACGGATTTCAGGAAGGATAAGGAAGCGTCACAACTCGGCCATCCTTGTGTGGGCGCCACAGCAGTGTTTTGTCTCGCGGAAACTTCGGCACGGTGGCAACACGTCGACGCTGCAGGAACTTCCAAACCAATCAGCAGAGCCCAAGCAGCACTGCAGAGGGATGCTGATAGGCAGGTGCAGCAATGCCACAGCCGGCGGAGAAGCAAAGCTAAGTGATCACCTTCGATCATAGAATATCATAGATAACTATATATAGGATCCGTGGGGCTGGTACAGGATGGTATAGGTTTACCAAACCCTCCCGATATTTATCACTCAAGCTAGGCCATTCTGGCTCGATCAATATCCCACATATTATGGATCCTAATGGGTATGATAAATGATAACCAAAATGTGCTCGGAAGGAAGGTCTGTGGGATTCATGATGTCACAATTCTGCCCAGGATTTGGAAGGCCGTTGAGGTGTCTACACAATTTCCCGGAATTTCAATATGTACCATGGTCAGTATGACTTTATGTATATTGTGGTAATATGTCTTCCATAGATTCTGGTCATGGATATCCTAGCAGGAATCCTTATACTGGTTATATAACATTATATAACTATAACCCTTAAAAATCAACTGGATGACTATTCTCTATGAATGGTTAATAACCAGGCATACATATACATATCATCAGCATGAACATGATTCAAAGCGATGAAAAACCATAAATACCACTAGCACGCTATATACATTGAGACGGTAAATACCATCGAGATCATCAATAATACCATGAATAACCAGAACTGAAATATCATTATCAAACTAGTTATACAATAATCTCAAATAACATTATCAAACTATGGAATAATCATAGATATCATTGATATCATCATGAAGCTATTCAGAAAAAACATTATCAAGCCATGGATGCTCATACACTCATCACATTTCCCACTGTCCTTCCCGGGGATCACTGGAACTTCGCCAGGAAAAGCCACTCCCGACTTGTGAAGCCCCAGCACAGCTGCTACAGCAAAAGCTCAAGCAATGGGAAAACGGATGATGGCGTCTTGAATTCAGGTTTGGCCAACAAAATTGTTAGAAACACTTGGAATTGAAATCTGCTGGTTCCTGGCGTTAAACTATTCAGGGATGGAGATCCAAACATCCCATGTGCAGTGAATCAACATGAATCAACCATAAATTAGCAATGCCAGGCTCGCTGCTGTTGGCCAAACACCCTGGGGTTTAAGCTACCTCGGATTCTGGTGCATCGTGGCACTTCGAGCATCTGTGGTGGACACTGTCGTCTCCACTGCGCTGGGCACACGTTCGGAACTCCAAAACGTCCGCCGTTTCACCAGCCTGCAGCAGTGCTCGGGCAACCTCAGCCCTTATTATATAGTAACCATAGCTCTTCCCATATTAGATGGTGATATATAATCCATAACAAACCTCACTTCAGCAACCCCACAAACTGCCCACACAGAATCGCCTCTCTCCACTCAATGGTTGGAAGAAATCGCAGCATTCCACGAGCCGCTTGCATGAGTGGACTCTCACGTTGTGTTTCTTTGGCAGTTCCCGAACCGCTCGTTCGATCTCGCTCTTGTAGTCGGCGCTGAAGATGATATCTCGACCCTTTAACTTCAACCTTGCGGCAGTGGAGGTGACGGATAGACATCAGGGTTGATGTTGACTCATCATGATTCTGTTTGATCATTCCTTGGGGGTTAGAGTCTTGCTGCACTTAGGCTTCTTGGACTCTTGGACGGCACATTTACAGCGATCGAAACCAAGTTTTGTAACCCTGCTCACATATACACAACATGTGTTGTCAAAACACCCAAAAGAGGGAACATAAGAAAGACTCTAAAGAAAACAACCAACGCAGTACAAGCATTTAGTCTACAACCGTGGGTAACCATGAACATTTATGGCGATTAACCAGTAAATTACTGTAAATTACTGTAAATTATAGATTAAGAACGACGAAAAAACACAACATGATGAATGCGGGCTATCCACAAATTTTCAAGTTGAGTGGCTGGCCATGTCGCACCAGACCCTCAACCGCCCGAACGTGGTCTGGCAGAAGAAAGAGCTTGGCCCCGCTTTTCATCTCAGCGGAACCGGACAAGCATTGACCTCAGGTCACCAAAAAACGCGGCCGTTTCATGCGGGCCATGGCAGGAGCCCCTCTTATGATGGTTCGAATCATGACATGTTCACGTGTTCCATAACACACCCAACATGTTTGGGTAATTATTAATTCCAATGTTGATATTTATTAACCCGGCGAGAGATCCCAAACAGTGTGGGGGGAGCGTGGGCAGTCGAAATGCACATCAACATGTCACAAGAGCCACTTTATACGGAAATTTACAGGAAAAATGCCAGATGGAGCACCCTGATCAAGCACCGGCCTTTACAGCTACCGTAAGAACCCCTCAGTCTGGACAAACTGGTTGGGGGGGAAAAATACAATATGGAATAAGTGGGAGTGATACCTGTTAGAGGCTACAAAACTACAACTTTCATCAACTTTCTAGGTTAAAAACAAAACAAAATGTGAAATGAATCATTCTTGCAACTTGATGTGAGCCATGGTCAAACCATGTTGTATGTAAGGTATGGTCATGGAACCCTTCCTATTGGATTCCATAACTTCACCACTTGGATGAGAATCCCGGCTCTTGGTGAGTAAGAACTAAGAACCAATAGCATCACCATAACAACCATTGATAGTGACCATTACAGTAAAACTTGCATACTTCATTTTTGTTAAATATTGTTAATTAATAACCAAACATATACCAAACATATTCAGCATGCCTCATGTTCTCTTTTTCGTGAAATAACCAGCCAGGTCGCATGTTTGTAGGCTGTCATTCGCTTGCAAAGCATGGTCCATTTCTCGTGGCATCCGAGAAAGCTGCATCATCCACAGGTCCGAAGACCACGGTTCATTCGGTTGCTTTCCAAAGACGACCACGTAAGGACCGGTACTTGAGCTACTAGAAACCAACAGGGTTGCAGCTGGATGGCTCATAGTAACTTCCACCACATCTTGATGTCTCTGATACTCTTTGACTGCCGCAACTTTTTTGGTAGCTGCAACATCCGGGGCTGAATATAGCAGCAATTCATCACCAGGATGGATATGACAAGCTTCAATCACCAGCCAAGTTGAACTCTTGATCACCAACACAGCATGATCAGCTGTGACTAAGAATTCGCCATCATCCCACAAAATTGAAATCAGCCTTTGCTTAGCACGAATTAACTTGCATGTTTTCACAGCCCCCGCGGTTAGGCGGGGGACAGGCCGTTTTTTGGCTCCTGGCAAGCGTCCTCCACCTCGGCATCCTCAGACTTCAAAGCCACCGAAGCCACCTGGGGAACCTCCTCACTGAGGGTGGCGGCGGTTTTGGGGCCCTCATCGGTCAAAATCCATGAGGAAGTGGTCAAGCAATGCTGGCTGTCGGCCAAACCCATGTTGGATGTCTTCAAGGTCTGCAGGGTTCCGCACTCTGACTCCTGTGCAACTGGGTGAGCATCCGGATCAATCTGCCGGACACCTTCAGCTTCTGAAGGGAAAGAAGAAGGAACTGCATAGCTCACGACTGGCACAGCACCGGCTTGCAACAGCCCACCACGTCGTTTCATCAAGCTCTTCTTCAAGCGCACTCTCAGCACTCCATTCTCCAAGTAAGACTCATCCTCACAAAGTTCGAAGGGACCATCTTCAAAGCGGAACTCCTTCTCCCAAATGCCTGATTGCTGACGAAAGGAAAAGCCTTCCACAATTGTCACGGATCCCTCATCAAACAACTTGGACTTCTCGATTTTGATAACGAAACGACCACCATCCTCTTCCCAATGAACCTGATCCGGTCTGACTCCTGGACACTCCACTACGATGGTGCGGAATATGTATTCCTCATCCTTGTCCTCATAGATTGCTGGCTCAGGGTTGAAAGACTTGTCATGGGAAACGACCTCACCCAAATCTGAGATGACTCCTTGCCGCTTCACCTCAAGCCTGTCGCACTTACTCTGGAAGAAGCCCACTCCACAATAGCGCTGACTCTGATCACCATCATCTTCTTCCGGAATGGTTTCAGGTTTACATGGACAGTACTCAACACCAGCGTCCACTGGAGATTTGAGAAAGAACCTTGGAATGAAATCATCCAACTTTTCCTTGATAAGCTTTGCCAACTCAATTCTCTCGGGCAACTTTTTGGCATGCTCTAAATGCTCCAACAAAAGCTTGAAATTGTGTTCGTTGAAGGCGGCTCCTGCTCGACTTTCATCATGGCAAATGGCAAAGTGATGCACAGGAGGATTTCTCCGTGCTGTGTAGAACAAGCTGCCAAGATGGCTCTCAACTCCATCGTAGCGTGAAGTGATCTGCTTGCGGAAGAGTTTCTCAGCATCCTCAACCTCATGTGCATCACAAAGATTGTGAACCACAATGAGTTCGCGAGGGGCCCGCACATTGCGACTCAGTTCCTTCTTCTCAAAAGTTTGGACTTTGAGCTGTTCGAAGGAAGTGAAGTCGTTCACAACGAAGATTATGTGGTCAGAGATTTGCGATATCAACTCAAAAATGAATGTCTCTGTGCTTTGAGCATCCACAACCCTGTCTGCACCATCGGACTTGTAGGAGACAGTAGATTGCACACCTGGAGAGTCAATCACTAGCATCTTGCGTTCCTTCAAGTAGACACATAATAAGCCTTGCGTCACTTGAGTCCTGCCAGATGGTAAACGAAGGCCAAACAATTTGTTCAACAGGAATGTCTTGCCTTTGTTGAACAAGCCCACCACCGAGATGACACGAACATCAATGCCACTCTCTGGGTCAAAGTCAAAGTCTGAATTGAGTGCCTTCAAGAACCAAATCTTCTTGGTCTGTGCGAAATCGGACAAGGACACAATCCGGATGATGCAATGATAGTCCGTTGGTTCACGGTGCGCATCCACCAGAGCCTCCCTTTCACGTTCGGCACGTTCAAGGGCCAACCTCCTTTGCCCCAATCTCCAGGCGAGCCAGTTCGCAAAGTAGGTACTAATCATACCAATGAAGATGCCGAAGCCGAAGCCGAAGTGGAAGGTACGAGTAAAATAGTTGTCTGAGACCGGCATGACTTCCAAGTCGAACCTCCAAAAGCATGCGCTTAGGATTTGGCAAGAACAAAACCTGCCTGGAAAGCCAAGTGGCAAAAAAAACAGGGCACTACTGAAAGTTGCAGAAATTTCTGCCACTGACGAAATAGTGGCGGTTTTTGCGTTCTAGGCCTCTGCGAAAACATTCGTTAGTGGTTGCCCAGTCCTTCCATTCTGTTTGGCCGGAGCAAAAGCATGGTTTCAGCGAAGAATAATGTTTAAACATGTTCGCTGCAACCTAGACGTTTGCCCGGAGTTGATGTCCCGCAATCAACGTATTGTTCAGAGGGGGTGGCTAATTTTGATCCCTCATGAAGATAAAGTTGATGTTGTTAGCCCGTTCAGCATATTGCTCATAGGGGGTGGCGGATTTTGTTCCCTCATGAAGATAATGTTCATGTAATTGCCCGATTCAACATATTGGCCATAGAGGTCATAGAGGGTGGCGGGTGGCGTGTTGTTAGCCCGTTCAGCATATTGGTCATAGGGGGTGGCGGATTTTGATCCCTCATGATGATCAGGTGATATTGTTTCCTCATGAATCATGAAGATAGCTGTGTTCAAGGTATCTTTCACATGCCACCGTGGCCTAATTTTCCCCCGTGGCCTTGCTTGGATTCGCAACTTCCCAGCAACACAGAATTGTCTCTGTTATGTCACACTGATGAGTCAGGGCGAACGTTAAGGTTGCGGACAACATGTTTAAGCTTTACTGTACTGGGTATACGGTATATTATTGCATTTTTTTATTTACCATGACAATGACGACATCAAAATGGGCCTCCCTGAGAAAGTAAATCACTTTTTCCGCAAGTATTCCAATTACAGTGAGTTCCAGTACGAAGTTTATAATATAGTAGTTACCGGTTGCCAATGTTTCTCACGATGTTCCCATTGTTTTTTCACAGAGCCTTCACAAACTTTTACACGCTGGGTTGAGACTGGCATTCATTCATGCAGTTTCGAACGTTTCAGAACCAACGGTAGGCTTGAAGTTTTTCCTGCAGTAAACTGATGCGTGAATCAAACCAAAGCAAGGCTCCTGGCAGTTTAACTTTGACGTTGGTATCGACAAAGTTTACTCTTGTTCTACTATTGTCAAAAAATGTCAAAAAAACTTGGGCTGAAACACAATCGGGGATCGAATGCTTGTCAATTCCCATGACGCATTGTTGCAGTAGCTCACCCGCAAGACTTTTCCACTTGCATGTGCTTTCTTTCGGCCGCTGTGGAAGCCTAGTAACAGCACTTTTTTAAATTGACGGGCACTAAATTAGGATTGCATTCCTTGGCTGCCTTGGCTTCAACAAATCAAAGTATTACAGAGCTTAAATTGGCGGCAGTATCAGAACCTTTAGGGGCACAAAAGTCATTTCATGGCGAAGCTGTGTTTCGGCCAGCAGAAAAACGCAAGGTAATTCGAGCAGACTATTTGGCAGGCATTGAAAAGTCAAATCCAACTTAAGGCGTGCTTTGCGGCATTTTCACCTGCAAGCACGGGGGAAAAATTTCGAGAAATCGAACGAAAATGCGTCGAATTCCCACGTACGGTTTCGTACACTTTTTTCTTGCAACTTTATCGCGGTTTTTTTGCCACTTTCTCATTTTTGTTCGGTTTCGTACTGTACGGTATGTGATCTTACGGTGTCGCGCAGTGTCATTCTGGCTCCCATTATCGTTTTTTGTCAGATTCTCTAAGCAACGGATTTCCCATGACTCATGGCTCCCGTGGCCTTGATGCTGGAACCGGAACGTCGGGATTTCCGAGGTCGCTGTTGGTGACACGCCGGTTCTGACCAAGAGATTTGAAGCAAGAAAGACGGAGGATGAAGAAATGAAGGATATAGTAGGGATATCTGTAGAGTAAAATGCCATAAAATACCATCTTGGAGAATCCCAATCCTATCTGAGTTGCCTACCTACTGAAAAACAGTAGATTTACCAACAAATTGGGGGGATTTGGAGGGTATAGTGGCGAAGTGGGGGTATATTTTGATATATTTTGTGGGATTCTGCTCTTCGGCATCTTCTTTGGGGTTGCTATGCTGCATAATTTTCCTGCAAACGAACGCACAGATGAAATAAGGTTTTATATACCATGTTTTTCACACAATTAAAATCTTGGTCATATATACCATGTAAAATAGGAACTTAAACAGCAAGAATGGTGGATTAATGAATGGGTTTGACTCAAAGTGGTGTATCCCCAAAATGGTTGTTGATTTTGGGGTAAATCATCCATTGAAATTGGCCGCGCCCCATTTTCAGACAAACCCAAACGGGTCCAAACGGAGTTTACAGTTTGCAGCAGTTTCGATGGCGCTACTCAATGTGTTCTTTCAAAGACATGGATTTGACCATTAACCAATAGATACCACTGTGAATTGAGCAAGACACATTTAAATTTGACAAAATTATGGCAAGTAGCCAAAATAACACTTGGAGATTGAACCAACAAGCAATTCACGAGCAACAGTTAATGCAACCAACAATAATGGTATGTGTATTACCCTCCAGTAAACTAACATAGCTATGTAAAATGGTCCATCTACACATCATTTACCTATTGAACATGGTGATTTTCCAGTTCGCTATGTTATTTTATCAGATTGTAAATCAACACACATTGGGAGAACAGCGAAATTTCTCCGGATCAGCCGGCCGCCGGCAACTTGGGAGTTGATCAGCAGTTGCCCAAGTCGTCTTGGAATTGAACTCCATGCGAATTGGATTTAATAATAAGAAACAAAATCCAAATTCAACAATCCCCACATGCTCTCCTGTGTTTTATATTTTTGATTGATTTAACGGGCTGTAAACCACATTCATATCATAGTTAAGTTATCTCCCATTGATCCAGCGGCCTGGAAGAACTTGGCGAAACCGGAGATCGTCATGATGTCCTGACGGCATGGCTATATATTTTTTTGGGGGGATCATTTTGAGTGAATCATGTGGCTTAGTATTGGCTAATGATGTTTAAGGGGATATATGGTAATGGTTAATATCATGGTTAATATCATGGTTAATATCATGGTTAATATCATGGTTAATAATGGTTAATAATGGGATATCATTTTTCCTAATGTGGCTTAATGTTGGTTAATGATGCTACACCCGTAAAATATGCACTATTTTGTAATCAATCGAAAACATTCATTGAACATTCCATAGAACATATTGTCGCCCTGAAGATGCTATTAATGGATTTTTCTGCTTAATAATTGCTCAATTTGCTCTGATCTTCTCGCATTTTGACTTGTCCCTGTCCCTATGTTTTTTGTATGAAATGTCCATTCTGTCTAAAAAGGGCCTTGCTCCTATAAGTGAATCAATGTCCTTTCTATTTCTATGACTTCGCTGCGGTGTATCCTGTATTGACTTTGTCTACATACATCTATGCCTGCTGTGTATCCATACTTTGTGTAGTTTATCCACGAATTGTCCTCCAACTATAGCTTTTCACAACTGCCAGGGGTCAAGGGAGGTGCCTGTTGGAAGTTGGAAGGTCAAATAAATGTCCGTTGGGGAATTGGGGAGCAAAACCTGTCATGTCGCATTCCATGTAATTTACCTGCCGAGGAAGGTCAGTGTTGCACAGAAGGGAGGGCGAGTGCGCGAATTGAAGCCTTCCCTGTCATGGAGCGATGAAATCAGGCATCCTTGGATATGTTTTTACAGTCATCATTTGTTGAGCCTCTCCACAAACAAACCTTGACATAAAATAATTTCAAAATGTTTTGAGGCCCAAATTGCTCAGCTGACTCACCAAAATCTGTGCTGGTGGGGCTAGAGGACTTCAAATGGAAAAAACATGCATGTTTTGCCAAAGTTGCCTATTTCATGAAAAGTTGCAGAAAATAGCGCCACTTTGAGAAAAACACGCCAACTTTGAAAGTTGCCCTAAAAAAACAGCAATTTCGATTTTCCAGGTCGGGAAGTTATGCAACTTGCAATGAGAATTGGCTGTCAGTTTCACAGAGATGGCCCTGCCTGATGTCTGGAGCAAGACGACCACAACAGCACGCTTTATTGCTGAGCAACGATGCTTGCGGAAAGGCAGAAGGATTCTCATCCACTTACGAAATCAGATGCACTTCAAAAAGCAACAGGCTGTCAAAATCACTAAAGTCACATCTGTGTTGGAGCACACCGCTTGAACCACACAAATGTGAACGGTCAATCAGCACCAAGGCTTCGTTTTGGCCGTCATTTTGAACATCCGAGGATATGGTTTTAACATGTTTTAACCCGCAAAGTCTCAGCTGGTTTGACTTGGAATTCAGGAAGCATCACCTGGGGAGCACAGTCAACTAGAGAAATTTACACAAGTTGTAAGTCATGTAAGAGCTTCAAAATTCGCCCTCAACCCATCCATTGGCAAAAAAACTGCCGTAATATCACAGGGTGGACCTTGACGATTCCAAGTCGCAAAGTACTGATGCAAAAAAAATCCGAGGAAATCCGAGGAACTCACATCCAAAAGCCGCAAGTGCCAGGCCACTATGCTGCTTAACATTGCTTAACCATGCTTAACCAAGCTGGCTGAAAAAAGGAAGGTGCACCCCAAATGGATCAGCTCAACAGCTCGGTTTTAGGCGGAGGAGGAGGAGGCGGCAGATAGCGAGCAAAAAACTAGAATCCCACATAGTGATGTGGGAATGAAACCCATTCACCATTCACCCATTCACCCACAGTCATTGGAAGATATTGAAGCCGCAAGTGCTCTGTGCTATCTCTATTTCTTTCTATTCTCATCAAAGAAGTTTGGGTGTGCTCACCATGGCCTTGACTGTTCCAAGGGTACCCACCTTCTCTATGAGTTCCTCGTAGCTGGTGGGATGCTCCTACCCCCGCTGCCATTCACGGGGATCAGCAGTGACTCATCATCCATGTCAAACTCTTCATGTCCTCGCTAGTGATGTCAGCACCTTTGCTCTTTCCAACTCTTTCCAACTCTTTCCAACTCTTTCCAACTCTTTCCAACTCTTTCCAACTCTTTCCAACTCTTTCCAACTCTTTCCGTTCATTTTCTTTTTCAACTCCTGCCATCGAACTTTGCTCCTGTAGACGATCTTGTCCCTCCTCTTCGGCCGCGAAGCCATTGGCAGTGTTTGCCATGATCAGACTCCCCTTCTGACCTACAACGGCGCCCCCAGATTTTGGGTCGTTGAATTGTGGCCAAACCATTCCCTTTTTACAAATGTTCGTAGCTGATCGCCTGAGCTCAAATGATGTCACACGGACATCATCCAAATCCGTCACCGTTTCAAAGTTCATGATGGGTTCTCACACCAACCTGGCCCACAAGTTTTCAGGACACACTACGCTTGAAGAAAACCACAAAACACAAAAGTGATCAAAAGTGCAACGATTCTCCACTCAACTGAATGGGTTTCGACATGCGCACAAAGTGAACATAGCCTGCCCATGTGCATGTGACAACAGCCATTGTAGGACCTGCAACCAAGTTGCAGCAGTGGCCATCATAACCAAAAAAACAGATGCCGAGCCAAGATAGAACAAGGACTAAAAACACCTGAAGACTAGCCTGAAGACATTATGATCTCTATATTCTCTATACAATGAATCATAATCCATTGTAATGACATTACATTCTCTATACATAACTTATGACCTCTTCAAAAAGGCCGCCGTAGGCTGAGCAGGCCCATGGAGTGGGACACTGCCTCTGCGTCGCTGCCAAATTCATGCTGCGCCCAGGCTCGGTTGAGGATTTCCTAGCAGCTGATGCCCATGACCCTTGAAACGAATCCACAACTGTATGTACTCAGCGCAATGGAGCTGGCAACTAGAACAATCTAGAACATTCGGAAAACGCGACGCAAAAATATTGCCAAGTGTCCGCATACTTCTGTGAACAAACCATAACAAACCCATTGGCACTCAAAAAAAACAAATAATATAGTCTGAATATATGTCTGAATGATCTCAACTCGTTGCTGTGATGATTCCAGGTGAAGCCGAGGCATGATCCGCAACCAAAGCTGTTGCAGTTTTGGATGTTTTGGTGGAAAGGAACGCACCTCCACACATCGAAGTCGATGCTGCCGGCGCTCTCCTCTCAGCGGAGTGTCCTGGGAAGTGCTGAATGATGCTGAATGGTGCTGAATGGCATTGGAGTCGGCGCCGGTTTAGACTCATGCGACATACAAGTAGCCACTGTGAGGATACAAAAACATAGTTTTTGTGCCATTGGGAGACAGAGCGCCACTGTGGAACATCACCCACTCACTCCCAGAGAAACGGCCACCGCCAAAGTCGTGCATCAATCACGCCGACACCTGTATACACCATTATACACCATTATACACGTATAATATATCCGAAAAGAGCGCCCCTCAACAGCTTTGACTTCCTGTGCGCAGAAAGGAACCTCATGTAGACTACACCTATTCAACGCACACAACTGTCAGCAAAAAAAAGGATTCGAACGCAGATCTGCTTCTGAAGTTGCAACTGAATACAGCTAAAAAATGCTAAATATACGACTACATGTTTCTTTTGAGGTCAACTTCTTGGACAAGTTTAGCGTGGCAATATATCAGAATCAACTGGAAGGTGGTAAGAACGCTGCCCAGGATTTTACCAGGTGGTGGCTTTTTCCATTTCTTTGGCAAAGCCAACAAAAAAAACATGAATCGCAGAATGTTGAGTCTAGAAAAGTGCAGCATGATCAAATGTTGTGTGTAAAATGCTGTGAAGACTTGACAAAACATTGGACTCATTCGACCCCAACAAAACATGCCTGGCCACAACTTCTACAGTCGCAAACACACAAGGAAGCTCTTTGATTGGGTTTGAATTTATGAGGCAAAAACTATGAAAGCAGTTGGAAATTCAGAACGGAATCCAAGCTCATATAATCGACATAAATCGACATAAATCAACCAACGTTGGGACGGACCCACCTGGAAATGGACAAGTGGGGTCGCAGAGACCTTCATAGACCTTCAAAATCCCCTCCTGGCCCCTCCTTGTCTAAAAGTCCCACAGCTCTGTGCCACGGAACTCGGCGTGGATCCTCCATTACCTTCGCGCCAGTGCAGACAGATTTCAGAGTGCAGTGCATCTTGCAAATCTTGCAATACAATCGAGTTTTTGGCCAAACTTTCAAGACCTTGCAAGATTTTCTACGGACCATGTGACAAAGTGACATACTCAGACTCAGACCATTCAAAAATCATGTTCCATGGCCAAAAGAACACCACTCTCGGCCTCACCGTCCTTCACCAGCTCCATGTCTACCAAAGCCTTCACTCTGCGATAGAACACCAAGATACACCAAGTGCAGAACAATTTTATGGTGCTGGCTGCTGTGCTGCCTCCATGAACTCATTGGCAGACTCCTCCTTCGCTGATGCATATGTCCATGTTGAATCATATTGATATCCATATTGAACGATATCTTGTCTAATATTCTCAAAGATATTCAAAGCATTTCAAAGCTGACCTCTTGTATATCAAATTCGCAACATCGGGATTTTCTGCAGTCCTTCACAGAGATGCCAGCGAGTTTAAGGCGTGCAGAAAGATCACGAGGAGTCACTGGCCGCGGGGCCACTGGCCAGGCCTACAGTCATAGTCTCAATAATGGTATTGAGATGTATTGAGCATCCAGTGAGCAGTTTTTCTGCAACAAGCTGTTGCATAGAGATACATAGACGTTAGATCAGTTAGATCAGTTAGATCATGGATATCATTGCTTCAAATGGCAAGGATTTGTATCGCCTTTGCAGCAACTCCAGCTCCATGAAGACTCTGCAACAATGTCGCTACAGCTTCCTGCTCCAAATGTTTCATGATTTTGATGTAAAATGAAGATGTGTAAAGGCCAAACAACAATTCAATTGAACTAAGTAGCGCAAGTAACATCAAGTAACAGTAAATGATTCCTATCCCAATACCGACACCCAAAGAAATATTGTTGCAATAGGCTCTTCATGTGGTCATATTATGAAACTGCCATGCAGCTAGCACACGAATGGTCTTGGCAGTCTTGGCATTGACCTGCTTTTGGTGCCATGATGGATGCTGGTGCTTTGAATTCGCAGTATTGCTAGATTAAGACTTGGCTGGCATGGCTTGCATCCGAACGCTTGGTATCCCCAAGACAAACTACGCTACTCCACCAAGTTTTACTTTCAATTGGGAAACAAAGGTCTCACACCAGCAACACGCGCACGCACACACACACACAAACGCATGCAGGATTCACCAACGAGTGAGGAGATGAGGAACTAACGACATGTCAAAACAATCGGTCATACGCTTCTTGGTTTTCTGCATGCCTGCTGATGTCCGCAAATTACGCCATTCGGGCCAGAGCACCCTTCATATCTCGTGGTGACCAATGCTTGAATATGGACATCGCATCCTGGCATCTCTGCCACGACGGTGATTGCGACTGGCCTCTGAGGCAAATGTCTTGTCCTTGGGCATGTACACCAAACCCTGACAGGTGGGACCAGGTGGGACAGGCCATTGATGAATCACATGCCAAGTTTCAAAACTCGGGGCACCGCAACGGTTGGGGCAACTTAGCACTGCAAACTGCAGCTATCTTCACTACATTCTACTCATTCTGCATATAGAGCACAGAGGCGCACGTTCGTGTGCACAGTGTTTTGTCAACACGTCGGCGCGACGGTTGGAGGAAAGTCTGGCCCAGGTTCTTCCACTAGCTCTGCTTTCCTACAAGTTCTATACAAGCATTGGGGCAGTTTATGGCAGTTTATGGCAGTTTGTGGCAGTTTGGCATTATCTTCCCATCTCTTGACCAAAATATCCAACATATACCAAAATTGAAGGGAACTCAGCAATCTCAGCAACACTCTAGGCCTCACAAAGCTGGTGGGCGAGACCACTGAAAGGAAAGCAGCAACCTGCGAGCCCATGATATAAACAAACATTGTAACATCAGTTGCATGATGGCAAGACAAATCAAGACAGCAAAGCTCGGCAAAGGTGTAGAATCTGTAGAAGCCTTTATCATCTGCAACTTGCTCCACGCGGCTGGTAGCCGTGACCTCAGTCTTCATGTTTTCATAAGCCTCATGGCTGAGTTGCTTCACGGGACTCAATAGGATCACGTTGGGTAGTTTGAGACTCTCGCGCAAAGTTGCCACCTGAAGATGCTCCAACCAAAATCAATGAGCTGGAGGCACTGGAGGCAATGGAGGCACTCTTCGCTTTCAGCTGCAGTAGTTCCAAGAGCGCTTTGCCGATCAAATCTCTGACTTCTTCAAATTCGCTGCCTTCGCTTGGCCAGCAAAAGTTCCCTCGATGCCGAGGCGTTGTGAATGCCACTAGAGATATCGTATGCGAGAGGGCTTCACGCAAAAAGCTGATCTCCTCTGGCTTCCGAAACCAGTCGTAGCCCTGATTGTTGCATCCATGAAACAACAACATGACCGTCATGACCTCTTGGTCGTCCTGTTCGTTCGACCAGTTGACAAACGTCTCCACTCCATGCAAAGTGAGGTGCTCCATGGGTACAGGCTCGCTATTGCACAAAGTAAACATCATGATACTACTCAGTGCAAACGCACTCATTGCAGGACTCATCAGTTTCGCTCCTGTACTCAATGCGGCACGTGTGGGACAAAGGAGGTATTGTACCTTCCCACTGTTGGCATTCGTTTCTCCGATCACCACAAGGGTAAATCAAAGAGAAATGATTGTGTCGCCGAATCCATTGCGCATTGAAAGGTGTGAGTGCATTTGAAATCGATAAGTAAGGCATGTTCTGGGCTTCAAGGGTCGAAGTTGCCATTGAAGTGGAACATGAACTTCAAGAACTTCAAGACCGGTCAACCGACATCTCATTCATAGCCCAAACTGTCAACACGTGTTTGATGATTCTCACTATGCCTCCGCTTCAGTTCTTTGGCTCATTCATGATCTTCACAATTCACGAGATATTTAGAAGCAAACTACCTAAGCATGCTTGCCATTTGCCCTGATCCAGCGCTTTGCAACACTGCGTGTCTTGTCCGTCCAGACATAAAAGAAGTGTTTCCAAACGTGAGTCTACCTGCTTTGCAACGAAAACATGTGTGATTTATTTAGAGATAGTTAGAGAATTCGAAAAATGAAGAAGCGTTCAGCGTGACACTTGAGCAGTCTCAATATTCTGAATGAACGCAATGATGCGTACCAGTACCTAACACTTGTGCAAGGACATCAACGCAGTGTGACTAGTAGACAAAGGTGGCATGAGCATCAATGTGGAGAGCAGCCCATTTTCATCTGGTGAAGCAATGACCACAGCGAATATATTTGCACACGGCCCCTTGGCTTAAAAGTTCCCATTGCGGACGCAAGTCCTTTTCAAACAGAAACTATCAATGTGTAAGCAAGGGTCTATCCAAGCAGTATGAAGAAGTACTCAGACGGCAAATTCGACCACAATAGAATTGACATGAATTGACGTATCAGGACTACAGGTGAGGTCTCTGGCCGTTGGTCAGCTTTGTGCTTTGCTTCTTTCTTCTTTGCCCTCTATGAGATTAAACAAATACTCACCTCGGCGGCGGGCTTTTTTATAAGGCATAGGCTCACTGGCACAAAAATCCATTGGACATCAACACAACCTGGCCATATCTTGCCATATCTTGCCAACAGCAAATGATTAGAGTCTGACTTGAGATTGATTGGATAGAGATCAAGGATTGTTCAAGAAGAGATGAAGAGATGAAGAGATCAAGGCAGATCAAGGCAGGGCGTTGCGGCGTTGCGGTGTGACTTTCTGCGTCTGGGACACAAAAGTCTTTGGAGGTGAAGGACTGTGGGTCGTACTCTCTCCTCAAATTTGGGTTGCGCATGGCCAAACCCCAGCCCAAAGAAATCTGTTTGAAAAAAGACAGATCACAAACAAATTGCTGCTACAAGCAATCTACAGGCAACTCATGGCAGGCAAATCATGGCAAATCGATAGGATTCGATAGGCAACAAATCCATAGCAGCCATAGCAATTTGGTGACGATGACGTGCATCAAATCAGTTCACCAAACGGTCCACTGCCTATCACCTGGGATTCAGATCAAAATAAGCCAAGCTATGCCAGCGCTATGCAGTTGTGCCAAGCTTAGGCCAAGCTTCTTTTCAAGGGTGTGCAAGTGCTGAATTAGCACTTCCAGAGACAAAGGCTCGGCCGGCACTTTGACGCTGACACAACTCTTGGACAGTCCACCTTGCCTTAGATTCTCGAGGTCAAGACCAAAAGGGTCCAAAAGGAGTTATTATGGATGAAGACTGGATCATTCCAATATTCACATGCAACGTATGTCATGGATTGTCATGGTACATCCCATGATACATCATACTGGCCTGTTGCAAACCAGCCACATGAATGCCAGACCATCTGGCTGCCAGTCCAATCTCAAAGGTTTGAGAGAGGGTTGGCTCGCGCTCTCGCTGATATTGTAAACAATTGCCAATCGCGTCTCTGCAGGTTCGGCCACCATGGGCGAAAATCCTTGTGACATCTGTGATCTCTCATTCTCTTGCTTTACCAACCAAACTTCTTCGATCCTTGCCCCAGAATGTTCCAACTTCAGCAGCTGCAGGTTTAAGTGAGGATTGAAACATCGGACTGGAGGCCGACGTTGAACACAGCAATTTGCACGCAGAATACCATCACTCAAACCGCTACTCACCGCCCCCATAGTTTCACAGGGTTGCTGAGAGCAAAATGCCAGGCAAAGTATGGCAAAGTCACTCAGCCAAAGCATGATGCAACTTCATGCAACTTTCAGGAAGAATAAGACAATGAACTCTTACAATCTGGATCAATCTGGCCAGGAATCGCTCCATGACATTCCATAATCTTCCACAATCTGGTTTTCTGTGTGAACCAGTACGCAATTACGGAACCGAGAACAACTTAATGCAACCATGAGAACATGGACTGGCAAGTCTTGGCATACAACACTCATGGCCAGGCTGTATCTTGCTAGACATTGCTAGACTGCTGGGCAAATTGCAGCTTCTTTTTCTTGCATCAAGGTCCAACGCAGTTGAGTGGCTTGAAGATGAACTTCATTGCCTTGACATAGCAGCGTCATGCAGCGTCTCCTTTTAATGGACTCTGAAAACATCTGAAAACACATTCCAGCCACGCAACATCCCAACATTCCAGGCTGCCAAGATCTGCCAAGATCTGCCAAGGGACACCAGAAGATGATGCAGTATGGAGCCAGGGTGGCATCGGCCTTGGAATCGTGTCTCGCCCTGACTTCAATGGCAACGGGTGTGTCGAAAAATAGGATATGAATGGATATGATATGACTGTATGACATGGTACCCCCAAAATCCTGTGGTTAGTTTTGTCATGTTTTGTCTTATCATTATGTTTCGGCCTTAAATGGCCTTTTTGGGGTGTACCTATCTTGGGATAAATATGGATAAATCACATGTCAGTCACCTGTCACAAATCGAAAAGGATGCGCATTTTTGGAAGTACGAGAGCTCGGCTTGTATCGATGCATGTAGACACCAACCACCAACTGTACAACCTTGGTGTCGCAGCATGCAAGCAAACATTCTCTGCCAGTATTGCATTTACAGGGCATCGGGAGAAGATTTTTCTGCGTTCCTGCTTCAGTTGCGTAAGGATGCGCAAGCTTTCAAACTCTGGATATATTGGGCCATATGGGATGTAAACCTGCAATATCTGTGGCTGCAGCCCAAATGGAAACTCCTCCAATGGCCTTGCCAAGGCGGCTTCTGGGTGACAAACTTCTGGGGGATGCATCTGCGTAATTCTGCGTATTGCCAGTGTAGCGGAACTGCAACTAACATCAACTAACATAAACTAACAAAGCAACTTGGCATCGTGACTCATGACCGAATATTGTCCTGTCACACTCCGAGCTCTCCACAAGTACAGTGAACGTTGCACTGCCCTTGCAATCGGAGAACGGTTCGCCAATTGGAACCAGAGCCTGTAGGCGGAAGTGAAGCAAACTTGAAGGCAAACTTGAGAAAACGTCATCCGTAGAAGTAAAGGACATGTTGTTTGGCTGGAGGCGCATGCTCCGTGATTTTTTCGTGATCTCTGAGTGGGTGGCTGTCACAGAGAGGAGAATGATGAGAAGCATGGTGACATAGGTCATAAGCCTGACGAAGCAGCTCAACCACTGACCAAATATGGTAGAATAATGTAGAATAGCTCAAAACTTTCCAAAACTATGCCAGCCCTGTGGCATGCCAGGACTTAGCTAGACTCTGAACATGTAACAGCTTGCAGATTGTTTGCAGCTTCATAATACAGGATAGCTTGTTCACCTTCAAACACCTTCGATGTATTTTGGATCTCACCAAGTCACTTGGTAATGATCGGCAGGAACTTGCAAAAGCATCCAAGGCCTCAGTCTCACAAAGACTTGGCCAATCTTGGCCAGGCAGTGTGTCAGCATAGCGATTCGATCAAAGACTATAATCACTGCACTGTACAACAGTATTCAAATGATACACACACACAATAAACAACAAATGTTTATGTATTGTATATATATATATATTTATATATATATAAATAATATATCAGTGTTTAGTTAATTATTAATTTCATTTTTTTCATGATATATATATATATTTGTGTTCGTAATAATTCATGACCTTTTCCATGACAGTATCTCTGCATGAAGCACCGTCATTTTATTGGTGAAAGCTGCCTTCCTGTGCCACATGTGCTGTGCCTTAATTGGTCCTGCATCACAGATCCGCTGAGAAACTTGCACTTCAGGCCAATGGACATCTCTGTGTAGTCATCCTCCAGAAATGAACAATGTGTCACAACGATGAACAGCCAAAAGGGCCAAAAGTATGACAATGAATCTGCTGCTGGGAGCCGCTGCACATGCACCTCTTCCAGAAAGGCCACGATGACAAAGCCAAGCCACAGCAGGAAAGACACAACACCCTGGAAGAGGTATGCGAATGCTGTTATCAACACCTCAGCATGTCAATTCATTTCATCAATATTCATCAATCACGCCATGGCGGGATATTGCGTGACACTTCCTGGAGGTTGGATGCAAGAGGAGTAGTAAGGTGCCACGGTACTGCTGGCTGTTGCAGGCATTCGCAAGGAAGTACTAGTGCAGCCCAAAACATCCATTCTGTTCAACAAAGTATTGACAAGCAGACTCGCCGTCCTTGCATGCCCGACTACAATGCGAGAAATGACTGAAGCGCTGGAAAACTAAGGCCCGGACGAAAAGGAGAACATCACAGTCTGAGCAGTGCTTGCAAGTGCAAGATTCCGCAGAAGACGGCTTGGGCTCCTCCACCAAATTGCACAGGATCACCAATCATTTGCAGGCGAATTGGTATTCAGCAGTTGGAGTCGACTTGAATGACATGGGGAATCAACAAAGGATGCTCAATGCCTGGACAACATGTTAAAACCATTTAAAACCTCATTGACTCATGGATCATACACTGTTTGCATCTTTTTGATCTGTTTGGCGAGAATGCAGACGCAGGAGATTTTGGGTTACATTCTTCATGAAACACTGCAAGACAATTACTGACAGAAGAGCACTTAGCAAACACGCCGGCGACTTGAAAATGCTTCTTTGAATCTCTTTGATCTCCTTCACTACTTTTTGCCGACAACTTGACCCCAACCCACACAAAATCACAAACATCATCCTCCACAATGGAAGGTGCAAATATTGCACAACTTTGCATGTGGAGTTGCTTGTTTTCTTACCCCGCTGTCCTGACAAGTGACTCCAGCTGGGCAAGAAACGCTCCTGGTTCTAACACCAGGGACACATTGCCTTAGTGTTGAGAATCCCATCATCCGTTCATTGGCTGCGGATGCTTTGCTCCCAAGCCCTTCTCGGATCCACGCATGTAGCAGGTGCACATTGACCAAGCTGTTGTTGTATACTCCTGCTACATTGAGTATCTGATTCACTTGGTTTCCGTCTTGCCTTATGAAATCTTATGAAGCCGGACACCGATGTAACCAACATGATCCAACGGAATCCAACATGAAGCTTTGAAGGTGGCGCTACTCGCTGCTATCCTGTAGATTTGTGGCAGCAGCTGTTGATGGCGCAGCCGTTGGGTTGGTCTGGAGCCTGTTGCGAGCAGTCGGCAATATCGACTAGAAAAGGAAGCAATAAAGCATGAGTATGACTCTAAAGCACAGCTCAACATCCACAATGTCCGCAGTGTGTGCATCAACACGGTATATCGTTCAAAGAAGAGGAAACAAAACAGTTTGTAGTGCTTCAGTTTGCAACTATCGTCAATTCGTCTTGCGGTGTTGTAGTGATGTTCTGATAACAATGTGGTCTCACGTGGTCTTTTTGTGTCTTTATGTCTCCTCTCTCTCTCTCTCTCGCTCTCTAATCGCTACTCATGTTAAGGTAGTGATCGATGTGCAAGTCTGTGGTCTCTCTGTGATGCTGTACCGATCACGACACCAGGTATAGAATCACCACGTCGGGCTTTGCAGCCATGTCCAGACATTCTGATCCTTGTCTTACAGCGGAATTCTGGTCAGCTCGTAATGCAGGTGCGATGCTTTGTTTCGCTGTGTTTCCTTGCAAATGCCTTGCCTTTGTCTTGGGATGTCAGCAATGCTGTGATGGACTGCGCTTGGCTTGATATGTTCGATTCAAACACATCGATGTGATGGGAAAATATGGGGTGGTGTTTTCATGTGTTTTCAACCTATGCCACTTTATATACATCATATATTAGTCTAATGTATTCTAATGTTATCATAATTATTCATGCCCTGCTGAATTCATATTTCATCACACTTTGCCACTGCTGATTGCTGCAATGCTTTCGACCTGGCCTCCTTTCAGAGCTGCAGAAATTCCCTGCGCCTAGCATGCCGCAGAAGAGACACAGTTGGAACGATGGGCTCAATTGTTCGATATTGCTCTTTGTGGGGGGGGGCAAGCAAGACACTGGAAGACGGTGCAAAAACTCCACACTGTCACAGATTCCAACGACGTGCAGTATACTTCATCATACTTCATCTATCTTCATCTTGTGTGCAAAGATAGTGGCAACGGATGAATCAACTTCTCACCTCCACACTCCTGGAGCTCATCCTGAATGTCTTCTTGCAACACCTGTGCGACAGCGCGTGCTACTTTCTGGCGAGTTAAGCTGATTTTCTGTAAGCACGTCTCCAAGACTGGGAATGGATGCGAACGTCATCTTTGTGGTTAAGGATCAATTGGTTTGACTGAGTCCAACATTGTTTTCCATGTCAATCAAATTTCCCTGGGAATGAACTTTTGTTGACGACCTGATCCACATTATATACCTTACCTGACTTTGCTTTTTGATGCTTCTTAGTGTCTGTTCTTGTCTGAAGATTGCTGTTCAATCTCACAGCACCTCGACCCCCTCATACCCAACCACCGCTTCTTGGAGAGCTGCATGGCCAAACCTCAAATTGAGCAGCTCTGCTGCACAGAATGGATTGCAGAGGCATGAAGGGACATGCTCCGGCAAATGTAACTGAGAATCCCACCGTCTTGGCAAGCTTTTCTCTGCATTCTGTGAACCGACCTGTTGGAAACAAGGGGGCTGCAAAACGTCGCAAAAGAGGCGGCTGCAAGCTGCATATAATCGACCCTTGGTTGGGATGAAGACTAGTCTTGAACTAGAAGAGTCCAGCGCTGATGTTCTTTTCCTATTGGAAAACACTGAGCAGGTCTGAAGGCGCTAAGGTGTCAGTGCCTCATCACTAGTTTGAAGCTCGTTTGCAACTTGCTCCTCGCTTGGCACGGCCTCAGCAGGGTGTCAATTACGACTGTCAACTCGGAAGTCTCAAAATAGGATTCTGACATATTCTGACTGTTGAATAGTTCAAAGAGCTATATGATTTACACATATTTACAAGAGTTTGCAGGCGGCGCCCACAATGAAGGCAGCTCAGGTTCCAACAATTGATCGGATTACTGTGTCCAATTCGAACTTGTGGAAGGTTGACAAGCCTTGATCCACGAGCCTGGGGCCATGCTGAAGCAGGCTGCTCCAGTCTGATCCAGTCACAAAGTAGCACCAAAATCCGTCAGGAAGCCTCCTGCCACTGCCAAACAACGCAACGCAATATGCTGATTCCTTAGACCATCCCAGCATGATCAGATCCACAAAAAAGGTATCACTCGATCATGTGAAATCTGCATGATATCAGAAAGGCTGAGGATACGGCATTGAATGACTGCTCAGCACACATCGATTCATCTGTGAGGGTCATTCCCTCATTCCTCATGGGAGTTTGGACGGTTCACGCGCAAGATAGCACAAACAAGACGGAACGAAAAGCTGCAAAGTTGAAAAGAACAAGTGGACCTTTTTGCACCTTCCACCTGCAGATTTGCAGCCATGGCGCGCACACTCTGTTGCCTTGGCTTCGAAGCAGGTGCCCTCTGGATGTCAAATAGCTAGAATGTGTCAGGAGTCACAAACACATGCACAGTTATATATCTAATTATATCATATATTTCATATGTATGCATATATAGCAGAGTACTAGCTATTTTAGCTGTGATTTATGGCATGCACATCCATTCTTGTATGTGTTTACTCTCAACTGCTGTCAAACCTCCTCTTGCAGCGTTTATTTTCTCATCATTTTGCTATTGCTGCAGTACCGTCTGCCATATCTGCGAACCTTTGGGCAACATATTTGTTGTATATTTGTACACTGTTTCGTAGTTCTGAATATTTAATCATAAAGTGTAGTATAATGTAGTATATACAAATACATTATAAATACGTGAATGATCATGAATGAATACATAGATTCTGCCAAAACAGTGTACAGTACAACCAGCACACACACACATGACACAGAGACGCCTCTGTTCTTCCTCCTTCCCAGGCTCTAAGTCACGTGCAATCGCACCGAGGTTGGCTGCTGTAACCACCCCACTCGTGAGAGGGGCATTGCCTGTGAAGTTGCATTCCTGAGGCAAAATGGCTTCGACCAAGTGAAGTAGAAAAGGCAGGTCATGTTGGATAAAGCAAAATGCTTCATGACATGTTCTTTGCTTTTTGATCATTCAACAATCATTTTGGCAACTGTGATGAGAATCTAGATTTAAGATTCAAGGCGTCTTAGTTGAATTTCACTGAATTCATCACACTTGCCACTTTTAGTCTCGAATCCAGCGCCTCAGGTTAATGCTTCACCCACATGTGGTTCGGCTCAGGAAAAAGGGTTGGACAGTTTTGGATGGGATATGATTGTTTTAGTTTTAGTTCACGTTATTTTACTGGTCTGCAAGGTACCAAAAGGCGCTCCTTACCCAAGAAATCCCCAGAATGCATTTAAGGCTCTGGGAGCTGCAGCGTAGAAACGAACGCCGTACACATTACCTGTGCACACCATTGCCCAGCAACCCTTTCACTCATGGCCACAGGGAGGAAAAGAATGGAAGAGATGCAAACTGAAGAGCAAAGAATATTATAATTTAATAGATTATTGCAATATATAGCAATATTGGCATCAGTGAAACTGCTTGAGGAACAAACCTTTCTGCAGTAGGACCTGCATCAGCTGGGTTGGATGGTCGCCGTCAGGAGTTCACAGTTTCACAAGATTTGACAAGGTTTGACAAGGGTCTTCCTGCCCACTTTCCACTTCTTTCCACTTGGCAAAATCAAGCTGTTTGATGCACTCTTGAGTGTTGAGATGCAGGCGGAATATCAAAGGTTGCGCCAGTGGCAAGATTCGCCAAGATGTAGTTCTTGTCTGCAAACCTTGCGACAATATATTTTGCAGCACGTGAATGGTGCTGACCCTATCAAGCGCTTGATCATGGCGTGAATGTGCGACAAAAGACCATAGGGTCTCAGGTTGGAAGCTTGTCTGACTGTCTTGAGGCATGGATCATGTGGTTAGTCCACACCCGACAAACACGCTGACATGCTGCAAAGCTTGCCATGCTCTCTTTGCAAGCAACCAAGGACAGAGTAAAAACGAATAAGGGCCGGTCCATCCCAATGTTGACTGGGAGGCTTCAAACACACTCTGGCAGTTGATGTTAGTTGAAAATTGACCTCAGCCGCAAGCATTCAGCTTGTCATTCTACTGAAGTATTAGGCAGGATGGAGACATGTGCCAAACTGGCAGCTGCACAATGATTAAATGGTCACTTGCTATACTCTGCTAAAACTGCTCTTTCTTCGTTTGATCCAGACAAGCTGCCGCTCTCAATCGGATATGCAGTTTCAGCTGCCTTAACAATGCAAAGCAAGGTTCATGCTTGTCTCCTCGAAAGAGTACACCCTAGTGCATAGACAAGCTACTGCCATAGAGCCTGAAGGGGGAGCAGGCTTGACTGTCAGGTCTTGCAAGTTGTATACAAACCTCAATACGCCCTTGGCACAAAGGCCTGCTGAAGATTTGTCCAGCCTGAAAAGCATGTATCCTTTGCTGCCAATTGCCGAGAATACACTCCAGTTTGCAAGCCTGTGTCAAGAATCAGTCAAAAACATGTGTGGGGACATGCACCGTGTCCGACTGTGTCCTCTGCAAGAAAGTCTTCGCACCTGCCGACATTGCTCCGCACAGTGTCCGGAAGGATGAGGCCTGACAAGTTTGCTTGATGCGGTCGCTACAGTTCAAGACTTCAAAGATCTGCTGTCAAAGCATTCAACGCACGGAATTACTGCACAAAAAAATGTGATGTGCAAAAGAAATGTCTTTGTTTGTATCAAAGCCTGGGCCATGGTGATAGCCACTTCATCACAAGGGCACTCTGTAGCCTGAACCGCACATTTTACCCAGTTGTGAACATGTTTGAAAGTCCCAGCCAGCTTCTGTCGGGTGGCCACGTTTGATAAAGACTAGCGACCTGACCATGCAAGAAAAAATACTTTACCTGAATGATCCTGAATGCTTATATAATGAGTTACGAGTACCTGAGAAGGGAGGGGACGAAAGCCAGCCCCTGTGGCTTGCAGCGGCACAGCAGTCGATTTTATCATCTGATGGGCCACGGAGGTCTGCGTTTTAACTATCTAACGACCTACCTCTGTCCCAGTTTTGTGCATGTTCTTGTTCGTCTTCTTATTCGTGTTGTTGTAGTGCTAATGTATGCTACTAATGTTATCCCGGCCGTTTTTGTCTCAATCTCGCACAAAACACCGTAAATACATGTAAATACCACTGTTTTTTGTGCCTCGGAAGCACAGAACCGTGGTAATTATTTACATTTATTTACGATGTTTTGTGCCTCTGGTAGCAAAAGTTACTGTATTTACAGCATTTTTTGGCCAGTGCCTTGCTAAAACGCTGGTATTTACGCAATGTTCAGCCCGTTGTAGGAGAAACACTTTTTCATCTTTTTCCATACCAAAAACATAAAAATACTGTAAATTACAGTATTTTAGCGCTTGGCACAGACCCAAAAAACGGGAAACATCCACCTTGGCCTCGACCGGTCGTTTTGCTGAAAAAAAAACAATCCTCGAAAACAAGGCATCCGCACCAACCCCACGAACCCATTCCCCCACCCTCCTGCGGCCTCAGCCTTAAAAAACCACTACCCCCCCCCACACCCCCCAGATTAGCTTCGCCACAGCTTCGCCTTATACAGACCCTCCAGCCTAAGCCTTCGGCTGGCTTTTGTAATAATGCACAAATGTGTGTATGCATGTACTAAGAAAAACCAAGGGTTTTGCCCTCATTGCAAACTTGTGCTATGGCAAAACATGACACTGCCTAGCGCGGAAATCAACCCGACGGGATGCATAGATTAGACTAGATTAAGTTAGGTTGCATTAGCTAGATAGAATTACATCTACACACACACACACGCACGCACGCACGCATGCACGCACGCATACATGAAGGTGGCTGTTGTACATGCAATATCCACATTTATATGGATGCTAAAAAAATACCAATACTCAATTCTCGCCCTACATCTTCAATGTGTAGCAAAATGCCTTCCACCAAATTGCACACCGTCCGCAAACCTCCTGCAGAGTAGAAGGTCAACCGTTGAGAAAAACGCGGCCGTCGCATGCTCTTGCCATGTGAGTGAATGAGTGCGGCAATCAATAAGGACTAAGTACAGCCTCTCACCTCTCACCCGATTTATCATCCCCGGCCCCCCTAATTCTTCAATATTCTCATACCATATCATATCCACACAATGCTCGTGCAATTTTGTCATCAATACTGCACATTGCCTCGCAGTTCTGACGGCGAGAAAACTAATCTACCGCGGGACATTACAGCACAATCGTCACAATCACTCATGAAAGGTGGGGGCTGACATTGACCTCACTGATATACCAGCAGGTCCAGCAATGCGAGAATAGCCTGATTGAAACCATTTTCAGTCCCTCCCGTGTTCTCGCAGCAACCGGAAATCAGGAGCTCCCTGCGATTCTGCTTTGCTATGCAGGATGGGTCTTGAAACCAACATATGGTGGCCATATATGAACATGCTCAGAGTCTATCAAGTTTTGAAATACTTCCAGTGCACACTTAGCTGACTTTGCTGTATACTTTTTTGGCAGGCCTGCCAAGAAGGCTTCACACTTGGGATCTCATTTGTGCAAGTGCCAGGACCTGGCAACTTGACCCAACTGACACAGGTTGCTGCACTGTATGCGAGCGAAGTAGATTGAAGTGATTGATTTCTGTTGGATATAGAAGGAGCCTTTATAAGATGCTGCATTTGATTCTATTCTATATAATATACAGTTTTAATACTTTTTAATTCATGATATTTGTAATTTCAGTGGGTTGAGAATAGACTTTGTCTTGGGCATCCGTTCCGGAGAGCTTGCGGAATCATGGAGGTACAATGGAGCTACAATGAAATGAAACAGAAGATTTAACAATTTTAACATATTAAACAGTTAACTAAACAGTTTTAAACATGATTAAACCATATTAAACCATCTTCAATGTGATTCCACGTGAGTCAAGGCCTGTCAATTGAGAACCAAGACTTCGCATGAAGGCCTTGCAACTGGAACAACCAACTGTGCTAGCATCGTCAGCAAACGTGTTGAATGGCCCAAAATAATCTTACATGTTTCCAACTAGTTCCAAAACATGTGTTCTATTCTGTACTCTCAGCTGCCTTTGGCATACTTATCAAACTGAGTTGACTGTCTCTGAGGTCCAAACTCGAACTAGAACTCTGCAGTTCCACGTGACCTTAGGAACTGCAGAATGGTCAATTCCTTCAAGAGGAGGACATTTGACTATCAGTGGAATACACTTAGACAAAGCCAAACACGCCGAAGCCAAACAACATATAGGTGTAAGCTGAAGTCAGGTGCCTTCATTGCAGATTTCGGTGAAGAAAGTTGTTACTTTCACAGGCATCTCAAAATTCAAAGGGACTGGTTGCAAGCCCTACAGAATCTCCAGAAAAGACTCAGCAGGAGCCAATAGGAGCCATAGCTTGGGAGGATTTGGGAAGGACGTCCAACAAACTGAGCGCCATTGAGAGCCAAGGGACACAAGACTCGCTCACTTGCGGTTTGCTGGGGTTTAGCCTCGACGCAAATTTGTCACAAATCTCGCGTCCACTTTAGGGGCCTATCACGAGATGAAGTAGCACAAGTGCACTACAAAAACGTGAAGTCTACATATTGCATGCTTGTGTTCATTTCCAAGGAAACAAGGCCTTCCTGCCGGAGAAAAAAGCTTGCCAAGTATGCTCCATGCATGAAGTCACATTAAAGGGAATTCGGAAGCCATCAATCGCAAAGAAAAAGTAATACCAGCAAACAAACCGAGATTGTGATACAAGAACACAAGGTTGCAGGTCCGTATACAGACTTGTTGACATGGGATCTTTGTAAAAATAAGGACTAAATGCAGTTGTAATATACGTAGTTGTATTGTATACTTGCATAATCTTGCATACGTATCTACCAATGCGCACCTTCTGTCAAGGATGTTTGACAGCATAGAAACCTTGGAGATTTGAACCACGCACACGTAAACAATTAACATCAATTGACCATCGTTCGTGCAACTCATGTGTTCAAACAGAAAAGCTTGGTCTGAGACAGGGGAATCTGCAGACAGCACAAGAGAGTTGCAAGTAGAGTCCAGGGCTGCCTGAAACAGCTGAAGATCACATATGCTGGAGAGCTTTGAAAGATGTTGAAAGTGTGTCACTCCAGCAGCTTCGACACTTGACATCAGGCATCATCAGACATCATCTGCTCTCACGAGTTCCATCAGCTGTTGGTTGCTGTTTTTGCTGGCCTCCTGGAAAGCATCGTAGTATTGACCATTCGCAGTCTTGGGTGTCAACGTGCTAGGGTTTATCAGAAGAATTGCTCTCTTCCGTTTAACGTGTTGCAGTCTGTTTCATATTCTTTCAGTATCTTTCAGTTATAGTTCTCGTCGAAATCGATTTCTCATTCGATGAAGTGAGAATGGGCATGAAGAACCTTACGCCAGGTCTCATTCGCGAAATCCTAGCTGAGGTCTGGGCCGATGCATCTAACTGCCAAGTCAGATTGAATGCCTGAGAAATTAAAAAAACAAGGGAGAAATTGGCGAATTGGGAAGCGTGCCAACACACTCGAATTGCACTTTCTGTATCAGATTCTGTAGTTTCCTCATGTTTCCTCATGTTTCCTCATGTTTCCTCACCCTTTTCTACATGACTGCACTATCACTAGTCACTAGTCGTAGACCTATTCTCCTGGACTTGATGGCTTGATTCGACTTGATCTGCTGTTCTTCGGATTTCTTGCGCCATGATGCGCCATGTAATCTCACTGAGGGCTGGGGCATGTCTCCAGCAGTCGGACTTGTCACCTCCCCACTTCACACACTGTAGAACAAGAAACCTGGAAATATCACACACTGACTCCACCAACTGTTTTCAAATCATGAATTCTGTCCAGTAGCTATGGAACCAAATCATCCAGATCCACAAATCTCATCGGCAGGTGGACCAGCTGGGGCTGCGGCATAACATTAACGTGTCGGTGCAGTTTCCGCATCCAACCTCACAACATCTCATAATTCTCATAAACACTACAGCCAATCTCACACGAAAGCTACTTTTACACTGAGATTTACTGTAATCACGCAGCTTTCTGCAAGATGTTTGCAAAATCATCGCATTCTCTCCATTGCCCTCCATGCTGGCAGGCCACAGTCCAGCCATTGGTGATGTTCACCTGCTGTCTTTGCATACCAGAGGATGTTGACGCGGCTATCTTGCTGACATTTATCATTACAACCCTGTCTAAGAAATATAAAGGGAGAAAACGGGAAGACTCCAAGGGTGGAAAAAACCGAGGGTCCTGCCCACGGACCACCGCTACTGCATCAGAAGCGTCGGGACACTCGTTGGAAAAAACGAACCATGTTACATTCGGTCTTACCTTTTGGCCGTGCTAGCTAGTCAGCTAGTCCTGCAATTTCAAAGGCATCTCAAAGACTTTGAAATTCTCTTATGCCGCCTCGCCGGGAATATTGCACAAATACTCTTCGATCGGAGTGTAAGATATCAGTGCCCACCTCAAATCTGCATCAGGATAGCTCTGCACACTGCATCTCTCCGCCCAAACCATTCCACAACCACACCATGAGGTCAAGACCCTCCAAACACACTTGTTATGCATCCTATCCAGAAGAAATAGGACCTCAACACAAACAGAGAATTGTCTCGACTGAACTGTAACTTCACACCAATTTCAGCACTTTCAAAGCTTGGAAAAGAGCATTTTCAGTGCAGCCTGTGGAGTGGAGAGATTGAATCGACAATTCAGCTTTCCACACCAGGCTGGGAGTGAGCCCTGCTCGCACTGCTTTCGCAGAAAGTCTTGCAGTTCTGGCAGGCCATGAAATGGAAAGCAATGCAAGAAAATTAGCCGTACTGGTAACCACAAGACAAGGGCAATTTCAGCCATACTCAGCCTTGGTAAAGATGATTGAATGGATGAATTGAGGAGACACAAATTAAATATCATGCGTGAGACAGAAGGGAAATGCATAGCTTTTCTGATAAACGGCTTTGGCTCCATGCGGTCCTTTGCAAGAAGCCCATGTTCTTGCGCTTGGAACGATTGGAATTTCTCTATGTTCACCTGTGAAACTCTTCACACTTCATGTTGAAGGCTTCACCTTGGGGAGGGGACAAAACATTGTCTCCTTAGTCTCCTTAGTCTCCTTGAACATTGAAATCTTTGAATACTGTATGCACTGTATGCGTCTTGTGTAACTTAAAGACTTGCAAGACTAGAGACTCTTTCCTGATGGTGTAGAATGGTATGGAATATGGAAGTCTCCTGAACCAAGTGGGGCAGTCGTCATGCTCGTGAGCTGCGGTTTTAACATGGACATTTCATGCGGGCTTGAAAAAATAGTGTTGGATTTTGTGATCGTTGGTCCTCGCCGAAAACATGTATGGCACTCAATATCACCAAACAATGTGTCTGCACTTTTGGCAGTGCCACCTATTCCTACTACTTGAGAAGAGGCAGGAGGACAGCAAACGGGGAAGATAGTAGCAAATAAATACACATCAAACTCAGTAAAGCGATGTCTGCCCAGCAAATTTCATCAGTTGACAAAAAGCAAAGCCTTGCAGGTCCAACTGCTCGCAGCATCTTGCAGCCACTCTGTTGTTTTACTCTACTTTCCTAGAGCAGGTGGAGCCTGTACTAGGGTGCTTCAGTTTCATGTCGGACTGAAACGGGCAACCAATCCATGCCATTTGCCCACTCTCCTGCCGCTGACCACTCTTGGTCAAAGCTGTCATTCGTGGGCAGTAAATATAACAATCATAAATAGACATCTCTATGGTGAGCCCCACTTCGCCCCTGTACAAAGGTGGGCTGTGCGAAATGGGATTATCCCGGCGCAGAAAATGGGCCAGAGTCCTCAACGGTTCAGCAATGACAGTGTCCAAATGCCACACGTTGTAGTGCCACCCCAAAATTTCATAAACTTTCGCCTGTAAACTCTTTTCTCATCCTCTCTCTTTTTGAAAGTGAAACTCAAGAAAAGACCCTCTCTCTCTCTCTTCACTGGGGACCTGACTGACTTAGGCTTAGGCCTTGCTGATTGCGTCCTTAGACTCGCAGTCACTACCATTGCCAAAGGCCGAAGGTTCGCTACAAACTTACGGGAGCAAATGCTGAAAACCAAGCACAAAGGCACAGAGATTAAACTCCCAAGACTGGCATTCGATGTAGTAGATAGAAAAATTGAGGCAGCAGGTGCTGTTTGAACAGAGCATGAGAAGGCCTGCGCATGAAGCTACACATAGCAAAGTCCAGCACAAAGGAAGAGGACGTCCGGAAGCATTCCACTGCAGAATTTTCATTATTTTTCACTTACTTTGATACGGGATATTTTGGAGTATAGCGTGGTAAAATGTAGTAAAGCACACAGATTATACAGCCGAAGCCAGTGCAGTCGAAGCAAGCCAGAATTGAGTGGCTGCTGGAGGAAGCACTGGATGTGGCAGTGGATGTGCAAGCGAGAACTTGATGTATTCGAACATATTTGGTCTGCGGGATTCATATGATTCATGGCTTGCCATTAGAATATCGCCTATGTTGCACAAGAAGGGTTCACAGTTTCAGTCTTGATTAATGTGGAACATTACTCACACTTGCCATAGGTTCCACAGCTTCAGCTACAAAGGTGTTCGAGTCCAGCTCTACTTGCAGCCTGAAGACGAGCACAGCCGACTGCTGTGCTGCGGCACAGTTGTGCAAGAACCCATGACCTAGGCTGCCCGGCTACCAGTGACTGGCCCACGTTGCAATGAAAATCATTCGGAGCAACAGGCTCGCACTTATCATCTGCTTATTCCGAATCCAGCTTGCACTTGTAAGTCCAGAATGTGGATGGATATGGCATGCTATGCCTTGTTGCCCCTTGAGTAGTGCACCTGCAGTCTTCTTGGAATGCACCAAAGCCCCATTGACCTTAATCTCGAAGTTTCCAGTAACACCAGGGTCCTTGATCTCAGAGAAGCTGATGTCCTATCAGAGATTATAGTAAGATCACAAACCTGAAAAATGATCAATACGTCAATACATATCAAATCATATGGATCAAGACCATCCAGCGACGACCATGAAGCTACGATGAAACACCGAAGTGTAAAGCTCAAAGTTGCAAGGTGAAGTGACAAGATGTGACAAGTGTCAATTGGACACAGATACAACTTGATACATCTTGATACAACGTATTGGCCCCTTGTGCTGCCGTAAACAGCTTGGATTTGGCCTGGAATGGCATGGATCTCAAATGGAATCTGGCACTGGCTTGCAGAACCGTGCAGAACCAGTCCTTGCCAGGACACTTGGCCTTGATTAGCTCAATGGCGGCCTTGCTGTGTCGGCCATAGCCTCAGCCTCCGCAGTATTGTATCTCCTGAGCTGGGTGTAAATTCTTCGTAAACTCTTCGTAAATTGATGTAACAAAATGTAACTTAGGCAAAGGGCAGCTCAAGTGAGAGACAGATTATGACAATCCAAGGTTCAACTGCCACGGGCATATCAATTGCTCCGCTTTCACAACTTCGACAGAAAATAGCACCACTCTTGAGACGTTAAGAAGGCTGCAACGATTTCTTTCACAGTGTCAGTGGGCTTCTGGAGACAAATTTGGATTGTCTGTCACCACACTCTGTGGCACAACTTTCTCTGTCGCAAAATCATTGGAATGGCTCCATTGGACATGCCGAAATCTGGTGCAGAGATGTTTTCTTCCATCTTTGCAGCTCTCAATCAGGGAGTTCAGAAGTCTCAGCTACAGAGTACCTGCAAAGTAAAACCAAAACATGAAGCACGTACTCTGCATGACTTCCCCACCGAAGCACATAAAGTAACAAAAGGCTTGCAGAAAAATTGCAAATCCCATTGATGACCGCTTGAAGTGATGAAATGTTGCTGGGGCACCCTGGTGGAAGCTCCAATGTTTCCATATCAACAAAGGCCTACACAGCACGTCATTCACCAATACCAAAGAGGTCCGAAGAGTGGATTGATCACAGCTAAAATCACATTGTGACTTTCTGGAGAGCAGAAGTACAGTATGTCACAGGTCGGCATCTTTCTCTTGCTGCAATTTGCCAAAGCTTTCAGGCTTTGGTCTGAATGAAAGCTTGGCATATCTTGGCGTGGTCCCTTTTACTGGCTCTTTGAGCGGCAAACTGTTTCATCAGGGATGTCCACCGAAGCAGCCTGACATATGTAGCAAGAACTTCTTTGCACGCATTTTGTGCACAGAGACCTACGTACTTTGCCAAGCTGTGTGTACACCTCCGGTCCGAAGACGAATCCTCACAACCATTGTTCTAGAGTCTACATGAGTCTACTACGTTTATCTGAATAACATAAAGCTCTTGCCTGCGAAGCTTCAGCTGCAGCCTGTGCACGAATACTATGGACAAAACATGATAAAACCAAGAAGCGTAAGATGTGTTGGAGACTCCAAGGTATATAATATAGTAATTACAAAGAATTACAAAGATAGATTACAAAGATAGATTACAAAATATTCCAAAGATAAATGAAATATGAAATATAGGAACATCGTGGAATATGTGGGATTCGCCAGCCTGGTCTTCTCTCAATTTATCGCGGAGCTCTTTGTCTCTGCGAGCCTGGACATGAGACTCTCACGGAAGGCAGTTGGAGAATGGTGCCATATGGTGCCATTAGGACATCACACCAATAAGCTTTGTCAGTTGCAGTCCCTCCTGTGCTTCAGCATTCGCTTGATGAAGGTTTCAAATTCAGGGCTTTACAATTTCTGTGATCTTTACATATCTTTACGATGGTTTATATGTCATGAGTTTCGATGCATTGACCATTTGTGACCAAAGGCAGTCAAGATTTGGCGACAGTTGTGACTCTGGTCCCTCCGTTCAGTTGTGCCCGTTGTGCCTGGACGATCGCCTTCTTTCTGCGGAAAACTTTAGGACTTCGAGCGCGGTGATTTACATGGAACCTTTGCGTCTGACAAACATTGACAAACCAAATATGAAACAAATCCAAACCGCAGGATGCTGCAAGTGTTGCAGCAAGTACAGTGCGAATGATTGTGGATGGCATGCGCTGCTTCATCTTGCATTGGCAACTTGCAAAACGCACCTGGTGATTCCTCGATTTCTCATCTCTCGAGGCATCAAGGCCGGTCTTCGGAACACTTTCACTCCTGTGGAACTGCAATGCCAAAAGTAACAGGAGAAAACAAAAGAAGCGACAGATGACTGAGCCTCACAAAGTCAAAGAGCAGCCAAACGTGCCCATTCAAGCCTGTCCTTTTGGGACCCAAACATCCAGCACCTTCGTTCCATAGCCACTGATGGACACCCAACCTCGATTTGTTCGATGCTTCTTGGTATGTAGCGATTCTGGAGGGTTGAGAGTCACTGTCCCTTTGACTTTGCGCACAAGCGTGTCACCCCTGCAGTACTGAGGTTGGCGGTGAAAACATGTGGAAACAATGTGGAAGCAGGGGCTTTAGGCGGGAAGGAATGCGTGGCACGGGCAATAAAAAACAATTGATGTTGGGAGAGCCTAGCTCGTCAAGGATATGCAACAAGACACGCGAGTGCAACTGATGCGGCCACAAAGGGGCAAGGAGAAGATCACTGTGACATTGACAATGGCTGATGCGGCCAACGAAAGAGACACTTGGATTGATGTTGATGTGATCGATGTGATGCTGATGTTGTTGATATTGCTGCTGTTGCTGTTGTTGATTCGTTATTATGCTTATTGTCACTGCCATTCATATTGGTGATGGGTCATGACAGTGATGACAACGATGACAACAGTGACAGCGAATACATGATGATGATGATGATGATGATGATGATGATGCTGATGCTGATGCTGATGCTGATGCTGATGCTGGTGGGGGTGGTGGTGGTGGTGGTGGCGGCGGCGGCGGCGGTGGTGGTGGCGGTGGTGCTGGTGCTGGTGCTGGTGCTGCTGCGGCAGCTAATGAAAAGGAAACACCGGCCTTTAAGTTGCTCTGCATCAGGACAGTCAATGGCTGCCAATGGACTTGCAAACAACAGCGGTAGCTTTGGCCCGAGCCCATGCCCGCAACAACCTCACTGTCAAACTCTTCAAGCATTTATATATAGATGAATCTGACACCTGTATACAATTGTATACATAACTTTCGTTTGATTCCAAAAGCTGAGAACACAATCCTGGCAAAAATTGTTTACTGTGCTGCCCTTAATACAAGTAGGGTCAAGCTGCCTGCCTTATTTGTATCTGAAACCAGGGACTGACATGTAAGCCCTGCACGATGTCATCCCAGGCACGATCACTGCTACCAAAAACCTGACCAAACATGGCTTCCTATTAGGATTATTAGGATGAACAATTTCTGATACAAGGATTGTTTCGCGTTTTCGTCTCACCTCGACTCGATGTCGCACAAGCGGGCCCACTTTCTCGCAGTCTTCTTCTGCAGTCGAAGCAGCTTGGATTGCATGTGAAATATGCTGGGACCGGATTCATGCCACATCATTTCTTGAGGAAGGTGCGACTGTGAGGTGGATAAAAGAAGTGCCCAGCTTTCCTTCTCAGCAGGTCCTTGCAAATGAAAAGGAAATCACACTGGGTCAACAAATTGATACCAGGGGATGGCAAATGGCTTTGGTCATTATATATTGTTAACATCAGTCTTGACCCATTCCATAATCTGGTTGGAATATGGGTTCCTTTGTGTGATTTTCAAAACATTTCAAAACTATTTACTCAATGCCACTTCCCTTTCACCTTTTTGACTACTTCTTGCAGGTCCTCGACTTTGCAAGTTTGGCCTCGGGAAAAGAAAATGAAGTGTTCATTACCAGCGTTAGCGTTCAAGACTACGTACAGAGGGCTCGAGTTTGGACTCACAAAGCAGTGATACCTACCACAAGACTTGGTACACCTTGCTACTCTACTACTCTAGGCATCTTTGCCTCATTTTTGCTATGTTCTTCTTGCAGACTTGGTTCACTTGAATACAAGAACATGCAGAGAATGCACGTCAATGCTGTTCAATTACAAAATGATAATAATTACATAACTTACATATCGTACACATTATCAGATTTAATCCAGGAGTATCCAGGCCCATCGAAATAGAAAAGCCAGCTTCTACCACCGTGATAATTCCGCTTTCAACGACACCTCTCTACAGTGGGGTTGGAATTTAATCCATGATTCTGGAGTGCTCGGAGTTACTGTAGAAACAACTTGTGTGATCGTTAATGAGCATCCGGGCACATGTGTAATGTGACTCCAAGGCCAAAAAAGGAGGACAGAAAGCTGATGTTCCCCTGCCATGATTTCTGCAGCAAGAAGCGGCCAAAACAACATGGCAAAACATGGCAATGTGAAAAAATACCGAATACATCCGAATACATGATTCACATGATCAAGAGCATTGAATGCAATTGAATGGCAGCAATTTGCCCTATGAAAGAGTAGCGGGCCTCTACCTGGTCAATCCGCACAAGCGCACCAGCTAAGAAAGATCGTCCTGTGTATCAAGATTCGGCAAGGGATTAGAATCATCTAGAATCGCTAGAATCGCTAGAATGGCTCCTGTCGCAATCTGTCGCAAGTTGAATGGCACACCTGTGAAGCGGGTCCTGTGTGAAGTGCATAGGAAATGGCGTTGATTCGCCGCCGGGGAACGACCTCGAGACTCGAGACTCATCCACTCCGGGACACTGTGGAAGCAACAATTCGCCAGAGATCTCCTCGATCCAACATCCCTTCTCACTCTGTAAATACATGTAAAATCATGTAAAATCATGTAAACACTAGGTTGACATTGACACAAAACCGATCAAATAACAAAATACAAAGCCAACAAAACACAGAAACATGGACAGCAACTTTAAATAAATGCATGTTCAAAGATCATCAATTGAATTTACTGTATCTCTCAGCACGCTGCTGCATAAAGATCGATAGCTTCCTGCAGCTTTGATGTGACCTGGCCGCACATGCCGCACCAGCTCAGAGTCTTCAGCCATTTGAAAGACCTTTGGTCAGAACAGTTTACGGGAGCAACACCTCAAATGAAGTCAGACGGAAGATGGAACGACAGCAACAAAAGCTCTTCCCACTCAACAGTCTCAAATTCACATCCTCGACTCGTGGCCTACTTGCATACTTTCATCTGGATCTGGCTAAAATTGGTGTTTTGATGTGTTTTGGGTGGTTGGAAAGAGCAAGTTGTTTGGGGTTTGCCAACCCTAGTCTCACCCTTCAACATTCAGCAATGCGCTGAAGCACAGGTGAGATGACAAGACTTAGACAGACTTAACAATGACTTATCAACTTATATCAACTTATATCAACTTGTATCAACTTATATCAACTTATATCAACTTATATCAACTTATATCAACTTAGTGCTTCTTGGTATTTTGGCAACTTCTCACGGCCTGGTGTCTTGACGGGATGCCAGGTGTGTCTACAAGACGGAAGCCCTGGCGTTGCTGAACAGAAACTTTAAACTTTGTCCATGTCCAGAGATCGGGGGACTTGAGATGGCCCAAAGAACTCGCTCATAATTCGCTCGGCTCTAATGATTCTAGTGGTCTGCTGGAGGTATTGCCCAAATTACGATCATGTGATCATGAGTCCGAAAGAGCTCATCAATATGCAAACATCCTTCACTTAAAGCAAAGCATAGGCGGCCATTCCAATATTGATAAATGATGCACTGCTGCATTGCGTGTCCTTTGGCAATCCGAAAGAGACAAAGTGCAATGTCGTGCCAGGCCTCGATTCATTTTAGCATTTGTTTGCAAAGGATTTGTGCATAAGTGCATAATAATCATAATATGGTACAATACGCTGCTTTTGTTCTGGACTGGGGTCAAGTTGACTCAAAAATCATTATCACTGTTAGCATTTGTCGACGTTGGCTATTCTATGCTATTGTGCTATTGCTTTATAAACATTTGCAGCAACGAGAGTGCTCAAAACTCAAAGCAGTTCGGGCGCTGACACTGGTGAACGGGTCACACCGCCGACGGCTCTCTTGTAATGCACTGCTCCCTGGTGCCTGACGATGCTGTGTACACAGTATATCCGGTGTATCCCTTTATATAAGTGTAATATAGATTAATAGAGTGTAAAACAAATTAAAATAATATAACATAATGTAGTATACCGTGTTGCCAAACAAATCAAGACCAAGGTCACCTCAACTGCATTTCAATCTCAAGTTTCTCCGTCCATAGATTAAGACATCCAAGAAATTCGAAGAGACCACTCCGAGTGGTCTCTTTGAATTTCTCGGATGTCTAATCTATGGACGGATATGGACGGGACCACCCCTCTACTGCATTTTTCTGCTGGTCATACCCAAGTCAAATGCCTTTTCATGTGGTATGATTGCCTTCCATCACGTGTGTGAGGCACCTGTAGCCAATGTACCACAGAAAGCGATTCACAAAGGTCGACTTTCCAGAGTTCACTCTGCCGACCACATAGAGCCATTTGGGATCCTCACAAAGGCGACGAGTTCATCCTGGGAAATCTGGGAGACTGGGAAGGCCGAAGGCCTAATGCCGGCAGTCCTCTGGCTCCAAATGATGCCTGTCACTTCAAATTTCCCGAGAACATCCGAGGACCCTTTTTGTGAGATAGAGGGATTAATTTTTCTGAAACGACATTGCGATCATTGCTTCTGTTCGTACATTCGAGCCTCAAACGGTCCTCCAATTGCTTGAAACCAAAGCCACTTTGAGAGCTGGCGAGGATCTTGGCTGGTCAAAAAAGCACACCAACCCGGGAACCCCAAGCACCAAGAGTTGCAGGATTTCATAGGATTTCAAACAGCAAACATAACTATATTGGACACCTGGAATCTTGAATCGTTGAACAGAGTCGAGTAACTGATACCAGCAAGTCGTGACAATGTGCGGGCTGCATGTCCATGGGGCGTGCAAGTGATCGAGGTGCAAAAAGCATTCCACTAAGAGCTTTGCCACGTCATTGGCATGAACATTGCGTATCTGGCGAGACATGCGCCGCACCCACACTTTCAATCTCGCAAGGCCCTGGATTCAGGAGCAGAAGCTGCTGCAAGATGCTCACTCTAAACAGACAGCACAACGCAGCATGAAAAAGGTTGGTGCCGGGAGGGCAGAAAAGAGAGACCAGGGAACTTGGAATTTGCAACACCACTGCCAGCAAATTGGAGCTGCAAAAAAATAAACAAGAATAGGTTCACTTGTGCGGAACGTATATCAGGAAAATGGCTTCTCCATGCTTCTCCTCTTGATTCTCTCAACGCAAAAAAACTTCTCAAAAGATCTCAAAGGATCTCAAAGGTAAGGGAAACTGAGCGAAGGCGGCAGATCTTGCACACTCTGTTTACGACACAACCGCTGCTGAAAATTTAAGAACTACTCCGCATGCATGCTGTGGAATCAGTGATGGCTGTAGCATTCCTAATCAAACAATAGCTGGTGGGACGATGCCTTGGGCACCTTTTCCGGATGATTGTGAACCACTGACGCTTCAACCGCAAGTCAGGATAACTCAGGAGAAGAAACTGTCCAGTTCAGCCAATTTCTCCAAGGGGATGTCGCATTGCTTCTTCTCATCTGGCGTGTCGACAGCGCATCGCAGATCCTTAATGCGCACCTCACCTTTCTCCCATTCATTCGGCGCCACGAAGGCAATTTTGGCGGCGCCCACCTTGTCGGCGTAGCGGAAAGCTTTCTTGACCTTCCGCCCGGGCTCCGGATAGACATCCACGCTTTTGCCCGTCAGCCGCAGGCGTCGCGCAACGTTCATGGCCTTGCCCATCATGTCGGCATTGTATGCGGCCACCACCATGTCCACATTTGCCCCCAAGTCAGGAAGCACTTTTCTTTCCTTCAAGAGTTCCATAACGACGCAGTCTCCAAACCCAAAGCCCACACAGGGCACTTCCTTTTTGGATCCGTACAGCTCCAGCAGTTTGTCATAGCGCCCACCACCGCAGACAGCACGAAGCACACCGGCACGGTCGAAGCCTTCAAAGACCACGCCGGTGTAGTAAGCCAGACCACGCACCACAGATGCATCGAACTGCAACCAATCTGCAAAGCCATAATCCTCCGCCAGTGCAAAAAGTCTGCGCAGCTCTTCAACCTCTGAACTCTCGCCGACCCCAGCGATGTCCGCGAACTCCTCCAGGGTCTTGGCTCCCGTGGCGGCCACGATGGTATCTGAAACCTCTGCAGAGAGGCCTACCAACTTGGCCAGGTCTTTCTTCACAGCATCGGCACCAATCTTGTCCAATTTGTCGATGATGACGCAGGTTTCTGCAAACTTGTCAGAAGGCACTCCTGCGGCATTGAGCACCGCTGCCAAGACCTTCCGCGAGTTGATTTTCAGCCCCACATCTTTGGATGTGATCCCAACGCTCTCAAAGAAGGAGACCACTGCCGAGAGCAATTCCGCCTCAGCAGTGACCTCGGACACACCCACAATGTCCATGTTCCACTGGTAATGTTCTCGCTTCCTGCCTCTCTGTGTTGTTTCAAATCGCCAGCATTGTGGGATGGAGTACCACTTCAACGGCAACACTGCCGCAATAGCGCCTGTTTCTGCTCGCATCAACGACAGAACCATGCGTGCCAATGAAGGTGTCATTTCGGGCCGCAAGGTTACAGCCGCACCTTCCTTATCTCGGAAATTGTACATCTGTTCCGTGATCTCTTCCCCTGCCTTGCGTTTGTAGAGCTCTTCGCTCTCCAACACTGGGGCGTCATACTCTTGAAAACCGTACAGCTGTGCAGTCTCCCGAAACCGATCGAAGAGCCACCTTTGCATCCGCATGTCCTCTGGAAAGAAGTCGCGAGTGCCACTTGGGGGTTCTAAGGAGAATCCTCCTTCCTCGACTTCTTTCTTGGCGCAACGCCTTGCCTGACTGAACCTGGACCTGAACATACTGAGTACTGGCGTGCCTGCAACGGCTAGCAAGGCGCCACTGCAACCACCATACCTTGGTAAAGGTTCCCAGCGGGGTGCGCCCCTCGCAGAGTAAGCGCTGACGGAACGCAAGGCATGCGAAGAGGTAGCAGCACTGAAGGCACAGCCGGTGGCCAAAACTCCCACTGCCAGCCCAGTATGGCTAGCTCGAAGCCGTTGACGAGAAGCACCTCTCATGCTGCTCCTTGAAGGTGACGGAAAAGCACTTCGTTGAGCAGCAGGATGTCTTGAGCCAAAATAGTAACATGAGCTGACACTTGGATGGCTACCAAAAATCTTGGCATCATCAAATTATAACCCAATATGTCACATAGCATTTACACACCCTTTCACTCGATCTTCAATCTTAAAAGAGCGGCATTGCTCACACAAAAACTCTCCGTGCTGTGCTTGCACCCTTGATTGATCTGCAGGCCTTTTCCTTGTCGGTTTTCATGGTGTCGAGCAAGCAATCAACTTTATTGACTATGATGATGACAGGAAACCTTGCGCTTGGCTTCAGCTGCAAAAAATGCTGATGAAAATGCAAAACAGCTGAACAGCCTTAGATTCTCTTACATTCTCTTACATTCTCTTACATTACATTCTGGCTGGCGACTGTACGAGTTGGCGGCTCATACAGCCATATTGGAGTCTCAGAGATCCACTTGCGATTTCGGCAACCATCAAAGAGCTCTGGCACCTCAACACGTTGGAAGCAGCGCAGGCACATCTAAAGATATCTAAAGCGACTATAGGTTTATAATATAATATATACCTGGATAACCCATCTGTGCAAAATTATCGCTCGAAATCCGAAACAGCAATAATTATCGCCGGTTGCCTAAATTTTCGCTGTTTCCAGTTTTTTTCGCCGTTTCAGTTTCCACATTTTGGGCTCTTGATTTTTGTTCGCTGTTTCGTCGGGTTTTTTCGCCGTTTCGTTGGGTTTTTTCGCCGTTTCAAAACCGGCAAACATATGCAACGTGAGAAACATGCAAAATCTGTTCGGAGGCAGAAAAAAATGCCGCCAGCAATAGTTCCTGAAAAGGCAATAATTTTGCATACATTGGAAGACGCAGGTATATATATATATATATATCAATCAACGTTCCAAACGTGCGTGTGATCACAAGCACTACAACCGAACTGCATGCAGAGCACCTTTTCTCTCCCCAGCGACGTGGGTAGAACGGGGAGTTGATCAATCGCATGGTTCTGTCCGCTGGTCGATCCACCAGATGAAATGACAGACCCTGGATGAGATGCCTCTGGATCTGAGGCCTGTTGATATCACAGAAATTCAAGGGCCTGATGATCACAGGCGAAATTGATCAAATACATAAATCGAAAATAAAATCATCGCAAATCAAAAAGAATCCCCGCTCACATGACCAGATCATCACTTCACCCAAGCGCATCAAGAGCAGCCAAGATCCCGAGCTGCAGCGCCAGCGCAGTAGCGAGCACAGCGCGAAGATCCAGCGCAGAGCCACATCGCGCGTAGAGAATGCTGCATAGACCTCAATCGGAGGAAAGAGCTGGTCAGAGCATGGCAAATAAACGAGTGGGTTGGCTCCCAACCCACCCCGGATAACCAGGGTGGGCTGGGTGGGAGATCAAATTGGCCAGTCTGGATCGATCTTGAGCCAAAATGGCATAAGGTTCGAGCGACCTCATGTCATCTTGGCAAAGGGTGAACACCCTTGATTCATCAGATCAAATAAAATAAATAAAGACTGCAACGTGTTGAACAACATGTCAAGCAATGATCAATGCACATCACATCACTGAAATACAAGCAGCAACATGTTGAACAACATGTCATGCACAGATCAAAGTAGATCGCAATGCAGAGAAAAGGGAAGAACAGTTAGGTTGAAAGAACTAACGATTGACCCACTTATCCCAACCTACCAGACCGATGATAAGTGAACCAATCAACGTTCCAAACGTGCATGTGATCACAAGCACTACAACCGAACTGCATGCAGAGCACCTTTTCTCTCCCCAGCGACGTGGGTAGAACGGGGAGTTGATCAATCGCATGGTTCTGTCTGCTGGTCGATCCACCAGATGAAATGACAGACCCTGGATGAGATGCCTCTGGATCTGAGGCCTGTTGATATCACAAAAATTCAAAGGCCTGATGATCACAGGCGAAATTGATCAAATACATAAATCGAAAATAAAATCATCGCAAATCAAAAAGAATCCCCGCTCACATGACCAGATCATCACTTCACCCACGCTGTCACAAACTAGGAAAAATTGGATCGACCGTCTTCCAACCGAATCTCGCGCCTAACCTGCATCCGATCTCTGGATGGGTGATCGGCCGGGTTGGCATCTGTCGGAACTCGGTCTATATACAACTGAACCTTGAGCTCCAAAGCTATGTTCCAGAATACGCTTACCAGCTCGCACAAATCTTCACGGGCTGAGTATCCTTTCACTAGAGCTCCCTGTACGGGTTCAGAGATCCTGCCAGCCTCTCAGAAAACGTGCGCAGAGCGACCACCGTAGCAAAGAGCTCCACCATCGCGATCTGCGACTTCCTCGGAATCCACTTCTCAATGAGGGAGAACTCGACAGCCGCTCCAAACTGCAATGGCTGAGCACCTTTCTGAAAAAGAACGCCCCCGATCCACGGTAAAGTGGGGGATCCCTTAGAACCATCTGGGAAGCTGCCGTCAGTGAAGATCACAAAGTCCGGCGTTCTTGGCTTGGCGAACTCAATGGGCCGTGGTGGTCCTTCCTTGATCAACCACAACCATTGCTGCAGCGAGATCACCAGCGCCTTGTTGAGCTTGGTGTGGTTCATCTTGGAGTATTGGCGTTCAGAAAGCGAACGCAGGAAAGCTCTCCCAATCTTCCCCCAGAGCTGTGACGCGCCAAACATGAGCTTGCCGCGAAGTTTCCCTGCCTGACCCGGCGGAAAGACCTGGCATTCCAAGATGGAAGAGATCTCTTCTTCCAGTTCCAACTTCCGCGACGGCTTGATCTTCAGCAACATATCGTTGAGGTCGTAGGTGACACCGAGGATCGTGGGGTCGCGACACTGCTGCAACTTCTTCGGGTCGAACTGCGCCCCCAACCAAAGATGAACTTTTTGAGCGACCTCAAACGCAGAAGAGCAAGTGGCTGACGGTTCGAAACCGTACTTGTCATCATAGAAATTGAAAGCTGCCACCAAAAAGATTCTTCTCAGAACGTCCGTGATGGCGGCTGATCTTCGATTGTAGTTATAGACTGCCGACACCAGACCGAAGGAGTGACCGATCATGACGAAGAAGGAGACCTTACCAGTGGAAGGCTCACGGAGCGATATCACACTCCACCTTCTGTGATCCGGCTTGACACCGATCTGGCGGTAAGCCTTTCGTTCATCCAGGACCCAACCTTCGATCTTCTCGTCCTTGTCGACATGAGAACGCAACCAACGAAGAGCAGCCACGTTGACATCTGTTGATGGAAGCTCGATCTTCTCTGTGATCGTAGTGGCCATGTTGACGCCATTGACCGTGGCGCTGTCCACACCACGAACTTTATTCTTTTGAACCACTTCAAATCTCTGTGTGGGGATCCATTGCTCAGTGCCCAAAAATGCACTGACCTCATCCCTGGAGAACATCGGGCCGACTGTGACCCCTTCCTCAACGTCTTCCATAGTGGCTGCCCAGATCTTTTCGGTGTTCTCCGTGACCTCACATTTCTTGACATTGCGGACTACCTTGTTGAAAAATTCCCAGGCCCTGTCCGACAACTCATGGACGGAGATCCCGTCGTCATGAACAGGAAGAGCAGGCCACCTGTGACTGCGCTGAATGGCACCCACGATCGAAAAACCGTGGAGCAATGCCGCCGGCAGCTGCGTGTCGATGCAGCGAGCGGCAGTCAGCATTTCTTGCCAGAGCGCCACATGGGTGCATTGGCCCAAAACTAAGGGCTGCCCGTCAGGTTGACCGCGAAGAAGGCGCCGCAGGTGAGGATCACTGACCTGTCGCAACCACTGATCAGTGACGGGGAGCAGCTCGTGAGCTCGAGCTTCCCAAAACCGGAGAGCTCCTGCACGATGCCCAAGCACGAACTGTGGCTGCGATGACACCAAATTGAGAACTTCTTGAAGGTCGGGGTCAAGGGCAGGATCCATTGTGAACGGGTGAATCACGTGCAGAGCCGCCTGCACTGCTCGACCCGGTTCCATCTCGGTGGCTAAGATCGGCGGCAATGCCGATCGCTTCAGTTGGTAGCCCGCCGAGTTGGCTTTTTCAGCTGTGATCCTTTGCTTGTGAATCTTCCATGGAACTTCTTGGCCCACCGGGCGTTTGCGCTCAGCAGCAGGGGTGACCATCTGGAATGTAGCCGCCAAAGGATCCATGCCTGTTGCGGCGATCGCCTGTGCCCAAGTGCTGCACAGAGCGGATGGGTATACCTGCGCTAAACGCGTCTTGAAGACCTTCTGGCCCTCGTAGAGCACTGTGCCGACCAGTGGCTCATGAGAATGTGGCCGCTCAGCTTGATCACAAAGCAGAGCCAGTTCCCGTAGGTCGACGTTGGAGAGCACCGCTGTCGGCTTCTTGTGGGGGGAGGCAAACCGGCACATGTCGAGCCTGAACATCTTGGCCGTGGGCAGAGCCGCCAACTCGACCATAGGTGGCATTTCCCAAAGAAAGGAGCTGGCAGGGTTCTCAACCGACCAGCCGAGACCACTTGCGTGGAGCAATCGCACCCACCGCACAGTGAGGTGCATGAACTCATGGCCCAACTGCAGTTTGGCCTGGTCGCGTGGAGCAAGACCAGGGAGCCCCCACAAATGCATGCGATTGCGTAGGGGCGGTGGACCCCCATCAGCCTTCCGAGCAATGCTGAAGGAAGAGCAAAGTGTGCCAAAATGAATAAAAACGATCACCTTGGCCCTAATCAGCTTGATAACGTGCTGCTGAACTTGTGGCTCCAAAATGTCCACAGAGATTTGTACGAACTGGTTCGTGTTGATCTCAATGGGTGGCAAGATCTGCATGCCGCGCGCGCTGATTGCTTGCGAGAGCCCGGCTTCACCAGCAAAAACTTCCAAAAATGCAGGCCCGATCGGCACTACCATTGAGCCCCAAAACGGCCGAGAGAGGACTGTCCGAGCGGCAAGCTCTTCATTCGCCCCCCCCTCCGTTTGGGGCGTCTTGGAGCAAGTCTGGCTTCAATGATTGCCCACCATCGGGTGAGCAGCACCGCAGACCATGCAATGGTGTTTGAACCGGCATTTCTCTGCCAGAGCGCAGCCCATTGAAGAGTTGAAATAATGGCACCGCTTGGGCCCTGAGACCGAGGAGGCTGCCTGAGAGATGAGCTTCCATTCGGACTCGGGGATCCGCTTGTCTTTGTCGATCTTGGAGTCCTTTTTCTTATCGAACTGATCTTTCTTCACCTGCTTGATGTCTTTGGTGTCGACCGCACCACCCTTCTTGTTGCGCCGCTTGCGCTGGCGGCGGCTTGGGGTGGAAGGCTTGTCCTGGCTCTCCACCACTCGATCTTGGGGATCATGTGGTTCAGGTTTCTTGTGATCAACCTTCGCCAGGACTGCCTTTGTGCGAGCATCGTTCCAAAGGTACTTGTGGTTGTTGAGGACCTCCAAGAGCGCGGCTTCAAAAGTGCTGTAGAGCTCGCGTTGTTCAGCCTGGAGCCGGTGCACTTTCTTGCGGACCAGCGAGTCGGCTGCCAGGAGATAAGGAAGACCTGGGCACTCTGCTTTGAACTGCTCGAGCTCCTGCATGTATTTCAAAGGCCCTGCAGCACGTGAATACGTGCAAATGTTCAAAAACTCCAGAGCTATAAACAGCGCATGAACTCGATGTAGCAGGGTCTGCACGTCTGTCACCTGATCAGGTTCTTCGGCTTTGGAGATCGTCAAGAGATCCTCAGCGTTCTTTGACAGACCTGACTTCTGAACAATGCTATCTGCCCTGGTGCGGATCTCTGCCACGGCATAAAATGGAACCATGCCGTGAACAAGGAAATCTCTGCTGAGCTTCTCAACGAACTTCTTGTGCGGCTCCTTGGCATCCAGGAGGATCACGTCGGGGTGAGCCGTCACGAACCTGGAGCGGAATTCCGCGTGGTCTTCTTGGGCCATCTCGGGAACCTTGTTCGGGTCCTCCATTTGAGCTCTTCTCGTGGCGAACTGGCCTTGCAGCGCATGACATGAATGCCCCACGGCTGCCAGCTGCATCAGCGATAGCTCCTGTGCAGCGGCGTTCGCCCCAAGAGCATCAGTTGGAAGCAATGTCTGGAGAGACGTTTTCACAGGACCTGCCGCATCGCCGAGCATGGCGAAAACTTCAACGGATAAGAGCCCGGCGTCCGCCGATGCCCTGCACAAATCTGAGCTCAGCCCCAGCCTGCCAAAGATCTGGCGAAGGGCGATCTTCGGTGTGTGCGCCTCATCGGCATACACCGTGCGATCGACCATGCTGGCGAAAGGAAAAAGACCTACGGAAAACTCTTGAGCCCGCAAAACTTAAATCCAAATACTATCACTGGGCGCGGCCTGATCAAGCCGTCAACATAAGAACAATCGGAAACCCATTGTCGCCCGTGATTTCACCGCGTTTTTCCTGGCTATATGTCAGCACAATTTTGCTTTTGATTTGCACAACTGGCAGATCATGCCAGGCGCATGCGGACCTACTGAAACAGCATCTGACATCTTCAGTCGGCTGCAAATCGATGCACTAGAGGAAAAACTAGGATCAAAAATATGGCATCTAAAATCCGCAGAATCAAAAGAGCTGGCTGACAGGGATGCTTTGACTATGAACTCTCTCACAACAGGTCCTTGAACCTCCTCGTCCTCCTCTTCGATCACGAACTGTTTGGAATCAGGAACCCAGTCTTCGCGGAGCTTCGAGGCCATGTCTTTAACCATCGCCACTGAGAGCTCCTTGCGGCTTCTGGCATACTTGAGCACCAGCTGCTTGGGGTCTTTCCAATTGGCTTGCAAGCCCACGATCTTGTCGTCGACCTGAGCTTTGACGGCCTCTGAGAGCATGGTCACCCTCATCGAGTGCCATGTGATCTCTTGCACCGCCTTTTCAGCCGTCTCCAGTTCGTTGAGCTGAACGAGGTTCAACACCTTCGCCTCCATGAGACCCAGCAAAAAGAAACTTTTCAGCCAGGATAGACTACGAGAGTAGGTGATGGGGGCCTCAGTGAACTCCTTCTCATTCTTGAGCTCCCATATAAAATAATCCCTGTCAGAAATCATCGGTTGAAAAAGATCCCAACCGATCTTCAGCCACTCAATTCCGGAGAGGGAGCAATTTGGCACAGCGAACCGTGTGCCTCTCCTCTTCCGCTCGACCTTGGTTTGCCAAACCACGCCGAGCAGGGCATCACCTGACATTACCAGGGACGATGGAGCAACGTGTACGCCATCATCGAACCTGAGGGATGCATAGATCAAAATGAGGGCCCACCATGCCGTGATCGCGGCGGCGGTCTTGCCCTGGTTCACGAGCCGGGGGACCAAAGCTTCCAGAGCCAGCACCAACTGCGGCGGCAGTGGAACGGCCTCTTTGAGCTCCTTGCCCTTCTCAAGGTGCACCTGGTCGATCACAGCCTTGAGGCGCGCTTCGCCCAGATCGGGGCAAAACATCGCCAGGCGCTTGCAGATCCAGCCCACCGCATATTTGAACGATGGGAGCACTGCCGGCCCGCAACCCTGATCCTTCAAATGCAGAGCGTAGCGCATCACTGCGACGATCGTGGGCGGGTAAACCCGAAGACCGTGAGAAGTCGCCCACTCGTCGAACTTCTCCCAATGCCTCACGTTCTGCCTGATCGTTCTGAAGCCGCCTGCTTCAAAAGCTAACTGCTTGAGACGATCTGCCTCAGCCGGTGCCAGACCAATGCAACGTGAGGGATCATTCACGCCTGCGCTGGCCCCAGCGCGCTCACAGATCTGTTTGAGCCGCAGGCCCCACCTCTTCCGCTCCAAATACTCGGAGTCCTGGATAGATGGGATGACTTCCGTAGAGCCAGCACCTCCTGGCTTCTTACCGACCTGCAAAGGCACGGGAGCCCGGTGCACCACGTGGTCCAGCGAGCGCTTGCCACCAGTCCGCGGCGGCTCAGCTGACCCGTAGCCAAGATCAGTGGCTATCTCCTCCTGCACCCGCTTAGCTGAGCGGGACACCATGTCTGCCAGCAGGTTGACCATGTCCAGCCGCAGCAGAGCCGCGTTGATCACCTGGTCATCGGCGGTCAGAGCCGGTAAGAAAGATGAGAACTTTTCATCGGGAGATGCAGCATCATCATCTGACATGGCGAGCCAAAACTCAACTCGATCGAGTCCCACTTCTTTGAGGACTGATCGAAAAGTGTCATCAAAAATCGGGAGACACAAAAACCTATGAATAGATCTATCCATGGTGAGCTAGGCCTAGCGCAAAACCCTCAATGCCACTTGATCCAAGAGCTGAGGTCCCGTTGCGATCTCCCAGGCAACAGCGCGCAGATCTGAGGATCTCGCCTGCAGAGCCGGCGACAGGGCAATGATCAACCCCGTCGGACCCGCAGGATGGCCGGGATCTGGCCCCGTGTGAGTAGATCACTCAAACACGCCAAATCGAATAAATAATCAATGATCACTATCCCTCATCCAAAATCCATCCATCAATCGATCACATCGAACTAATGTATCAAATTTTATCACATTGAATCAGATCCAAATCATCAAGTAAAATCCAGATCAAATCAAATCAAATCAAATCAAATCAAATCAGTTCACATCAAATCAAATAAATCACGAGCATTTACGGATATAATATCACGAGATCAACTATCTTATACCAGGATAATAATGGGTGGAACCAAGCAGAGGGGAAACAACGACCCAGGGGTGATCAACCCTGTCATGTTGCTTCACATCACCCTCGCTCCCCAACTACCGGGTATGATCAACCCGTGAAAGATCGAGCACTGGGAAAAAGACGGCTGAGCGGCGGGACATGATCAGTACCCGGTCGCCGATTTCTCTTTTCACTTCCCGCATCGGAAAAGTCGCAATGCTCCAAGTGGGAAAAGATCTGTCACAAAAACCACCTGCATATTGCAAGTTAAAAATCGATCGACAGCAAAAGATCAGCGGCTGTCGAACACAACTCTCACCTCTTCTGTAGACCTCCACAAGAGCGATGAGCGCCTAGACGTCAGATGGCTTCTCAGGAGCTGATCCCGGCGTCGCTGGCTTCAATGCCGCCGGTGTAGAGCTCGGAGTGGTGTTCTGAACCGTCTCAGCCGGCGCTGTGAACACGGGCGCGGGGGTGCTGTCAGGCACCCTCGACGGATGAACCGCCGCCCCCTTGGGTTCAGGCTCCACCTCCTCGATCGTGGCCGTGGAAGTGTTGTACACACGATTGGCCATCGTCTCTGCGAAGATCTGAGGTGTGAGCAAGGATGTGGACCTTGCAAACCTTCGATCCATCCTGGCACGATCACGATCATCGTTGACAGCATGGCCTCCTTCTCCTTGGTTGGTATGTCGAACCTGGAGCGATCGCTCGTCGAGCTCAAGCCCCATCTGCTTGTTCACGGAGACCAAAGTGCCCTCACCATGTGAACTGCTTGGAACGTCCGTCATCTCAGCCTGACCAGATAGCCATGCGCCCGCTGTCAGAGCTGGAGGCCCTGATGGAGCTGGTGTTGATGTGGCATGCTGCATTTCTGCGAGAGCTGCACTGGGGACGATCTCAGACTCCCTCTCCAACAGCTTCGACCTGGATTGAAGGTGGAAATTGCCCTGATCCAGGTCCTCCGCAAAGATGACCAAGCTGCCGACCTGGCTCTCATCCTCTGCAACGGAGCTTGACCACCAGCCTTCATGGATGGCTGCCAGCTGAGCGAACTGCTCTGTCTGTTCCGGACCTTCTACTCTGGCTCTGTTCTCACGGACCGAAGTGATGGTCCTGATCAGAGTGGGCCCTGAAATGTGTGACACCGTGAGCCACGTGCCAGGCACAGAAGTTCTCGAGCACTTCAAGTCGATGCGATTGTTGGCACGAGCTGTGCTCTCGTCCCACCCAGCGCAAGGATTGCCAGTGTTGCTCTCGATCGAGATGGCGATCACCACCTTGATACCATCCAAGGTGTAGTTGCCGAAGAGAGCCACATGGAACCCCGAGTTGGGTGGCATGACCTGATCACGCTCGGTCATGACGTTGATTGAGCTGGCCGCATTGCTCATGATCTTGGAGACCAACCACGACTGGAACGGCGACACAATGCGATCGTCCCTTTTATCCACCACGATGATGGATTGATCTTCAGCATGGGTTGCGTCTGTGATGGCCTCCAAGAACCTAGGCATCTGAACTTCGTAAGGGTTGTGTGCATTCGACCCTGCCCCATAGCCACCAGAACTATAGGCTGGAGTCCAACCACGACCTCCTTGTCCACCTTGACCTCTGCGGCCTTGATCGTAGCCTCGCTGCGAGTTGCGGGACATGGCACGAACAGGTGGATGAGATCGAGGAGCTAGGGGGAACTGCCCAGGCCCGAGATCAAATTGGCCAGTCTGGATCGATCTTGAGCCAAAATGGCATAAGGTTCGAGCGACCTCATGTCATCTTGGCAAAGGGTGAACACCCTTGATTCATCAGATCAAATAAAATAAATAAAGACTGCAACATGTTGAACAACATGTCAAGCAATGATCAATGCACATCACATCACTGAAATACAAGCAGCAACATGTTGAACAACATGTCATGCACAGATCAAAGTAGATCGCAATGCAGAGAAAAGGGAAGAACAGTTAGGTTGAAAGAACTAACGATTGACCCACTTATCCCAACCTACCAGACCGATGATAAGTGAACATATAATATATATATATATATAAATACGTATAAAATCGTATAAACTTATATTTATATACTCTTATTTATTTAGATGCAAATCTTTGATGCCTTCGGTGTCATTGATTCATAAGACATGTTCATTCCGGGGCACCAAGGAGCTCTCAAAGTCCAGAATATCCACAATCATGAGAACCTTGCACAGTTTCGCGAAGGCAGCTTAGATGTACTTGATTCTTTACAGTCCTTGCTAGATATTAGTGGACCACATGGATGATCTAGATGTAAAATGATGTAAGGCTCAGGTGGCAATGCATGCTGGCACAGCTTAAGTCAGACAGTCTCTGGTTGCAAAGATGGCGCCCCAAGGATTTAAGAGTTAGAACATGTTAGAACCCCCTGTCATTGCTTTCGGGACAGTGATGCAAAAGGCGACAGCAGGATGAGATTTTGCAGAGGTTTGTTGTGTTCGTTTGTATAACTTCTAGGTAGACAGGTCTAGAATACTTTCGGATTAGTGCTTCGAAGCATGAAGCAAAAGTAAGCCCGTCGCCACAGAGCCTTTACCTGATACGCAGAGTTACATCAGTTCACATACTCTGATACCATCAAATGCAATGTGAGAATTTTGTTCAGTTTCTGCACTGCCTTGCCATGTGCGGTGCACCATGGTGGTGCTGCAACGCATTTTGTCGCTTTATGTCACCTTCGCGCCGAGTGTCTATTCTCTAGCCGCTCCCAACTCTCTGCACAGACCTTTGCCATGCACTTGGGATAAGAAGGTATGTGGCACGTAGAGCACCGCACATTTGGTCAGCAATGGTCACCAAGGTTCTACCATCGGTATTGGAACCCAACCTCCAATGACTCCAAAGGACACTTTGTGACTGCAATGCGTGGACTCCTTGGACTCTCCTTGGACTCTTCGCCTCACTGTGCCAGGACCGCGGATCACCTTCAGCATCGTTTCAGCATCCCGCAGCGAACAACGAACTCTGCAACTTGAGGTTCCCCATCTCAGACTTGACAGATGTTATTTTGACATACATTGACATACATTGACATACGATCTGTACAGACTTACAAAGGATGCAAGTGCTCTAAACACCTAGCAAACAAGGGATTTCTGGCCAGTCTTTTTTGGCAGCTCTTGATGTAGCATAGGTCTTTGTGTAATATAGAATCGGGTTTGGCAGTGTTTTCTTCTTATATCGCTTCGTAGCAGTTGCCAAGACAGCCTCAGATCTTTTCAGATCGCTGCTGAAGCGCAAGGAAACAAATACCTTTGGGATTCCCTGCGGATAAAAACGTTTGTCCGATACAAGAGGAGCACACACCGATCGATCGCCGCAACTGGAACCCTTTTCCGGTAGCTTGAGCCACTCCTCCACTTCGCTCAGATCGGGCGAATCCACCTTGCACCACCTCGGTGTAAAGATGAAAAATCTTGAAAACACATGAAACCGTTTTCAAACACACACTAAAATGTTATAGTTATAGCAATTTACAACAAACTATATAGATATATATACATTTAAATTTATATACAACATTATACAACAACCCTAAGATGTCATGACTTACAACTGGGTTGTCTAGACCCGACAAAGCATAGAAAGCAAAACTTAGACTGGGACATCGGTGGCGTGCCCTCCCCCAGTCTTGTTTATAGCACCGCAGGGTCAGTCTGATAGTAGCAAAACGGACAAAGAAACTCTCCCAAAACCATGCCATGCCATTCCAAAGGGACTGCTTGTTGGCACCCACCTTCCAAAGAGCCACATTCATGGCCGCTTCGATGTCATGCAGGCTTCTCATCTTGATCGCTTCATATGGTGGCTCTGCCTCATAAGTCTCGTCCCGTAGAAGTCCACGCAACAGAGTGGCAAGAAATGGTAAGGCCTGAGTGGTCCAAAATAAGCCAAACTGACTCCAGCGCATTGATTGTCTTGAGGAACCAGGGACCTGCACATGGGCCCAAAAATTTCCTCCATCTGAAGCCTTCTTGTCCATGAAATGTGCAGGCATAATGGGATAAGGATATGCCGCATTTATCTCGAGTTCAGTAGCTTTGAAAAGACGATCTATACCTGGAAATACCAATGCGTTGTAATTCAGCAAAATCCCTGTCTGTACGTGGCTAACCACGGCGGAAAGCAAAAGAGTGGTGCTGTGACCAATAAAAAGGGGGACCTCTGCAACGCTCAGCAAAACCAAGCGCGGAAAGACTTGCGGATTCCAGTGTAAAGGCGTTGCCATTCCTGAATGTAGTACAACAATTGGATACACGGAAAAGCGATGAACTGATTCTATGAGAAGTTCCATTGCTTGAGATTGAGCTCCTTCCAATGGACCACTGAAATAGCTCACAAATCCACGTTTCAACCATCCATTCACATACAAGCGCTTGTAGTTTGAAGTGAAGGTTGAAAACACATAGGTCTTCATGGCGGCAGTCAACTTCTTCGGAGGCAGCGCTTTAGCTCCAGCTGGTCTTTCGTTCCAGCTTGAATTGCAAATGCCGGCAACACCTTTCCAAGCCTGCTGCCCAGCCAGAGACATGTCTTCCGTGAACATGTTGCAGTTTGACCCCTCATCCAATTGCAGCTTTTTGCGCTGTTCTTTTGGGAGTGCCAAGACATTGATGCAACGAAAAAAGTAGCTGGCTGTATTCACCTGGCACTCGCAGTGTTTGGAATCATCTCCTGGACTTACATCCGTCAAATCTGGACCTCCTGCTTTCTTGCCCAATTGACACGCCACACGATTCGCCACACTTGAACTAGAGGCGTGGACATGGACCCAGCGTCCTGACACACCCCACCGAATGTTGCCATAGCATGCGCATTCATCGTACTGTCCAGAGCAGAAGATCCAAAGCGTGTTTGCATTCGTTAACTCCTGGGTCGAGTTTTGAGAGATATTGAGACCTGCAACAAGCAAACCCTCGAAGTCAAGTTCGGGCTTCCAGTTCTTGGGAAATGGCCACGAAGTTCGTGACAAAGCAAAGGCTTCATGCAACTGGCCCTGGTTCTCTTGAACCCACGTCAAGTCAATCAGGGTCCGCCTGCTCTGGCTGATTGGAGATGAGATAGAAATTTCTGTGCTCGCATCAAGAAGCTGGCTGCACCACAGCAATAGAGCAGCCGATGCCAGCAGCATGTAGAAGAATGGAGCCATTGAAGATTTACAGAAGCGCAACGCATTCATGGCAAAAAGCCTCCAGCACTATATGCCACCGTCAATCTCCACAACCAATCCGCTTGGCGGCCGTACATGAGTATTTCATGTGTCTTTGGGCTGTGCTTTGGGCTGTGCTTTGAGCCCTGGAAGCAGCGCCAGCATCTTAACTGGCATAACTGGCAAAACACGGCATACACGGCATATACAAAGTCCAGCAAATGCAGAAAAAGGGTACTCTGTGATGCTGTGTCATAGGTTGAGTAGGATTATTCCTTGGAGATGTTTGATAGTTATAATAAGATTTTACAAGGCGCATTTTGAAGTTCTCAAATGCTTCGGAAAGATTCGGAAAGCATATGGAAAGCATATGGAACAAAAGGTTCGCATTTCAGCAGATTAAGCTCAAGGCGCATGCGGCGCACAATCTTCTCAACTATTTCTGCCTCAGGGCTCGAAGCGTTAGAGTAACTGTTAGACATATCTAGTATGCTGATGATCACATCTGATGTATGCTGCGTATGCTATAGACGTTCCGATGCTTACTGCAGCCTGCAGCCTGCCTCATGCTCCCAGTCGCGTCCGCCCTCCATTCTGTAGAAGCCTCCCTTCACAAATGTGTCTAGCCTGGACAAGTTGGATCCATTTGGACTCCATTTGGATCCCCGATTTTCTCATGTCAAGAGGCAAGTAAGAGGCAAGTGGGCCAGGGATTGACACGAACTAATCAGTGACATGGAGAGTATGAATCTGTTGGTATGCCAGCTTCTCCTCTGACAGTTTCACCAATGTGAATATGAGAGCTATGAGTGCCATGAAAGCTGAGGGCTAGAAAGTGCTGGAAGCAAGCAGTATCAACAATATCAACATGTCTCAAGAATTGGGCCAGTGGCTTGTGATAGTGCTGCAGTTTGTAGCACCGTTGACATACCAGCAGGCGTGTCTTGTCCTCTGCAGGCTGTGGCTTGGGACATAATTATTTGGCCAATGAAAAGACAACAATCTATGCTCTGGTGCTTTGCAGGCTGATGGAAAAAATATGAAACATTGCAAGGCAATACAGTGCATATGTTGCACCAAGGTCATTCAGCAATGGAATACAGTTTCTTTGAGCAAAATGCACATCTAGTCAATGAAACCTCAGTCAATCTTTTGCCGTGCAAGTTAGTGCAGGCAAGTTTGTTGCGATGGCAAAAGTAAACTTGGTTGATGTCACGTGTCCTTGTACTTAAGCGAGGAATCACGCATGACCTGCACGCATCTGATATCATCTGATATCATCTGGTCAAGGGGAGTGTTTGAAGCATGTCCGTTGTCTGTCGCATGTCTTGCTTCGCTTGTATCGCACGCATTTCCTTCTGGGCAAGCCTCCACGCCGTCCGGGACTGTCTCCACTGGCACGCCCCTTGGTGCTGAACTGTCTTTTCGTCGTCCTGACACACACTGAAAGATACTGGAAACCAGCCTCTGCATCCTGCATGTCCCATAGTCATAGACATTATAGTACTTAGCCCCTGGATTCCTGCGTACTTTCTTGCTGTTTCCCAGCTGCGGTATATTTTCAGACTCCCCTCTGCTGTCAAGGCAGGTACCTGTCAACGAAAACCTCTCCCGTGCTTCCTCGGGAACCTTGCCAGCAAACCACGCTCACACTATCTCACACTTCTAAAAGTCTTGCGTAAAAAGAGTGTATCAATATTCTATTCATCTGGGTATATGAACCGAACAGGATCAGAGAACACAGTTGCTGTCCGAGTATAGACAAACTGACTTTGTGACAACTGTTACCACGAGTTGCGGAAAGTCTCCAGTGTGGATTCACCATGCAAGCTGTGTCAAATCCAGGTCTGGTCATGTCGCATGATGCTCTGAGGCAATCTGCGCAGTCAAGTAGATTTACATATCCAGAACATGCAGTACGTACGGTTACGTACGTTGCTTGCGAATAAAATAGAATAAATCAATCTATACATGGATATGAATAGACAGCACATGGCAAAGTCGACAGTTGTCTGATACAAGAAAAGCTTCGCTCGTGTGTGCGCAGAGGCTCTATTTTGCATCAGTTTCTCGAGAATTTGTGTCCATAATTTGAGTCACCACAAAATTCCACAACGACCATTCACTTGGAAGGCATAAAAACACAAAATCCGTGGTCTGAAATTGGTCAATTTGGATTAGTCACTTGCAATACTTTGGGAATCTTTGGGATTGAAGCCAAACGTTTCGCCGAAAGCATCTGAGCCAGCAGCATAACCATGTTCTTCTGGGTTCTCAGTGGCCGGTTGAAGGACGTTCTGCTTCGAAATCACTGAGTTGCTCCGAGTTTCTTGTTCTTTTTGTGCTTTCAACACCTTCCATGATTTTAAAGCATCAGCCGGATGACCTGGCTCGATCTTTTACATATGTTTACATCCTTCTACCTCATTTATTTACAGCTATATATGCTACGAGTATATTAATACTATAAAATTATATATAATTATAGATATTATTGATATTATATTATATTATATTATATTAGATTATATTATAATAAATTATATTATAATAAATTATATTATAAACTACAATATTATATTATATTATATTATATTTATATTATATTATATTATTGTGCAAACAATGCCTCATAATGCCTATGCAGTTTCTCGAGACTGAGATGCTGTCATTGGAATGGAGCCAGGCACCACATCCATGGCAGCGCCGTGCCACTCGAATGCCTCCTGTCCCGGGCGAGGATGCAAGAAGAATCTGCAAGAAGATTGGCCGATTCTAATGTGCTACGTTGCGCCTCTTTAGATCTTGTTTGGGAATGCTTGAGATGCATGTGCCCACAGCATTGTGGAGCTCCAATTCATTCCACGTGTTCAAGCCATTGCAAAGAACCCTTCAATTGCATTCAATTTCCATATTCTCATGTTCCAGCTAATCAGCTAATTGATGCTGATGTGCGCTAGGAACCTTGAAACTCGAACGACAGCGCAGTGGGGCGACCATTCCATGGGCGACCATGCAACCCAGATCCACCCAACCCATGCCACCTCCTCCACCCCGGGCTGCACGCAGCAGCTCCTGTCTGTGAGGATGGCCAAACATGGAAGCTTTCTACCCGCGGCTTGAAAAGATGGGAACAAAAAGATTAGGACGTCATAAATCCCATGACTTGAATATATTTGAATATCATATCAAAGCAGTAACGGTAACCCTTTAGGTGTTGGCAAAAGGAACCAAAGGAAACCTCTCAACAAGTATCATTGATTTTTGATCAAAACATCCGCTTCCGTTCGTACTGAAGGTCGTCTGGTTGTCTCCTCCATCCCAGCTTCTTTCGAAACATCGCCTCAGGCATGAAATGAGTCCGAACACAGCATGCCAATCTACCAACGGCCGAACTGGGCAATCCACCTACTAGCAACGCACCGGCAGGCAGTTCAACCTGACTTGGTAGGGCAAGTGCTCCGTCCACACATGTTCAAAAATCCAGTGCAATGTCAGATATCTTTACTGGCAATCATGTTGCATTAGTTCACTTTTTTTTGAGGTCAAGCCTCATGTACTTCTGGATCTTCTCCATCTTTTCCATCACTTCCACTGATGCTTGACCTAAGGGCGGTTTATTTCTTATCTCTGCTTGTCGGCAGTGATCATCAACTCACTATTTCTGTCACGTTTGCAATGCTCCAACAAGAGCTTGGAGTATGCAAGAGCGTCCCAAGAGCCTGAAAACTTTTCCCAGATACATTGTGATACATTTTCTGTGACATGTTCCGGATGAAATCGGCTTCACCTGAGTTTCTTGCATTAGGCGCACCGACGCTGACCGAGCAAAGGACACAGATACGAAGTCACCTCTCAAAATGCTCAAAATAGCCAGGACATCAGATTCTTCAACACATCCGGACTTGCAAAGCATGCCGACATGATCTTGCAAGCAGTAGTACTAGTTACTAGCAGCCATTGTGAGGACCATGAAACCAGATCGGCAATGGTGACTGTGAAAGCATTTGCAAATTGCAAATGCTCGGTATGGAAACAGGTCCGAATGAACTTCAACAGTTCAGTAAGAACTGTGTGTACAAACATTCCTGGACTCGTATTGCATTTCATACAAGCAAAGGGTAATTCTACAGCTCCGAAGGACTTGAGGCTGTAAACAGCTGCCCTCATACAAAGTCACTATCTGCATGCACTTCCAGGCGGTTTTGCATAGCCAAGCTGCTTCCATGAACCGCTGTACGTCTAGGTCGCGCAGACTGCAGGGACGCGCCGCTAAATCTCTTGAAGCAGTGCCTTGCGGTTGATCAACCATGCTCAAGTGCATAAACTAAAGAAACGGGTGAATCTGCAGAATTCCCAAACACACCATGAATAGCTGCGCTATGCTTTCGACGAAAATCTATCGTGTAAGACTTCGCGATATGTCCAGGCTGTGCCGCCCTACCACCACAGCTGCGAGTCTCGGGCAAACTTGGCCTCAATCAAGGTGAAGCAAGGAGGACGGAACATCTAAAATATCCAAATTAGATAATATCAGATATACTGCATGTTGTGGATATTGCATTGAATCTATGTCTATATAATTATGTTAGATGCTCTGTGATTATACGTGTCATTACTTGTCTGTAGGCTGAATGGCAAGGATACGCTACAACAGGGAAAACTTTCGAAACCTGAACAGCACTCTGTGCACGCCAAGTGGCAGCTCTGTGCATCTGTCGCAGAGCCATGGCTCAGCATTTGGCTTTCAGCAAACATAATTGGTGCAAACATCGGTGAAAAACTGTGAATGTCTGTGACATGTCCGCCACTGGTCTGTGATGTCCTGTTGCAGTTTGAATTGTGGCAATCACAATCCGGCATGCTGCTATGCAGGGAATCTAGGAAGGGCATTAAATGCACTCCGCTATCAAGGGGCCAGGTGATTTATGGTTGGATACTGATGTATACTGATGTCGTATGCTGCTGCATATTGAACCGTTATATATACGTATATATATATATGCAATTATGTATACCGTGTGCAGTGTGCCTTTCATATGTATTGTGTTGTAATTACAACATTATTGCCGGCTATCATATGTTACAAGATTTTACAAGTATATAAACGACGTGCATCTGCATATAGAGTTTTCCTCATTGGACGCATGCCTTGTCCCGTTTGTTACAGAGGTGCAAGCGGGTCCTTGGACTCAAATCACCTGCTGCATGTAATTCTCTCACTTGGTGTCTATCGGCGTTCTCCAATAAGAGATTCTCGGAGGCCCATGTTCTTCTTGGTGAGCGTGTTTCTTGATGACCTGCCAGCCATCGCAGAAATTGGAACTGCCTACAAATGTACAGATGCCGGATGCACCACCAGAGTGGTGTATGCTGGCAAAGCAGAAGCGAGGTCATGTCATCATTGTCTGGTTCCCTCTCTCTCTCTCTCTCTCTCTCCTTCCTTTTCTGCCCCATCTCCCTCTCTCTCTCTCTCTTTCTATATAATAATATATAATATATATAATATATATATAATATATATATAATATATATATAATATATATAATATATATATAATATATATATATAATATATATATAATATATATATAATATATATATAATATATATAATATATATATAATATATAATATATATATATATAACATATATACATGCTCCTTGTCCGCTCTTTTTTTTCCATTGATCGTCAATCGCTGTGCCAAGATTAAATCTTCTGACAAACACAGCCAGTCGAGACAGATTTCTTGCCACTTGCTGTACAGAAGCAAGCAAACCTGTGAGCCTCGTCTGGTTCTGCAGCAATTTGCAGCTGCCAGTCTCACTATGTTTGCGACTCCTTGGAAACCTCGATGCGCACCTGCGCAGTGGAGATGTGACATGCGATAAGACCCCCGATATGGTGTCAATGATATATGTCAATGATGTGTCAGTAATAATTCAATGCGAATCTGTGCAATGTGCACAATATGTGGCACTGCCACCGCTGTGCTTTGCCATGCCTTCAGGTGTCTCGGGGTTGCCAGGTCGTCGGAGCAAAGCTGCCAAGGTGACCAAGGTGACCAAGGTGACCAAGGTTACATAATGTGACGTAATATTACATATTATATATACGCACGACATACGTATGTACGGTATAGTACGGTATAGTACGGTGTAGTACGTTAGCATTGCCGCATGATGCCGCATGAATTTGCATTGCCTGCTCGGCCAACATGGGCAAAAGGTGACGAGCTCCACCGCACTCAGCCTGCCACCGGTGACCAGTATCGAGTCACATCGAGTCACACCGAGTCACATCGAGTCACAATGTGGCACAACAACCAAGAGATACCAAGAGATCACTTTGGAGATACCAAGAAATACCAAGAGACTGTTCACATCTGTCAAAGCCTCACAACATATCATACATCACAACATATCACATATATCACAACACTCTATGGCATATGCGTCGCTATCCACCTCAAGCAACAGGGTCTCCAGCAGTGGTTCAAAGTCATTTGGATCCGAAGCTACCACCTCGACAACACTTTCACAGTAGCAAGTCATGTGAGTGGGGTTGAGTCCTTATGTCCAAATCCAAATATGTGCAAGTTTCTCCCCGAACCAAAACACTCTGAGGCAATCAAAGGCAGAGTCAGAGGCACGACAAACCAGGGCAAACGATCGTTATTCCCACCTCGAAAGCAAACTCCGTGCTTCCATCTACGAAGCCACCCTTTGCATCTTGGGATCCAAATAAACCATACCCTGAGACAGGAGCGCACAGACCGGATGGTTTTTCTGCATAGCTGGCATAGCTTCCAAGAAGGCTCTTCACTGGAAGGAGAATCGGTCTTGACATTCATATCATTCATCTGAATGATTCTCACTCTCAAGACTACACAAGAGGCCTTCCATTGAGGTTAACCCAGAAAGGAAGCTTTGTTGCCACGGTCTGGTGCACGTCAATTTGACATCTTTAACCTGCTGGCGGGCAGAATCAAGCATCGTCAATGAGGTCAATGTGAGCAATAAGCAAGATATATACATAATTATACATACAGGTCGCCCATCCTCGCCAATCTGAAGAAGCACACTCTGAAGAACTTCCTGGCTGGCACATTGATTGAAGCAACCTGAACCCTGCCTCTCTTTAGTGACTTTAGTGCTGTCTGTAGTCTTGCAATGTCTTGCAGGGAGTGGGCCTGTCCCATTTTTTCAGCACCTTTTGAAGCTGCCGTCGGATGCGCCAACGCAAGGGGACGTGAGCTATTCATCCCCGAAACGCAACCCGAGAGGCCGTTGCCGCAGCAGGTCTGTTACCTGCTTCTCACTCATCATTGACATGTCCAAGCCTGAAAAACTTGAATCTGTGGAGGAGATTGGCCAGGTATATTTCAGGTAGGCACAACAAATACACTTCTTCCGCACCACCACCAGCCACAAATAGCCACTAGCTACAGTCTCGGGCTCTGACCGTTTACTCTGAGCAAGCAATCACCGACCTTTACGGTGTCAACTTTCGAAAGCGTGGTGGACTGCTGCAAGTACATCAAATACAACATCGAATTATTTCAACGAAACGACAAACAAGATCAGTGAGATCGCTTTGTATGTTTATCTGTCCGATTGGAAAGATTTAGAATCCAGACATATTGTGAACATAGTCTACAAATATTATCCAAATATTGCATGTATCTTTCTTGTGACTATCGCAGGCCTTGGCCGTTTGAGAAACGAATGCACCAGAGACAGAGGTGACTCGTGGAGCTTTGCCTTCACCACAATACCTGCCGAGTGGTCGCAACTTGGTGATGCAAATGTGTTCAGCAAAATACACACCATATATATATATATTATATATTATATATATATTATATATATATATATATATTGTAACATCTATATTTTATATTCTAAAGACGATATGTTTCTAGAATACACACATATATACACTACATATATATTATATATATATTATGGGTCGGTAGGTTCTAAAGATGGGGAATCCCCGAAACCATGGGTTTCAACTTTCAACCAGAAATGGTCTAATGACTTGAATGATTTGGGGTACCCCCGATTTTAGGAAACCTCAATATTGTGTTGTTGAGATCGAGATATCCGCTGACCCATGCTTAGCCTTTGCATAGGTGGGGAAGCACCTGGAAGGTCCGACTTGCTTCTTTCAATGTATACTGTCAACATGACTTCTGGGACTTTGGCTGGTCCTAGGTCTGTGAACCTTGGGACGATTTTGGAAGCCGGTGCTTGCTGAGCGACTCTTTTTAAATGGGCGTTTGAATCCTTTTGGATACTTGCTATAGCCCCTCAACCTGCTAATGAAGGGGGGTCGGCAGCACCAGGCAGCCCATCTCATGAGGGTATAGTTGTACGATAATGTATATAATATATATATATATAATATGAATTAATATGATGTATTATCATACACATATTACACACACAGTAGTCATCTGTAGTCACTGTACATGCTAGTACCTTGCATTTGGCTGATCTCTGACTGCTTTGATCAATCACGTCTCATTCTCCCGATAAGATGTGTTTTGCTGGAAGATTCTCTGCCCCAACTGGTAGATTCCTCTTGTCTTTTGTAAAACCAACTTGTTGCAATTGCCGAGCCTCCAATGGAAACCAAGATCAGTTTGACCTTCAGGAATCCTGATATCTTTCTTCACCTCATGCGAGGCTGTCATGGTGTCATGGTGTCATGGTGTCATGATGTTTAATACGTTTCATGTGGAACATTGTGGAACCCAAAGGCACCACAGTGCGCCTTCGCGACCAGCGCTTTCCCCTGCCAAAGGCGACCTCTTCCTGCAGCATTGCAATGCACTACGATGCCCGGCAATGACTACAATGACTGCAATGCCTGCAATGTGTATAGTACTTATATCACATTATATTCTATAATGTGGAGATATGTGGAGAAACCTTAAGAAAGCTACAAAGCCACATGGCTAGCCGCCAAATCCATGTCACTTCACATGTTGCATGTCGCAAACCTCCTTCACGTCCAGACCATCCACCTTTGCCACCATTCCATCCTGGCAGATGCCAAGAGCATCCAAAAGCTTCCAAAAGCCATCTTGGCAGCAATCTGATCAACATATCAAACATGATCAAAAATGATCAAACATGATAAAGATATGATCAAAAAGGCACACTGTGCTACAGAACATTGCACATTTCCTCAGACTGTTGCATCATGTTGCATCATGTTGCATCATGTTGCATCATGTTGCATCATGTTGCATCATGTTGCATCATGTTGCATCATGCTTGCGTGGCATGGACCCAGTTCTGTCCTTTTTGGCCACGTCCCCGGCCCCGGCCCCACGTCTCCTGATCGCAAATGCCGGAGGCCAAGGTCAGGTCCCCACTAAACATCTTGAAACAAAGTGATACAGAGATATACAAAGTGTGATTCTATCAGTTCAGAATCTGCGAATTTGAATTCGCACCTGTCGATTGACAAATTGTAAGCTTTCACCGCTATTGACAAACACGCCATGTTGCTGAGGCGATGACTTGATTGTTCCATTGACCGTTCCACTCATTGCTCCACTGGCCGTTCCAGTCACCATTCCATTGATATTCGCCTTCCCAACGTTCAAAGTGATTTCCCAATCCTCTAGACCTGATATTCATTGACATTCAACATATTGATCTCAATGGAAGAGCCTGCCTGTTTGAAAACTTGGTTTCGGAGGGGCTGCCTCATCGCAAACTTTTTGCAAAGCAGTCTTTCTATGTCTCTGTCCAATTTTGAATTTTGAGCAAGACTTTTCGGAGCCTTAGTGGACACGCCGAGGGCTGAAGACCCCACAGCCCCGCCAGCTCCATCCCTCAGTGCGCGGACAATTCAAACGTAATAAATCATAATGTTGCAATATGTTGCAGACTCGGAGACCCCGAGACTCAGCTCTGTCGGAGGCTGCTCAAGGTGCTCAAAGCTAAGATTTAGACGACTCTGTACCTGCCTGGAGATGGCGTGGTATGAATGTCACGTGTTGTCACTCTTCCGGACCGCTTGGATTTGGAATGATTTGGTGAGGAACAGAAACTTGGGACTTTGCTTTGAACTCCAACAAAATGAACAACCTTCAGAGAGTAAACTGAGTAAACTTCAGCTGGTGGACGGCAAGGCACTGGGAATGACGGGAAATGATGGGAATGTAAAGAGCCGACCAATCGAAGTCACTGCTGAATGCTTCTGCAAAGCGAGTATGTCCACTGCCTGCGGTGCAAGCACACCTTGTGTTGATGAGTATTGCCCAACAGGTCGCCTGGCAAAGGGAATGTCACTGTCTCTGATTGCCTGGACATCACTGGCGCCAGATCGAAGTCTTGTCACTGAGGATGCCACAGTTGGCTGTATCCAAACTGTTCAACATTTGCCAGTCCCTGTCGCGAGCTTCACAGCATTTCAGCATCCAGTCGAAGAATGAAGTCTGCGTACAGAAGCCTTACAAAAATTGTTTCAGATTTAATATTGCATGAGCCTTGCCACCCTTTTTGTTGGCTTCAAACATCTTCAAACCACAAGGAGCATCACATCGACACTGCCCTCACACATGATCACCCATGACTGCCCAACTTAGAGAGAGAGAGAGAGATCATGCCTATTACCCTGCCTTGGCAGGCTGATTCAGGAAGTATGGCAGTTGGACCTGGGCACTCGCACAGCCAGGCAGTCTGTAAAATAAACGTCTTGTGGTACTGATGATGAGTGTACAGTGTACCTGACTTTCGCTATACTAGACGAACTAGACTGAGAAAATCGTGACTTTTAAGGCCTGAGGCGATTGCATGAACTCCAGAGTAGTGGTCGCAGTTGTCTCTGCTGCAGAGACCATCCCTACAGAGCAACTGTTTGATCTAGAGATGATGAGATGTCTTGAGAAGGAAACGACTGAGTTTATTGGAAACACTGAGAAGACATGAGAAGACCCTTTCATGATGTCTTTGACAACTGTTTCTCTTTCTGCACTTCAGAGTTGCGCGGGGAACATTGATCCACCAGGCTCCAAGCTGCATCAAGCAAACCTTAAAGCCTCGGCAAAAGAAGTTGCGCCTTTGCATCAGCCACTGTAGGATGTTTGAAGACAAGCAAACACGTTTTGCAGTGATCTACAGTGCAGAATCCAACCTTCGTCATTGGCATCTTTGATCACCTGCGAAGGCACGATACGTGGTTTGTTATAGCTTCTCTATGCTTCTCTTTCCTGAACTTGCTATGACACTTTCAATATCTGTAAATGATTCTCTGCTAATTCTCTGCTTTCTCCGCTTTGGTTCATGTCTGGATACTTCACGGCGCCTTCTGCGGATTCTCAAGAGAATTCACCTGGGTGCTCGAGCTTGTCTCTCAGGACAAGAGTTGGTCACATAAGTTGTGCGTTTACATGATCCTCCCCTACAACTCAGACTCTTATGACTCTTCCAATATCAACATCTTGGTCTCCGACTTCCAATCGCAACCAAAGAGGCAAGCGAGTCGTGAGACGAGGATAATGGCCGCATTGAGCTGCCTCAATTCCAAGCTCTTCATGAGTCTTCATGTTCTTGTTAACGAGTTGGGTGTGGCGCCGACAAAACACGGAATCACAATTGGAAGGGTCAATCAATCCAAAAGGGTCTTGATCAATTCGAAAGGCTTTTATGTCAGGAGCCAACTTATCTTGGTCTCGCATTTATCATCCTTTATCCTTAGCCTTTCACTTTGAAAAAGATGAAAAAGATTGAAAAAGGATATTGCGTTTGGTAGTGGATCTGTTCTGTTCATGCCGTCCATAGCATTTACCCTACACTAACTCCACTGCTTATGAGAGGACCATTTACAGCTCCACATTAACCAGGGTCCCCACTGCCCGAATCAATCGGGAGGCCCCCTTGTCGGAGATCTGGGTCATCGGGCAGGGGCAAAAAATGCTAAAGGCGGCGAAGAACATCAACATCGCTAACATCGCTGACCACATGAAAAAGCGGCACTGGTTTCTTCTCACATCAAGTTCCAAGCATTGTTGTGGGAGATGTGAATGCCGTGCATAGGGAACGCCTCGTGAGTTGTGCAACTGTCACCATATACATATTATTGGACATGCTGTTGCAGCAGTTGGTCGGCAAACAGTCAAAATCAAGGTGTGCCTCAGGCTGCGTGTAGAGATACTCCACCAGAGTGTCCACAAAGGAATCCTTAGGGTACTTTGCAAATCATGGACGATCCAAAAGAATGAAAGAAAAGCATAACCATGCATAACCTTAAGGTACGCCATAAATATTCGTAAATCAGATATTAGTGGACCAGACCTTTCTTGAAATGATTCATCATGATTCGTGATTGATTGACAAAGTTGGTTTCCAAAATTGGACACACAACAGGACATTGTGCTCTGCAGCAAAGCTTCATCGACTGAATTTCTGTAGGCCTTCAAGACAACGCAAGGCACTCGATGATCTCTCAACACCTGCAGCTGCCAATGCAACCCAATTCTCTTGCGTGTGCATGAAGTTGTTTGAAACTTCGCTGTGACCGGTCCTGCCTGGAAAAGCTTGTCCAAACCGTCTGTGCCAATTTCATTGTCAGACAAATCCTCAGATGTTTCATGTCTCCCCTGACACATCTGCCGGTTGCGCCTCTTTAGCACATCTCACTGGAAATCTACAAAGTGCACAAATTGCACAAGATGCACAAGATGCAAGGTCCCGACGACATATGCACCACTTTTCTTGACGTAAGGAAAGTGTTGTACCTGTGCTATTCTGAGAAGACATCTTTCAGCTGTTTACCTTGCATTTCCTGCGGCACACTGATCGAAATGTATTTGCTTGGACATACGTCAGAGCAAGGACGTATTATTGGGATTGCTGTTGCTGAATTATATATGTTGAATTGCCGTTGATGCCAAAATATGTGGTCAATAGCGGTCAATACCATTGCATCTCATCAAAGGCGCGAGTAGCACATGCCCTGAAACTACCCCTTCAACTTCTTGAATTCAAAGGACTAAGACTTATGACTAAGAAGAATCAAGCCTTCAAGCTTACCAGGCCACAATCCACAAAAGGCTGAATCATGCTGAACCACTGCCAAGCCCATTCTACAGGGGTAATATTATCCTTTGGATTCCTTTGGAATCTTCACATTTGAGATAGCACTTTGACACAAATAGCGAACCTGAGTTACCTGATCTCTAAAGGTTGAATAATTATGTTGAGATTGAGTGTGACAGTTACGACAGTTCTCACAGGAGCCACCACATGCGAAAGCAATCATTTCCTCATGCGTGACCAGGCATTTCTAGTGTATTGATCTTCATCTGCCTTTTCAGATTTGATACCCTCGTTGTCAGCCTCCCGAGATACATGTTGTCGCTACAGCACTCAAGTTGGGAGCACCACAAGAGGCATCTGCTCATCGAGCCAATCGCAAAAGCGAAGCCTTACTGGACTGGACATTGTGTCTCCCAGAAAGTATCTTCTAAGACATGAGACATGCCTAGTCTGAGTTGCAGAGCTAATCCTTGAAATTCAGAACTGATTGCAGAACTTTAAAACATGGGTTGAACTATCAGCGACTCTGCTCATTGCAGCGGTAGCAGAACAAGCCCACTGACTCATGAGTTGACAGCCAACCAGCTCTTCGCAATTGCATTGTTCTTCTAGGCCGATGGCAAGGCAGTATTGTCCATGGATGGCTTTCGACGCTGCAACTCGATGTGCACCTGCAGGTTCATCCGGATTCCTACTTTTCATGGGCGTGGTTTGGATTGGTTTGGTACCTCAAGATGCACTTCCTGCATTCTTGACCAAAGGAAAGAACTGTTTTCTTCAAGCCGTCAAGAAATCAAAATCGAAGCTTCCTCACGCTTTCTTTGTAAACCAGGAATTTGGAAGGTTTGCTAAGTTTGCTTGCCTGCCCTTGCTTGACAACAACGCACCGCTCGTCCCAAGAGAGGACCTCATGGTCTGTGAATCTCGGCAGCGATCATTACTGCAGAAAGCTGCAGAATGTGTGTGCTTCGGTTGCTTCGGTTTTACCCATGATATATTGATATAGTTATCAGTTGTACAGCCGACGCCGTCCGCCATGAGGGCACTGCCTCGCCGAAGTCCTGGGCTCGAACAGACAGGTTTTGGAATTCTGTGCTGAGTTGGGCAAAGCATTGAAGTCCCGAAGTCCTGTGCGAGGTCTGGCTCTGGTACCTCAAATGCGTTTGAATACTCAAAGCTGCAGGCGACACTGAGTAATGCTTGTTTATACTGCATGATGATCTGGGGTGAACTATGTATTTTGATGTATTTTGCAGTATTTTGTGGTGTGGTGTTTTTCGGCATGCAGCAGTCCATAGCAGCCTCATGCATTTGGACGAAGGCACCGTGTCAGTTGCGTGTGCCATCGGATCAACTTGCGCTTCCGCAGCAGACTCCTGCTGGTTCCCGAGAAAGACGCTTGCTGGAAGACGCTGCAAGTTGACTTCCAACTGCTCTTCTAGCATGTTTTTGCTTTGTGCCCTTTCATCCTCTGGGTTTGTCTATCATCCTGTTCCCCATAAGTATTGCAATTTTGCGGGCTTACCCCATTTTCAGACATGCCCATGTCTTTTCACGTTTGCTCTGGCCACTTGGTTTACAACCTCGATCCCGTACCTCTCTCGTCTCATCAACTCAGCTCTGATGCTTTTATTGCAGTGAAAGCAGAGAAAAGTCATGGATAGGAAAGGTGGGAGAGTTTTGCAGAAAAATCAGAAGAATTAAACCGGACAGGGCCTCTGCAAGCCAAGTCGGTGTCCATGGCTTTGCCGCCTGACATTGTCAGTCACTGCGGCTGTCAGGCTCCTAAAGATTCTGCCAACATCTGCCAACAATGTGCTGAAATTGAAAGGTCCTACGTGAAACTGATGAGAGATGTCATCGGGAGCCTGAGCCTCCGGAGCTGGTGGTACTTGAAGGACTTTGGCCAGCTGCTTTAGAGGTAGAGATGCAGGAAACGCCAATTTGGCTTTGGGCTTTGGAGCTCCAAGAGACATAAATTCAGGAAATGCTCCGTCGCCTTTGTCTTTCTCGGGAATTTCTGGAGAAGCTCCGTCTGGTGATTTTGACTCGCTAGCTGCGCCGTTGTCGGTTTTTTGGACCTTTGCCGGTCGATGCGTAGGTGCTGCTGATGGCTTCGGGATGGCCTTGCCGTCTGGTGCTGGTCGCTTGCCATCTCCGACCTTGCAGCTGTGGTCTTCACAGAAAAAATAGAAATACACAGAAATACTTAAACCATACAGTACCCGCTTTGTGCATGATTGCCGTTTGCTGCAGTGCTGGAGAGACCAAAATGGCAGTCCAAGGCTGCGGCTGCAGGTGCACTTTGCGCACTTTGTGCACTTGCTACACCCTGTGGTTCACTTGGAGATGACTCCTCAGCAGGCGCCTTTGTCTCCTCGTCATGCTGTGTTTCCTGCAGGTTTGGAATGCAGGCAACGGAAAGCAACGCTGCTTCAAGCGCGCAAAACGAAGTGGCATCACCTGCGGTTACCTCTTCAAATTCAATCTACAAGCTACTAAGACTTCGAGAACGATTGATGAGGTGCTACAAGTGCTTCAAAACGTCGAGTGGTCCCATCTAAACGCCAGACCTCCTCATCAAACAGTTGGTATGGATCTGACCTGGCAGCATTGTAGTCTTTCACTCAAGTCCCTCGTGCTGGACAAGCAACAGAAGTCAAGCGTGGCGAAGCAACGTGTGTCCGAAAATGTCTGAAATCACCAGATCACAATGCAGAAATCTGCAGATATTCCAATCCACAGAGATCTCGGATTCTGAGTGGCGCACTCAACGAGCATGTAAGGATCGGTTTGAAAACTTTCCTCTGCTGGCATTGCGTCCTTCAAGGCCCCAGAGTGGAAGTTTCCAAAGGGCATGAAGTTGAAGCATATCATGTCATATGTTCCTTGAAAAGACCTTTGTGCACATCCAACGGTCACTCTAATGCATTCCCAGGCAAAGATTTGACAGCAATCTTTGAAGAAAATTACCTTTTGCATTCCTTTTGCTACAAGCTCTTCCAGAATGTGCTCTTCCAGAATGTCTACATCTCCAAAGGTTCAGAGCTCCCAGCTGCACCTCAGCTTCTTGGGCGGTAGCCGCGGAAGGTGCCTCTGGTGCCTCTGGTGCCTCTGGTGCCTCTGCAACCTGGCACTGCATTGAACCCTTGTAGAAACCCTCGCCGTGGGTAAAAGAAAGTGAGAGTTACTGTGAGACTAACGAGACAGGAGCAGAAAGGGCCCTCTCTCTCTCTCTCTTTTAAAAAAAGCCTCAATGATTTGATGGCAATATTCTCCCTTCAATACCGGAGTTGAACAACAAATAGGCCATTAGTGTGAAGGACTTCTGTCTGTTGGTCCCTGGATGTCCCTGGTTGTTATATTCTTTCCCTGTCGCCAGGTTGCCTCCTCGGCATCATCTGGATCAGCAGCTGCAGATGCATACCTGTCCCCCTTCCACTCTGCAGCTGAAAGTTTGCTCTGACAAATTCACACTCATTGATACTATATAATTGATACTGATGACATGAAGTTAGACTAATTCAAGGGTTCGAAAAGTTCCTAGTTGCAGTCTGCAATTGAAATCAATTGAATAGTGAGTGCTGGCGCCGCACCATTGCATTCCATCATCATCACCATACTCGCTCAAGACATCGTCATCGTCTTTGCTAGCCTGATGCCACATTGGTAATTTGCCCTCTACCTGATCCATATAGTCCCCCAACGTTCAAGTCTGTTCTAGCATATGACAAACAGTTTGTTCCAGAATTGCTACTGCAGTACAGTAAAGGGGAAAAAACTTCCAGGGTCTCCTGTTCTCCCAGACTCGAAATGCATCCTGTGCCATTTGAAGGAAGAACTGAAGAAATGTCAAGATTTCCTTCAGTGACCTCGTTTACATAATTCTTCATCATGGAGGAGGCCAAGAGAACTTCAAATGGAACTCACTGTTGGTACAGTAGGTTCTCAACATGCCAGTATTGGTTTTGGTGCAGCAGTGGTGCTCCATGCCTCTGCTGCATCAGTTGGCTGTGTTGTCGCCATGTTCAACCTCACCAGCACTTTGGAGCCCCTCAAGACAAGATCCTCATTCAAATCCTGGATTCATCCCCACCTCGCTTCAGAACATGGCGATCACAAAGCAATTGGGCAAGAGCCTACATCCTTATCGACAATTTATCCTCATGAGTGAGTAAATGCTACATGTTTGTACCTGTATTTGATTTTGTGAATGCAGTTATGATGAATCGTGATCAATCATGATCAGTTATGACTAATTCTGCTGCAACCATGTGTGTATAATACGGTCCTGTCATGTCCTATCCGTCAGCGTAAGTCAGTCTGGACTCGTCTGCAACTCAATGCTTTTGCCACTATGTTTGTTCAGCTTCTGGATCACTTTGTTCACGACCCAATTGCATGTTGTCAGTTTTCCCCCAGCCGCATAATCTGCACATCCTGTGTCCAAGCTGTTTGAGCAGTTCAAAATAGCGACGAAATAGGATTAGGGCAAAACGTGATGATTCTGCTCATTGTGAGTTCAAGTTGGTTCTGAATGCACAAAATGTCACTATGTATATAAAGGACTCAATGCTTTGATTGCACGAAAGCTCTTGCGACATTGTATGACTATCCGACAAGCAAGCATGTGCAGCATCTGAATAACTGCTGAACCTGCAGAGAGCTTGCATCCATTGCAACATCTCCCTCGACCTGGCACTGAATTGTTCACTTTGAGAAGTAGGGACGACAGAAAACTGACCCCTGCTGACAGCTGTTCATGTGCTGATCACCGGGGTCACCAGTGGCTACTGCAAGTGAGTTCGCAGTTAGCTTTTTTGACCGTGGCACGAATTTACTTTGTTGTTCCATTTTTCCAGAACTCAGTCAGTGCTGAGTTGATTTCAAGAGTGCTCTAAACCAATTCATTAGACGGCCTTGATGTCTGGTCGTGTCTCTCAATTGTTGTTTCTCAAAAATAACAACATTACTTTATGCACATATGCAAATCATGTTTAAATGTATATGTACAAACATACAGCTATATAATGATACTAGTACCATACAAACAAACATAAACAAACTATGGATCTTGCCAAGACCAATCTTGCGCCAGCCGCATGCGTGCGCAGCATCCCCGCAGGGTGACAAAGGAGTAGAGAGATGTAGAGAGCTACTCGCTATCTGTAGCTATCTGTAGCTCTTTTGCAGGTCACGCGCATTTGAATCGTGTTGACCTCAAAAGTGAATGTCCAGTCACTTACGGTGATTAGCCACAAACAGCTGTACACTGGCTGTGCAGGTGCAGCCTTAAAGTGCTGCAAGGAGAAATTACATTTGCATAAATATCTGAACGGCAAAGCTTGCGTTGCAAATGCAAAGCTTTCGACACATGTCGATGTCGTTGCACTGTCATTGCAACATCATCGTCACTCGCTTAATCGCCTCATGGAGCCACAAGAAAGAAATAAGTTGGATACCGTGCACGTCAAATGCTTGGATCGCTCGGTGTAGTATCAGGATGATCAGGTCACAGTGATCTCACGAATCTCGCGAATCTCACGAATCTCGCTAAGCCCAAAACGCTTTTAGATGGAAATGAACGCTTTTGCTCGAGAGGTGCCAGGTACCCAGCAGCCATTACTTCTGTAACAGCACCCAGCAAGACCAGGATCCTGGAGCCAAAATCAACTCAATTGGCAAACGTCAATTTGTCCATGGTGCCCCCAAAATTGCTCCCAGTCAAAGCCTGCAAAGGTCTTCAAACCTGCCTTTGTTATTTTGTGCTATTTTCTGATATCGTGAGCTACAGCTTTACCATGCTTTACTCACCATATGCGAAGAAACTGCAAACATCTGCAGAGAACTCAGAGCTCCTTCCGCGGCCGCCCATGTACCATCGAGGCAGTCATGATCTGCAACGGACAGTGACAGTAGCATTGATTGCAAGCCCTTGTTGAATCAGGCGCGAAAGGCTGCCAAACCCTGCTCCCTGAACTTTGCGCAGCCAGTGAGAGTAGCCTCACTCTGGTAAAGCAAGGCGCAAGTTGCGGCCTGCACAGCCTCTTCCTGCAAGAAGAATTTCTTTGAAAAGCTCTTGACAGAAAATCAACAGAAAATCGTGAAAACTCTCTGCAGATCTCTGCAGACATCAAACAGGTCTGCAACTCGTCTGCGCTCCTCCGACATTCTGCGTGTGCGCATCTCCTTGAAGGCATCACTGAGAAAACTTCGTTGAAACAGAATCCAGCTGGCAAGCTATTGTCATAGATAGATAGGTAGGTAGGTAGATAGATGGATAGATAGATAGATAGATAGACAGATAGACGGAGAAATAGAAAGATAGATAGATACATAGATTAGATAGATAGATTGATTGATACATTGATAGATTTGGAGATATATGATATATGCATAGATATAGGTATTGACCTAGATCTAGATCTCAGATACATATTATATATAGGTACAGACCCAGATATTCATAGATGAAGACAGATGTCACAACACAAAGGTGCAACAACGTTGCCATGATACAACCTGCTGCATGTGACTGAGAAACGGGCCCAAAGCGGCTCGTCACTTTCGCTCTCTGTGCCTAAGTTAGTGCATGTATTACCACAAAAAGATGTGTCAATCATCTGAGCATAGAGATATAGTCACAATATGCCAGAGTGCCTTTGAACATCTTTGAAATCTGTAGATTCTCAAAGCAGAATATTGCCATGACATTATGATCATCATGCATGATGCTTCAATGGGCCTTGGACCTAAAATGACACTGTCCTGCTGAAAGTCTTGGCTCTTTCCGTCGGTGTCATTTGCCTTACCAAGATGTAGCATGATTCGAACACGGTGCATAGATGAACAAATTAACCCCTCGTTTGTCAATTTGCAAGCAGCAGAAAATCATGAAGAACGGTTTAACAAGTTCAAGATATGCACAAATAACGAGTACAATGAGTACAATAAGGCAATGAAATCTGAAGACTCCATGTTACCTATACTACCTATACTGTCGTAGTCTTCAGTAAGAGTCAGGTCGCTGAACATCTCGAGGGGAAGTCATGCTCAGCGGCAACCTGTGCAGAGCAGCAAACCGTGTTGCAATGTACGAAGAAACTACAAAGCCATGCAGTGGAGAGAAACCTACTCTCTTAGGGCCGCTTGAATGTGTCTGCTGTCTGGAAACCCACTGGCACCCAGCTGGCAGAGGTCTGCTTTTCCAGTCAGTGGATAGCTGCGTTAACCGGCTAAGTGTCGTCATGTACGATACGATGATTTGTTTTCGTCATGGGCAACTTGGCTGGCTTCTATCCAGCTCCCCCCTCTGGTCCCAAGTTTCCCAACCCTGATTTGGTTGCATTATATTATATGATATTATATTATATTATAAACATATATAATTATATTATATTATATTATATTATATTATATTATGTTATATTATATTGTATTGTATTATATTATATTATGTTTTGTTTATTATATTATGTTATATTATATTACATTATATTATATCATAATTATAATGATAATTATAATTATAATCATTAATAAAACACATCAATATACAGTAGAAGGTGTCCAGCTGCAGCTAAATGCCAGCCTCATCTGCTTCAACCCATGGAGATGCTCGCCCTTGGCAGCGCAATTCGTTGTTCAAAGGAAGTAGCGCACTTTGTCAAACAAACAGAGTTCTCCACTCACGATACGAGCGAATTGCCATGGACATCCAAGGACCCTCACTTGAGATGTAGTCTCTGTGTATGGAGCCTCTCAGTGCCATTGTCGTCACGTGGTCGAAATCACCACAACAATCAACGTTAATTATCATAGTTCATATAGGATCATATAGGTCTGAGGCAAACATATCCAAACTCGAAACAGATTGAAACAGTCCTACATGATCTTCCACCACAACATGGCACAGAGTGGCCCGCAGCATAGCTGGTCCACCTTCACTGGACTGGGATCTGCCGAGTCTCCGTAGTCGCCTGAAAATTGAATACTGTGGAGCAAGCATGAGCGTCGTGACTGTCGACATCTGTCGACATAAAACATGAGACGCTTAAAAGATCTGAGATGATCTGAGAAGCACAGCTTGTCTTCTTTACATGTCTTTACCATCAATATCTCTGTACATCTTTACAGATTGTACATGATCAAACTTCACCATTTTTTGAACGCTACACCAGATAGGCATAGCAGATCTGCTTCAGGCGCCCGTGCCATTCAGTCCACCACTCAAAGCAAAGCAGGGGCAGTAGTGAGTCTCTTGCCATCAAACCCAAAGTAAAAAATGTTGCCCAATACTTCAGGGATATGCAGGCGGTGCTGCTAAATATCAGATACATCAGAGTGTCGAAGTTACATGTTTATACTCACAAATGCATTGGAATACACAATGTGCAAGATTTACAAAGCAACACGGCTGAATTGCTTTGGAATGGCAAACTTTCAACGCCAGGTGCCTCTTGGCTTCAGAGCCGGCCGCAGCTGAGCGTTGTCTGCAAGTAGGAAGACGCTAGAGAACGTGATCAACCGCACCGCGAGCTCTAAGTGTTCAATCAATGAAGGTGCAAGTAAAACATAGTTGCCGTTGGTCACCACGGTCTATACATTGCTCGTCTGCTACCAATGCTTTTGCCGGCTACAAGATGTTGATAGATTTTGATAGATTTTGCAACTATTCTTTTGTTGTCACAAGACCAATGTTTTGCCTCCTGCGGTCGCTCACAGCACTGTTCTGGAGGGGCATTGGTGCAGCTGGAGGCTCTGCACCGGGAGCTCGCTCTGCTGTCACCTGAGTCTGCTCAATACATGTCGTATCCCATATAGCATCTGCTTGTGGACTCTTCGCTCTTGGCATACTCAGTATACTTGGTATAATTTGGTGCATCTCATAACTCCAAAACACGCAAATGCAACATGAACATGTTGGCATTGCTTCTGTTCCCTCACCTCACATGAGCAATTTCAAAAGCCCTCTTGCCTTTCCTCCTACGTGTTTGGTCTCTTTCGCAGCTACTTTTGCCGGCCTGCAATTTGGTTTTTGCGAAGGCACTTGATTTCCTTCATAGCTCTTGCAGCGCCAAAATTCTTTCGGATTTTTTTTCGCGGAGCTTTCCCGGCACTTGACTTTCGTGACCATTCTTGCAACCCTTTCGCGGACTGCGTTTTGACTTTCGCGAGAGCAGTTAACAATTTGCATAAATCGTTTCGTGAGGGTTTTTGAAGCTGCTCACATGCCCAAGTGACCGGCCTTCTTGTCTCGTGCAAGTCCAGGTGTCGGCATTGTGGAATTAATTAAACTGTCTGTCCCAGGGCCGTTTTGGGATTGCATCTGATGCACATCAATGTGCTGGACGTTTTCTGCCAATCGCTCACATTGACTCTTCATCATGCATCATAATGACAATTATGATGCCTCGTATTTCACCTATGTGGCTCTGCTTCCAACAAAACTTGACTTGGTGAAAGTCCATATGGTCCATATGGCAAGTTTGTGGCAAAGGTGTTTGACAGCTGATGCCGGCGAAACAAGACTAGTGTAGCGCGGCGCATCTGTCTTCGTCAGAAGCTCATCTCTCAGCATCTCTGGTTTGAATCTCACCAACATGACCAACGTATACAATTTGTGGTAATTACAATTTTATCAGTGTATGAACTCTGTCCGATGTTACTGTATCAGCTTGTCTCCACTGCAAAACAAGTGCAAGGCACCGTGAGTCGACCGCTGACTGCAGCCTTCACCACCTGAAATCATAAGTTGTTCTTATAGTCGTTTTACATTCGTTTTACCATGTTTTATTGGAGCAGCAAAGTTGCAGTAGTATGCGCTAACAGTCACCAACAGTCACTAACAGTAACATCTCTGCAGGGTCAATTGCACTTTGAAGGGCAGAATTATGCACTCAACAAAGCCGCACGGCGTTTGCCTTGTCATTCCGAACCAGGTTTGTTGAGAGCCTGTTATGTCAATGGGCAAGCTTGGCAGAAAGAAAAGTCATGAAATCGCAATCTACTCTACACACTTTTTTGCAGGCTCCCTCACAATACTGGGCCTGATTTTAATCCGATGAACTCTAAGCTGCTTTCTTTGACAAAGTAGATCGAGTCGAACAATTATGAACAGTTTGTCCATGTTACTTTGCCCTCTTTCCTCCCTTCTTCCTCCCCGTGCTTTTGGTCCCCCAAGCTTTGGGGATCTCTATAAGCTCTATGTGCCCATCTTTGCAACAGCCTGGAGCTGTCCGCAGTAGACTGGCCTTACGTGTCACTTGGCATTGGAACCGCATGGAACCACGGCAGGATGGCAGCATGGTGGATCGTGTAGTACTGAAATCTGTGAAATCTTGAGCTAAGATGCGGACATTCCAATGTTTGAGGACTAGGAGGACTATGTACATGTGGCGATTGTGGTGATTCCGGCGAAGATTGCTCTGGATCTCCATGGCTTTTGGCCTCAACCTCCAATCTTTCGTCTGCATCGGAGTTTGGTGGTGGAGTTGGCACACCAGTCAGCAGCGCATCGCACAGGTTTGAGGGGAGCCCAACCTCGGATGAAATGGCGCTCAAAGCCAGTCCAGTCAGCAGTTGTCTTGGGCTCAGGCATTTGAAACATCGTTTGACAAGCAATCTCTGCATATCACTTCAGCCAACCTTGAACTCCAGGATACTCTATAGGTGTGCAAGTCAGGACTTGGATCTTTCCAATTTGGGACGATGTATCATGATGTGTCCTCGATAGTCTCGATAGTAGCTTGGGCTGCCACCGCAGAGCCTGGAACGCAGCATCCAGGGCATCCAGTGAATCCCTCAGCCGATTCTCCTGGAGGGCTGAATGCAGCTGAAAGCGAGTGAAAGCTCCAGGGCACATGACTTTTTTACTGCTTTCGCCATACTTTCGCCATGCTTTCGCCATGTTTTCTCCAGGCTTTCTCCTGTATCCTGTTCTTTGGCTTTTGAAAGCTTTTTGAGGCTCATAAATACGGTAGGCAATCGCTGCGTCCTCCGAGGCTTGCTTCCAGGCATCCAGCTCCTTCCGGGTTTGTTCTTGAAGCCTAGGCCAAGATGGGCCAAGCCCGTGCCACCGATACAGCGCGCGACACAGCCCATTTTATCAATTTTTCTGCACCTTGTCCATGCCCACGAGGAGCCTGATGGCGAAGCGTCCTGGGCTGTACAGCTTGTACTGAGGGCTTGGGAAGATCGCAGAAGATCGGTATCTTTCAATTCTTTAATATCTGGGAAAACAAATCGAGAATTGCAAATTAACTTTGGAATATCTCTTGTTTGCTCCTTGCCATCGACCCCATCGTGTCTAACCTTGGCCATGTCATAAAGGTGTGAATGGCTGACTCTTCTTGGTAGACATGCAGAGGCTGCATAGCATGAAGACGGAGTCAAAGGAAAAGCCGATAAGACAGCAAGGGAGCAAAGGATACCGTTGTACTGATAGGTGAAAGACAAAGCAGGGAGGACTCCATCAAGAGCTCAGTGATTTCAGGTGCTCTTTGTAATGAAATCATATGAAATCATATGAAATCAGTGATTTCTTCTGTGCAGTTTTGCAATGTTTTACACTGATTTGTAGAGACTCGACCTACGTTCCCGACAAGTTCGTCGCCCTCCGTGAGGCGGTCAACTCTCCTTGGTCAGGCACGTGAATCGGTGGACAGGTTTAGACCGTCTAGACCCTTGAAAGGTGACTATCTGGTCATATCTGGCCTTTAAAAAGAACGAGTAGTCACATGCAATGGCAACCATCGGGTTCCTTCCTGATCACAATTTGATCGTGCATATGCATGATGTATGGTCACGTGATGTCACATGTACAGCTTCCAGCTGTACTGCCCCGTGCTATACGTCCACGCCTCCCCCACCACCGGAACTTTGTACTTTGTGATATTGAGAGTACATCCCATGTACCATCTTACACCTCACCACACTCACCCACCAGCTACAGACCACCCACCTATACATCCAACCAAAGCTACAAAAAAGCAACATTTGATATGTATTTGCAGTAAGAGGGTGCATTTTATTCCTACAAAGTTCATAAATGACAGCACAATAAATGCTGGGCAAAGCGACGGAGTTTAGAAAAGGAAACTTGAAGACCAAGCTGCAGTTTGGGAATACTTATAAAAACTTACCCCAATTCTGTTCACATCTTGGAGTCCATCGCACCCAAACACCTGGTAGCACTTGTGCATTATTTGCTGTATGATTACAGTTTATATCAGTTTATGGTATTGTAGTGCATGGATATGGATGTATATTATATGGCATAATGGATGCTGAGGTCCGGACGGTTCGACAGCAGGAACCTATATCATTTGTTGTAAAGCAAGGTGGTGTTGCAGTACAGTCTGCAAGGAAATGTCGAACACAACAAAAGTGGAGCGAGAAACCGTCTGTGGAGAACATTTTTCGTGGCAGAAAAGCACCTTCTACTGGGAGACAAATGAGTGGAGCCCCCTCAAGAGAAAAGCTTGAATCAAACTCCGAGACCGTCCCGACCTCTCTGTGAGGGACGATGGATGGCAGCACAAGTTTCTGCAGCCTCAGGAATGACAAGTGGTTCCACTACTATCCACTACTAGTGTTCCCACTGGTGCACGCGATCGACCGTTCTCGTTGGGGTCCACACACAGGCGCAACTTCTTGACAGCATACCTGAGCAAGGATGCTTTCCATATACCCTCCTGTATCACTGTCTGCAAACAGATCCAGATTCAGATCCATGTCATATGTTATGTATCTGTATATTCATCTATTTGTTTATTGAATTTCATGCATGTATTTAACATTAATTCACCCCGCTTCGCGTGGGGTGGCCGCCCACACCGCAGGTTTATTTCGGTCCGTGAGAGGGGCTAAGGGTGGTTTTCCCCCGTGGGGGCTCCCCAAGCTAAGAATTTTCACTTTCCCCCCCCGGGGGCTCCCCAAGCTAGGGAATTTTCACTTTTCCCCCCCGTGGGGGCTCCCCAAGTTAGGGAATTTTCACTTTTCCCCCCCGTGGGGGCTCCCCAAGCTAGGGAATTTTCACTTTTCCCCCCCGCGGGGGCTCCCCAAGCTAGGGAATTTTCACTTTTCCCCCCCGTGGGGGCTCCCCAAGCTAGGGAATTTTCACTTTTCCCCCCGTGGGGGCTTCCCAAGCTATGGAATTTTCACTTTTCCCCGCCGTGACAGCTTCCCAAGCTATGGAATTTTCACTTTTTCCTCCCTTGGAGGCTCTCCAAGCTGCAGAATTTCAAATAGCTAGACAACGACGCCTAGATAGTCCCCCAAATCCCGTGTTCTTTGAATGTGTTTCCATGTTTTTGCAATGGTTTCCTTTCAAAGCACGGTACTTTACACTTTTGTCGCCATAAAACCGGTCGAAAACATCATGTTCGACAATGCTTCCAATTCCCTTATCTCCCCAACCGTTATCTCCCCAACCGTTGAAAATACCGCTATTTACAGTGTTTTCTTCAATTTTTCCATGTGCCAATGCCGGTAGCCAACTCCAACATATATATATATATAAGAAATCCTTCCAAAACATTGTTTTTGACAGTGTTTTTCCAATGTTTCCAGTCAAACAGACGGTAATTTACACGTTTTTTGCCATAAAGGCAGTAAATCCTTCCAAAACATTGCTTTTGACAGTGTTTTTGTAATGTTTCCAGTCAAGCATACGGTAATTTACACGTTTTTTGCTATAACGTCAGTCCAAAACACTTGTTTTTGCAGTGTTTTCAATGCTCTGGCATCCAAAAACCCTGCAAAATCTTGCTATGTACAATGTTTTTTTCATTTTTGGCCGTTTTTCCATTGCCGGAAAGCTACCAAAATGACCCAAAATTCCATTTCAATACCCTCTTGCGCTCAGACACCCAAAAATCCTCGAAAAATGTCGAAAACACCACCTCATTCTGGTCTCGGTGCGAAACCGTTTTTGGCCCCCCCCCCAGCTAAAGCTGATATAGCGACTGCATGCGACTGCTATATTAACAAATGTCATTGAGCATTTAGTGTTGCTGTTTTGCCCCCAATAAGCACGCCTTCACCGCCAAAGCGGTGTGGGCGAATTAGCTAGTTAGTTAGTTAGTTGGTTAGTTAGTTGGTTATTGATTTATATACTTCTTTGGTTGAAGAATATACGTGTACAAAGTATGAATGTGTGTGACTGTAAGTGTATACACTCATATTGGAGAATAGGGCATACGGTACGTATATTATACTGTACTCGCATGCACTTGCTACCCTCCCAGTACCCTCTGGGGGTTGGACTGGAGAGAAGGCTGTGGCAAACGCCATGCACGCCATGCACCATGAGTAGAAAGATGGCTAGGTTACCTGGTTAAAATGTCTTGACTAAGGTGTTCAAGTTCAGTCAAAATCAGCCAAAACAAGAAGTGGAACTGAAAGGTATCCTCTTATTCAACTTATTGAATCATTATCTTTTCTACTCAAATGGAAGGCATGGTCTTTGAACTCAGCATAATGGTTGTGACGGACTCAGTGTTCATGATTGTAGGAGCGTCACATGTGGTGTCATTCAAGTTGTCCGAAGTCAGCGGGCTGCCAAGAATACACATGCAAGATCATGCAAGGCAATCATTGCGAATTGGCTGGGCGAAGCAACCCAATGAAATGTGATGAAAATCAAGAATTATCGCCGTGAAGGCCAATTGAGATGTGCAGCAAAGACAAAGTTCAGAAAGAGCTCACGCTTGAGTAAGTCATGCTCAATTTTTTGACTTGCTTCTGGTCGTGAAAATCCACACCAGTGCCACGCTATCTGTCACAACATGACTCCCATAGCTCTCTGAATGACTGCTAAGCTATAGCCTGTCAAGAACGAAACCAAGTACAATGCTATCAAATTGATCCAAATGCATCGAAATGCTACCACAAAGTGCCATGAGTGCCATGAGCTTTTCCGCTAGCAATTAGCAAAAGAGGAAAGCACCTGTCATTGGAATTTACAGATGGGTCACTCAGTCACTCTATGAGAAACATGTGTCTGGAGATTGTCTCCATTGAAACGCAGTCGAAGGATCTGCTCGAAACCATGTTTCTTCAGAGCGAAGCAATGAGTCTTTGCTGTATGGCCAGGGCATTCACTTCAATACAAAACTTGATCGCTGATGCCGCTAATGTTGAATTTCATCAAGCTCTGTCAAGAAGACGATCCTCTCCGACGCTCTACCCGCGCTTTGCTTTACACATCGAAAACCGAGTTTAAAGATTGTGCAAACTTCAAGGCAGAACCATCCTGGCAGGTCTCTCTTCGCGGTTCATCCGTGTACATGAGAGAGGCATAAGAGTTTGCATGGACATTGCGCTGCAAAATCTGCAAATGCTTCGAGTATGTCACATCTCATGCTGTTTGTCCTGAAGTACACTGACGTTCTACTGACATCTACGGACCCAGTAGTGACTCTTTAGCGACCCTCCAGTGCTACAAGTGCCAATCTGCACCATGCCTCACCCACGAACATCATGCTGTGACGTCCGACAGCGATGAGCTGCGAAGCAGGCGACTACATGCTGTATGAAGATCAATGGCAAGATGTGACGATGGCATTGTCTGAACACATTTGAACATGTTTGAACACATTCCGCATATATGTTTGAATATTTGACTTCGACTAACTGACAAAATTAAAGTATACGCAATTATACACATAGTATACGCTTTTGGCATCTTTTGGCTTGCCTTTCCAGAAGTAATGTCGGTCACCTCCGCTTCTGCCACGCCCATCACGCCACCAATCTGACATGAAGGGAGCTGAGAAAACTAATGCAACCTAGCAAAAAAACGTTGCTATATGAAACGTGAATCCAAGAAGCCACACCAAGCGCACTACTCTAAAGCCACTCAAAAGGAAAAGACTCCGAGATGGTGCGAGACATGGAGACAATTGGAGACATGCAGCTTATCATCCCCTCCTTGAGAATCTTTGTGTCGATCTGCAGAGTGCGGCCAACTTTTCCAATGCCCACCTGCTGCTTGCTCAATTTGTGATGTGCGGTCAAAAAATGTCAAAAATATCATATACCGAAAAGATCCGAAACGTCTATTCTGAGGTGGCCATTTGAGGTCAGAGCGTATGTCAAGTTCAGGTCAGTTGTCACTGCCTGGCAAGTTGAATCGCTTCAGTCAAATACTCAAAGACCTGATTCTGCAGATCAAGCCTTACGACTTCGTGCATCATTTGCACAAATATGCATTGTAGTCGCCTTAGGCCAAGCAGGGATGCTGCAAATTCATGTCATGACTCAAGGGGTCCAGTTCCCTGTTGCTGTTCAGCCAGTCGGTAAGTCAAGCAGCACAAGTTTGCATAAGTCGTTTTGCATTTTGCATTAGGCACGTTCGCAGCTGCATGCTTTGGCATTGCTGTGGCTGTGATCATCCACCCTCTGTGGGACAAGCCGTGCTTTTGTTCCTGCGTGGACCTACTGTCATGCTGGGGTGAGTGTGTCTGCTAGTACATCTAGTCCCTATGACTGTGTCTACAATCTACAAGCAAAATTTCGGCCACCAGCTTTCCAGCTACATGGTTGAGAAGTGATATGAAGCAATCAACTTCCTTGGATTTCATTGTTATAATATGTTATATTAGTGACTTGGGAGATAACCGCAGCAATTTACCCAAAATTCTGACTATCAAACCTATCACTCGTCCCTGCAGCATGGAAAAGTGCGATCTGCAGAAAGGTTTCGCAGAGTTTCAGGTTTGGCCACCGCTCAGCTAGATGGAGTGAAACTATGTGAAATTATGTGAAATTGAAAGGCAACTTTTTTCGAAAGAATTGAGCTCATCACATCTTCCACAACTGTAGCAATAACACCTGGCATGTTTGTGCCGTGCATTGCTGGTTAGACGTCTGTTGAACGCCTGTTGCCAGTTTCTTCTTGGTTCTGGTCTAATGATGTAATATCAGTGAAGTAAAGAATTCCTTCAGACAGCAAAAGCAGCTTTCCATTTGTACAGGCTGTACCTCCGTGCACTGTCTGCCCTTCCTGAATTCAAGTCATCCATTCAGTAAACTTTGTGGGAATGAAAGGTGACACTGGAATGAAAGTGCGTGCGGTTGTGCGAATTCTGTGACAGGAACCATGCAATCACAGCAATCAACAGAACAAACCAAAGCTGAAAAAGTCCTGTGCCACTGCGAAGGCATGGCAATCACTTTGATGCAAGGGAAACTCAGTTGCAATCCGCCCCCATGTGCTTCGAGAAAGGACAAGTTCAACAGAATCAAGAGATGTCAAGCCATTAGATTAGCACCAATCACAATCATGCTTGGGAACACAAACACATTTTGGCTTGTGTAGCACTGCAGTGCCAAAAGAGAACTACAAAACGTATCAACATGCCAAGCTGCAAGCTGAGAAAACTTATGCAGTAGAATATGTTGCTTTGCCCTCTTGTCCTGTTGTTCTCTTGCGCCGAGGCCCCTGCTTGAAAGCTTCCCCTTTTCAAGTTGTCAGCAGAGCTCAAGAATGTCAGTCCTCGGCAGACGCCACCGATGAGCATCAGCGTTAGTGCTCAACCACGTCAAACAAATCCAAAAAGAAAGCTTCACAAAGTCTCACCTATGTAAAGCCTAATACTGAATGATTATCTTGCAGTATTGTTGTTGACACTCTGGTCATTATTGTCATTATTGTCATCATTGCCATTATATGATGCCATTATATGCCATTACATGCAACTATATATATATACTATAATATATATATATGCCATGATTATTCCAAACCACAAATGAGTCAACTTCTTGGGATGTCTGGTACTTTCCTGCCGGAAAGCCCAGAGCATCCCAGAGCTCAGGAGCTTCCTAAGCCACCGGCTTTTGCTGATGATTGAGGAGAAGCTATTCTGGGCCTTGGAGGAGTTGGACAAGGCGTGAGATCTGCTCAGATACATTCAGATACATTTGATCTGTTCTCAGGATTTCTATGGATTTCTCAGGTCTGTGAACACCAAACCGACCAAACCTAAGCAATAGAGTTGCCAAGCCCCCCGACTCGAGTTTGCTGCACATACTGGTGAAATAGCTGAGTTAAACGACAACCGGCCTCGGACAAACAGCAGCTATGAGCGAACGGCATCGAACAGCCCTGTTGCAATCAGTGGAAAATCCAAGGCTAAGAAAGCAACAGACATCACAAAGAGGGAGCAGCAGGACCAATGCGGACTACCACAACTGTCTGAACCAAAGTGTCCACAGAAGGGGTCAGAGTCTGAGAAGTTTCGCTCCAGAACCACACAGCATCAGTACTCTGCATGCCCTGTCTGTATTCTGCGCTGTGTATCTTTCATCTCTAGTGCAAGCACGATCCTTTTGGCAGACTAAGGTCTTTTTTTTCCTCTGCCGAACAAAACTCATCTAGTCGTGAAATACAAAAACCTATTAAATGGTTTCTAGTGTCGGAACCTATACTGCGTCAACTGCAATCCATCCAGGAACGCTTCAAAGTTGAGAAGTGAAAGTAAAGGGTTCAAGTTTTCTATTGGACCTATTGAATCTATTGAACCTATTGAACCAATTGAACCTGCGGAGTCAACGCCGTTCTTTTGGATTTTGCACAAAGGCACAGGTGCCATCCCTAGCTTTCAAGCTCTTGGATGTTCGGTCACCTGCCAAAGCATGTGATTTACAGAAATGGTATTACAAAAATGGCAAGCTCATGGCGCAGAAATGACATAGTCGACATAGTGACAGTGACATGGGTTTTACAGCTGTACCCTGAGTCTTGTTTGTTGTTTGTTGTTTTCACTCTGGCTCGTTACGGCTCGTTCTTCTTTCGGATCTTCTTTTCCCCTTACTATTCTTACTATTCTTCTGCCTTTTTTTCTTTGTCTGTCTTTTCCTCCTTTCTTGCCTTGCTCCCTGTCCCCTCCAGCTTGTTAGTCATACAGTATCTTTCTACTTCTTGCCCTTCCTTCGTTTCTAATTGTTTAAACATTCTCATGATTTCTGCCCCGCCTTTGCTTCTTCTTCCTCATCTTTGCCTCTTCTGGGATCCAGGATTCTAAATTCTGTGATCTTGCGACAGAAGCACAACGCACATCTCCGCTCATGATGGCCTGATGATCCTTACGCAACCTTTTCAGTTTCCTGGAAGCAGTGAAAGTGGAGGCCGCAAAACGATGCATTTCAGATTGCCAACGCACAGATTGTACTTCTACAATCCTTGAAACTTTAAAAGTTTAGAATCACCAAGACACGCCTGAGACAAAGCTAAAATCACGAAACAGACAGATTAGACAGCCAGCTTCCTCCTCCCACAGGACAATTTTGGGGTCGCGCCTCAAATGTGCTGGTTTGGAATGTAAGGATGCAAACAGCTCTTCACATCTGGGAACAAACGACTCAACAGCGCAAAATTGGTGACTGAGCGTGCTGCTTGCAAAATGTTCGCACGGCCAAGGCAAGGTTGTCAGTGTCCTGGAACAAAGGGCTGCGGGCCTGTTCCTATACTTTCTAATCACATCCAATGACTCTTTCATGCAATTCGCCACAGATTTCAAAACCCTCCTCCATCATGCGTCCATGACATCCAGCACGGACACCAGAAGGCACCTGTTGGACTTGAAACTGAACAAATATGAACAAATCATTATGACCACAATGACCACAACAAAACAGGAAATGCCTTCGATGCATCACCATATACGCTTTGCTTCAAGTCCTGGTAAAGAATGGGTCCAGCAAGGCTAACTCTACAGTGGGCATTCATCAATTCGAACAATTCAAAAAATCAAATACTCAAGTTTGCGAAATATGCGAAATCATAAACTTATTTGGATGCAACCGTTGCTCCAAAGGACAAAAAGAATTTATTTCTACTGAAGCTTGCTGCGAACTGTGTGTCACCAACTAGATTTTGGCAGACTTGGCACATCAGACTTCATGGCACCTCATGGGGCCCACAATGTTTAGTACGGGATTTCAAGAATAGCTCGTCTATCAGACAAAAGAATGGTTGAGTGACCAGGTCAACTCCGGTATCGTCCTAGATTATCCACTCTGGGAGCACATGCAACACAAGCAAATCCGTACAACAAATCCTTGGCACTGACTTTGAAAGGACGACTTCAAAACAAAAAGGACAAGCCCAGACCCAGTGAATTAGTGTGGAGTGTAGAGTGTAGAGCAGAAGCAGAAACGTTTCTCGTATTAGGCCGGAGCGGGATCCAAATACCAAATTACTAAATTGTCGGGTCAATGCTGCAGACTGATTCTTGCAGATCCGTTGCATACATATATGTATCATTATGTTGCAATCAATCATTAACTTGGACATGCTTCGATAGCTGTTTCATTGAACCTAAGTGGCGGAAACCCAGTGATGCCAGGTTCAGAACTGCGGTACGCAGGTGGGCCTGTTTAGGTTTTTAGCTGAAGAACGCTGAAGAATGCTAAAGAGACTCATTATATAATATATAATATATATAATATATAATATATATAATATATAATATATAATATATAATATATAATATATAATATATAATATATAATACATAATACATAATATATAATATATAATACATAATATATAATATATAATACATAATATATAATATATAACATATAATACATAATATATAATATATAACATATAATATATAATATATAATATATAACATATAATATATAATATATAATATATAATAATATAATATAATATAATATAATATAATATAATATAATATAATATAATATAATTTAATATAATATAATATAATATAATATAATATAATATAATAATATAATATAATATAATAATATAATATAATCTCATTTTCTATCGTTTTCTTGTGATACAGAACTTAGCAAGACATGCTTTCATCATGCAGTGCGAAACTTAAAAGCTCCTGCACGGTGGCCATCGCTGGAAAATAAAAGACCTCGGTGCTGCAACTAGTCTTGTTGGGGTCTGAAATCTGAATCCTGGAGAAGGCTATATACCATGCATCACCATGCACATGACTTAGATATAATTACTTAGATTCAGCGTTCCTTGGTGTTACTAAGGTATCAGCTGATCCATTCTTCCAGCTGACCAGGCTCTTGGTTTTCTCATAGCTCGAAAACATGCTTCCACTCGGATCTGGCTCGACCTGTGACAGTTTTGCATATCAAGAAAACACCTCCGATGCATGTGACCAGAGCCACTTTTCCGCGTAATGACTCGACTTGGCCTGCTTGTCAGCGATGAAGACATTGTACCTCGCTACAAATGAAGCTGTCTTCCAAAAGCTGAACTTTATATCTTCAACAAATGATATTTTACCTTGCCGAAGAGCACGGTCGCGATTCAAACATCTTGAAAACTTCTTGGGCCAAACCACCCGTTCCAATATGTTCTAATCACATATGTAATCACTCACTGTATCGCCAAGCCATGAATGGTGGAATCGGATTTGCATGGACCTTTTAAGTGCCTTCCAAGGTACTTATACTGAGTCTCGGCGCGCCATCGGACCCAAAACAGTGCTCCAGGATAAAGAAAGACTACAGTGTACTTGACGTTCGACCTCAGCCAGAATTAGTGCCTAATTATATCAAGATATATCAAGCTGTTTGGCAGTGGGTTTCAACCTATGCAGATTCTTCAGTATATTCAAGTAATTACAGTAGTACGTATAATTAGTAGTAATATGCGGCTTGAAACAGCTTCTACAAACAAAAAGTAGGGCAGGAGCATGCGGGATCTTTTTTTGTAGTTGCAAATAGACTAGATCTTACTGGACAAATGCATATGGCAACTGTCAAGACTCCGACCTCCGGGGACTGTCGGAACAGCAAACCCATGCCGTCCCATGCCATCCCATGCCATCCCATCTTTGGGTTTGCCAATTTTGTTTTTTCGAATGGTCCGATCATGTTCATTTCCGTTCGTTCAAACAAAGCTGTGTGTCTTGTCTGCGCACTTGGAACACTATGGCCCATCTCTAATGGTTGAGAAAAGGATAGAAAAGGATCACCTATGCATTTGGGAAGTGATCAGGGAACTGCATCTCACGAGATGACCCTTTACTAAAGCCATCCTTTTCCTCCTTGAGGGCTCTGCTGTGAGTTCCAAAACGTCTCATAGAGCCTCCCAGCCCGGAACCTAGGGGAGCGAATGAGTGAGGATTTCTCAGGTGATTCATGATATTTCATGATCGTCCATTCTCTTCATTTTATCTTCATGATATTCCATGACTTTGCATGTGTGGCTTCTTGAGTTGATTCAAACATGTTTTTGACACAAGTTGCAGGAGAACTAGAACCTATGTAGAAAGCAATTCTCAGGTCACGGCTTGATGCCTTCCTTCAGGAACGTCCAGGCCTTGCAGCCAGTGAAATTCGGTAACACTTGCAACGCACAACTCTTCGAAGACCTTGCAATCAAAGTAAAACTAAGTATCTGCTAGGCTGTGATGCATCCATCTGTTGTGTTACTCCAATCCCAGCAAGAAATATGTCTGCATGTTATGCATGTTTCTGGATGTTTAGGTGTGGTAGTCTTTCCCGTGCGTCTTGCACATTGACATACTTGCATATGACAATGATACATCAAATATCATCAAATACACCTCCCAACACCCTCCTGTGAGACCGTCTTTGCCTGTCTGTGCATGAAACGATTTCATGTCTTGTGATGCTTAGTTGCGTTCTTAGTTTGCATTCATGCATGTTCGGCAAAAGAACATGGAATGTGCTCGATGTGTGCATGCATGACATACAGTGTGGGTAAGTGTGTGGGTGTGTGCGTGTGTATGTGCGTCTGTGTTTGTGAGCTTGATGGAGAACAGCTACAGTACGATAATAGATCGATGGATGCATGGATAGATGGACAGATCCACTAGAAATTGGAGTGGAATAGATGAAAGAGATACTGTATCGTAAATCAAAAGCCATATAAAACATGGTTAAACAGAAGAATAGAAAAATAAATGTGCGCTCAGGTCTGTGAACATTCTCGGAATACCTACAGTAGATACATGGTGGGATATTGATGCGAAATATCGATTGGGCTCCAGCAGACTTCTGAGGGTCCGACCCATCTCTTTGGAAGCGCAGCCATTTGGCCTGGGAACTGAGAAAATGAGTTAGAAAATCATGAAAAATCTTGGCCGGTGGCTCTGAGCCTGAAAAATCTGAAATCTGAGGACATTTATTTCAGTGGGAAAAGACCACAAGAAATCAGCAAGACTGTGAGGTGCCTTAGAAACACTCTGCCTTAGAAACACTCGGCAGCGTGGGGAGGACTTCGAAGTCTGTTTGAGCCAAGGGTGCCAAGGGTGCCAAGGGTGCCAAGAGTCAAAGTGAGGAAAACAGTCGAGATTGTGCAATTTGTTGCAGTCACATGCTGAAGCTGTTCCTCAGTCAAGGTAATGTTAAGGTGTTCCTTTTCCCTCCACTCAATAAGGCATCACAAAGCGTACCTTTTTCACGAACCTTGTCGTTGAAAATCTATGAAAATTTCTGTGTATAAGCGAAAACAATTTCATCCGGCAAAGGTTGTGCCATGTTGTGCCACTGTGCCAAGCAACCATTGTGGTTTGCAATGACAATGACACTCTAAGTGACCTCTACGTGCTATGGGGATCTATGGGGTCAGGCGTGTTGGATCTCGAGCAAACATGCTTGCTTTGCGGATGTTGTCCAAGCCCAGGTACCTCCAGAGGTCGCATGCAATATCAGCAATATCAAATCAAGAAATCACACTGTCAGCATCTGCCAGCATCGGCCAGCATGGATCATGGATGAGAGTGCGTGAAGTCTGCGAACATTCTGTCTGTGCGCTGCAACATGTGATATAGGAGGCGATCGCTCTTCCTACTCGTAGAGTACACAGGTTCAATGATTTGTACACATGTTTCAATGATGTTCGATGTACCCTTGAGCGCACTGCACTATTACAGATTGCACTGTACATGTTTCGCATATCAAGTCAAATGCATGGGCGCAGTTGGAAGTAAATGTGTACATCATTGTACAACTCTATATCAAGATGTCTATCAAGTCGCACAATTTCGCACGCATATGTTGCGGCCAATACAGCACCAGAAAGGATGAGGCATCAGTCATCCACATTTATCTACTGTGCAGACTGACGGCGCGTCAGACTGAAGGACGCGCTTTGCTAAACTGTTCCTCAAAGATAATCATGCGTGCATGTCAGGTATTTTTAGGAGTAATATCAGCTATCATCATAACAAATCAGAATGTCACCAGAGCATGAGGACTTAGGATGACTTACATAGGGCGTGTAGGAGTATCTGGTGAGCGATCTGGTTGATTTTGTGCGTTTGAAAGATTTTCAAAGCGTCCTAAGACCTAAGACACACACGCCCCAGCGAAGTCTCAGAACCAGACAACTGCACAATGCGTTCCAAACCCAGACCGACGCCGCCATGTGGTGGGACCTTGCACAAATGACACTTGGTTCTCTTTGCACTTCTACATGTTGAATCTTTGGAAGAAAACTGTGTTTCGATGTTTGCTTCAACACGTTTTTATCGCAGTCTGAGGTCCGCGCACCATGCCTGAAGGATTCAATATATGACCTCAGTCCCGGCTGGAAGCAAGTTGAATCAGCGTTGCAATCGAACTCTTCCATATCTGACGTGCTGAGCATTTTAAACAATTCAAACATGTAGTATATAGTCCTATACCTGGACTTGAAGTTTCACAAGATCGTGTAGAGTCTTGGTCGGAATCTGGAAAATATTCGGAGGTCAAGCATGGTCTGAACCTGGTCTGAAGGATTCTAAAGGTCTGTAGACAAAGGACAGTGCATCCTTTTAATGAGGCAACAAAACTTGAGAACTTGAGAACTGGACTGCAGAGGTTCAGTTGGAACTCCAAGCGATGCACATCTTGCCTGGTGCAGTGCATCAAAACAGATAGCAAAGAGGAGCAAAGTCAACTGTATATCATGTCATATACACACTCGCATGTATACATAATTATTGAAAACAACAGGAAACAACATTAACATATAGTTTAAAAAAAGAGTGCACTGTGTTTTTTGCTCACCATGATAAGTTTACTGATGTGATCGCACGATGTGCGATGATGTACGGTAGTGGAGAGTAGTGAGATTCCTGACTTTGAAGTCATGAATTCTTAAGATGGAGCATGATGGGACACCTCAAGCAGCTCTGGATCGTGGCATCGCTGAGCTCCACTTCCAATTTCCTCCAGACATCTGCAGTCTCCAACAGGTGACATGAAATTGTGCATAATTGCGCACTACTACAATGCTCTGTGCCTGGCCACAAAATATCACGTCATATGAATTGGAGAATTCTGGCCTGGCAGTTTGAGACTTACAGAAGCGCAAGTGAAGCACACGTAAAGCAAGTAAACCACATACCAGTTGGCCAATCAGGCCGGATTGTCTTCTCCTTCGATGGCATTGTGTAGAAGGGCCTCCACCATGACTGTCAAGAAAACTAGAAAGACAGATATATAATTCTGTTTATATTATATATTTATATATACTAAGTCACCAGCAGATAGAATATTCAAAAAACACTGGACAACAGATAGAATAGGCCAAAACGCTATCAGCAAATCCAACAGATAGAATATTCATGATAAGCAAAACAATACAGAAACTATATGATTTTGATGATTTTGGCAAACAAATCAAGAGATAGAATATTCTCACCTGCAAAAATGATGTATCCCTGAAATCATTGATTCTCTATGGGATTATTTAGATAATATTGCATTTGTGTTTCAATGTTTTCCATACCTTAGAGCATTGATTATCTATGGGATTGCTGAGAAAAAATGATGCATTTGGTTTCAGCGTTTTCCATGATGTTATATTTCTGAAATCATTGACTATCTGTGGGATTGCCGGGAAAATGTTGCATTTGGTGTCAATGTTTTCCACAATATTGTACCCCTCAAATGATTGAATAGCTATGGGATGGTTAGGAAAACATTGCATGTGGTTTCTACTAATTGCACATCCAAACACATGAAAATCGTATTCTTGCTAAGGCTTGTGCCAATGTTTTTCTAATATATGATATTTATAGAATGTTACCACTGGCAGCCAGCAAAGCTGGCATTCCAGTCTGAATATTCTATCTGTTGATTTTTGAAGACCGTTTAAAAAGAAAAAAACTACAAATATATATACAGATAACATTATATTTTGGAATTCTTCCAAAACCATACCTTCAACATCTCCCACCCACCACGCGCTGAGAAAACCCAATTGATTTTTTCACCTGAAACGTTAAAAGTTCATTCTTTGTTGGATACAGTAATCCATGGAGGATGCAGAAAACCTATATATATACATACATGAACCCAACAGATAGAATATTCCAACAGACCAATGATACCAGTGATGTTTCCTTCTTTGATGAATATATTGATATGATATTGTTGATTTTTTTGATATGCATTCTTCATCGAATAAAATATACTATTGAAAATGCAGAAAACCATATATATATACATACACGGATCCAACAGATAGAATAGTTCAGCTTAAAACCATGTAGGTTTGGAGATATATTTCCATAATTTATAAGCTCGAAGTATCAACGATTTCGTATATATATATACGCGAAATCAACATTTTGCTACTCATCTTAAACAGATAGAATATTCTCACCTGCAAACCAGGTTTCACCCGCAAAATCGTCGATCTCTGAACACTGGATAATATTCTATCTGCTAGTGCCTTAGTATATATATATATTATTTATATTGATATACAAGTTTAATCAATTTGATACATGCTGATACTGTCTTGGCAAGGTATTGCTCACCCGAGGCCTGACAGCAGATGGGTACTGGTCGAGAAAGAACAAATCAGATCCTTACAGAAGTATTTCCCAGCGAGTCTGGCCAAATTTCGGAACTGCACAACAAGCTCCAGGCCATACTTCTCACGAACGAGGCTTCCCAATAACTTCTCCTCGTTTGTACTCAAATCTGCCATTATGTCCTCCAGCGCAAGAAAATCGTATGACCACGGTGAATGCACTGGCTGAAGGGGGAAGCTGCGGCACGTTCACGCATCCACTCCATCAAGTCCAAATCATTTTTATTAAGCAACCAAAAGATGTGACCCTTCAAACAAAAAAAACTGGTCTTTAAACAGGATCACGTGGACAAAATCAAAACCACCGAAGACAGAGGAAAGCCAAACCAAACCCAAACCATTAATTACCTACCTCTGGCAACCACATGTAAGAAGTTTTATATACAAATCTGCAATGCTGCAAAAAGTTCAATCAGCAGAAGACCATGCCAATCCAACAAACATGTCCTGTTGCTTGCTGTAGTACCGTTTTAGAGTAGGAGAAACTGCTGAAACGGGTCGCAAGGAACAAGCAAAGTGTTTTTCTTGCCGGCATAACCATGGGATGTTTGTCACCAAATCATGTCAAACAACCCAAACCATTACCGGCCTGTAGCAATTACTTTCAAACATCTGCAATGCTGCAAAAAGTTCAATCAGCAGAAGACCATGCCATCCAACAAACATGTTCTGTTGCTTGCTGTAGTACCGTTTTAGAGTAGGAGAAACTGCTGAAACGGGTCGCAAGGAACAAGCAAAGTGTTTTTCTTGCCGGCATAACCATGGGATGTTTGTCACAAAATCATGTCAAACAACCCAAACCATTGCCGGCCTGTAGCAATTACATTCACACATCTGCAATGCTGCAAAAAGGTCAATCAGCAGAAGACCATGCCATCCAACAAACATGTCCTGTTGCTTGCTGTAGTACCGTTTTAGAGTAGGAGAAACTGCTGAAACGGGTCGCAAGGAACAAGCAAAGTGTTTTTTTTGCCGGCATAACCATGGGATGTTTGTCACCAAATCATGTCAAACAACCCAAACCATTACAGGCCTGTAACAATTACATTCACACATCTGCAATGCTGCAAAAAGTTCAATCAGCAGAAGACCATGCCATCCAACAAACATGTTCTGTTGCTTGCTGTAGTACCGTTTTAGAGTAGGAGAAACTGCTGAAACGAGTCGCAAGGAACAAGCGAAGTGTTTTTCTTGCCGGCATAACCATGGGATGTTTGTCACAAAATCATGTCAAACAACCCAAACCATTTCCGGCCTGTAGCAGTTACATTCACACATCTGCAATGCTGCAAAAAGTTCAATCAGCAGAAGACCATGCCATCCAACAAACATGTTCTGTTGCTTGCTGTAGTACCGTTTTAGAGTAGGAGAAACTGCTGAAACGGGTCGCAAGGAACAAGCAAAGTGTTTTTCTTGCCGGCATAACCATGGGATGTGTGTCACCAAATCATGTCAAACAACCCAAACCATTACCGGCCTGTAGCAATTACTTTCACACATCTGCAATGCTGCAAAAAGTTCAATCAGCAGAAGACCATGCCATCCAACAAACATGTTCTGTTGCTTGCTGTAGTACCGTTTTAGAGTAGGAGAAACTGCTGAAACGGGTCGCAAGGAACAAGCAAAGTGTTTTTCTTGCCGGCATAACCATGGGATGTTTGTCACCAAATCATGTCAAACAACCCAAACCATTACCGGCCTGTAGCAATTACATTCACACATCTGCAATGCTGCAAAAAGTTCAATCAGCAGAAGACCACGCCATCCAACAAACATGTTCTGTTGCTTGCTGTAGTACCGTTTTAGAGTAGGAGAAACTGCTGAAACGGGTCGCAAGGAACAAGCAATGTGTTTTTCTTGCCGGCATAGCAACCCAAACCATTCCCGGTCTTTAGCTATGATTCCAGCTTGACTGCGGGAAGGAAGGTTGATTCAAACAACAGTTTGTGCTCAGCCGAATCTTCTGTCATTAGAATTCATTAGAATTCGTTAGAATTCATTACTTTGAGAAACTACTTGCTCCTCTCGAGGCTCACCGTTGCTGCGCAGAAGTTCCATGGCTTCATCCCAGTGCCTGAAAGTCAAAACAGGTTTTCAGAAGGCGTTTTTTTAATGAACCTTGCGGGTTTCCTGTGGGTTGTCATGCAGGTCTTTCCGGACACATACTTGAGCAACCATTCGTATCATTATGTAAATTATGGCAATTATGTATCATTAATAACTGCTCTGCTGTGTCTGTGTGTATGATTGTGTATATGTGTTTGGGTGTGAAAATCCACACTAGTGATGTGGAGACTGAGCTTCAAACAGAACACAGGGCTCCGAGAGAGGAAATTTTGGTGCCTCTTCGAATGACAAGAATTATTGGGCTCTCTTGGTCCACAGGACATCCTATGACATATCCTGAATTTTAAAATGACATCGTTGCAGCCTTCTGCATTTTGAAGTCTTGCCAGCCTCAGAAGGGTACATCTTCCTGATGATGGTCAGCTCTTCCTGATGCTCCTGCGAGCTGAATCCAAATGGAACAACTGAAATGACACTGAAATGACATTGAAATGACATTGAAATGACCACTCATTTAAAACTCATGATACTAAAGCATACTAAAGCCAGCCCAGGGAAAAACAGCCTCCTCCAGCCGAAGAAAAATGCTGGAGAGAGTCTCATGGATGACCTAGTGCAACGATGCCCAACTTAGGTAGTGAATTCCTGGTTGCATTCTTAGACCAAATGGGTAAATTTAGAGACATGTTTTCATTTCATTTCATATCTGGACGTCCATGGATGTACCACAGCCTGCAAAAGCACACTAGGCAGCACCTGAATCACTTCATCATAGTGCCACCGAATTGGCATCTCCAAGTCGAGGCCTTTGACACCAAAAAGTCAAAGCTATCGAGGGGTCTGAACTCCAGATCCAAGACCCTTTTCCTGGTTTTCCTGGAAGTGCTTGTCACAGCGGTACTGTTCAATGATGTAATATGATGTATCTACCACCCTGCTCAATCTGTTCACTGACTGTTCTAGTCCCCCCCAAGCTTGCCCTGCCTGTGAACTCACATAGATGCCGAGCAGTGTTGGAATTCTCTGCGCGAAAGACTGGCCCTACCTAGCCATTGCATATAGAGAGATATGGAGAGATATGGAGAGATATGCAGAGCCAAAATTCCACAGGATCCTCAAGGTGTGTCAGTTGGGACTGCTGTGCTGGCCTCGAATGCACCTGGCATGTCTGCAGACATTGCCATCTGTTTGTACAGCTGAGGTGACCTGAGTCCAAAATTGGCAAATGCCTCAAATGCCTCAAAACAAAATGTGATCGTGTTATATCGTGTTTGGCTTGCTTTCTGGAGATTTAAATATTTTAAATGATTTAACTACAACAGGTAGCGATCAAGCACAAGCAATGCAAAGCATCTGCAAGCCTTCAAAGCACTGTCGGTGTTCGAAACGGGTCTGGTATTTCATTATACTCACATGGTGCTTTCGCAATGCTTTCGCGACCACACTCCCGGCTTTCGCGCGGTGAACATTTGACAGAGTTGCTTTCGCGGAGCTTTCGGCGTATTTGGTCTAACATGAGACAATCGACAATATATCTCGATATATCTCGATAATAAAAAATCGCCCAATCAGCCACTTTCGCAAAGCTTTCGCAACGGTGTCTGTCAACGTGGTCTTCACGTAGCTTTTGCTGAGCTTTCGTGAGCTGGGTTTTAGCTTTCGCGGGCACAACCCAGCTTAAGCCCAAGTGAAGCCCTCCACATAAGGGGCTTGAACGCTGCTCTGTTGTGTATTGTGTCGAAAGACACGACAGGGACACTCACTTACCGAGAATGTTCTTACATTAATTCTTACATTGAGGCAGAAGTCCAAGATATTTCTCATCTCCTCGTGAGCAACAGCAGGTGCTCGATATGCTAAATCCACTCAACCTTCTGAATTCCCACAAATCCATCTGTCTGCGCCATGAAGGACACAGATTCTGTATCCTAAGGAAGTAGAGAGTAGCCGTTAGCCGTGGGAAAAGGCTACAGAATACACGCCCTACTCTGCTGTAGCGCAAAAGCAAATGGATACAGAAGCCTAGAGAAGCCTACGAGATGCAGAGATTAGATGAGATTAATTAGCACCAATGAGACCATTTCAGAATGTTTCAAATACCCAATCAAGGATAATCAAGGGCCATGGCCATCGTACAATCCTGGGTCCCACACTGCGCCAGCGACGCTTTGGAGCCGAAGTAATCTACTCGAAAGACCTGAACAAATCGAGCATCGAATGCAGGATGCGAATGCTCCAAAATTCATTGAAAAATGATTGAAAAATGGTTGAAAATGCGCGAGCGCTGCATCATTACTTCAGAGAGGAGGCCTCTGCGCCTCCTTCGCTTTCACCAGCGATGAGTTTGGGAGAATGGATCCTTGAATGGGATGCAAAGTCAGCGAGCCTGTATCTTTGAGTTGGTTTCATATATCATTTATGTTTCATGATGGACCCTTAACCTGACAGATCCTGACAGCTTTTCTGATCATGTCTGGGTATTGTTTGCACTTTGTCATTCGTTGTCTGCTTTCCTTCCCCCTTAAGTCTTGAGCTCCACGAAGCCACGCTTGGCCAAGCTTTCCCGGAAGAGTCTGCACACTGCGGACTGTCAGGGCATATCATGAATGCTTTCTGCAGTTACTGCCACGTTCTTCATGCCAATCTGCCACAAGAAGAAAAGGTATTGAACTCTGGTGCAAAACAGTAATTGGCACCTGAATCCGAAGGATTGCGTTGTGAGCGGGCACCTGGCACATGGCTATGAGTGTGACAGGTTGCTACTCTAAGTCATGGCAAATTCCAAGAATTGGCAAAGTCGAATCGAATCTGAAGATGACACCTCCTGGACCAATTCTTGCTTTTTTAAGCTGGGTCCGTTATCAAACTCCACAACCACATGCCTTGCCTTTTTGATTCTTTTTGTATGAGACCACTAGAACCACAGAGTGTGAGCATGCACTCCGTCCTACTTGCCTGAGGCCCAAGCCCGCAAATCAAGCCATCTATGGTCTAAACGAAGATCTGGCAGAACTCGGACCTTCAGGTTTGAATATTTTGAATCCAAACTGTATTTCTTTACAGAGGAAATGTTGGTTCACCTGACATCTCAAGGATCCCCCAGCTACTGGGGTCGTTGCAAACGGTCTCTTGCTGCCTTGCGAGGCCACAATCTCTTCCTGGAAAAAAAATGAAAAAAACACTGATTCCCAGAAAGTCGGCCGTGAGAAGTTTAGATCAACTGTAGTGTGAGGGTTTGAAAACTTGAATCCAAAGTTTGATGGGAAAATCAAATTAATAGTCATCTAGCATTGCTAGCTTCAACCCATCAACCACTGGGGCAACATGTATGACTGCAATAACTAACAGAATGTCAATAGGGCTGTCTATGTACTGCCCTTGGGTACATTGCCGTCCTCGCTGCGCTGGGCATCCGCCATCAAAAATGGGAGCTGCCTCGGCACGATTCATTTGCTGATGGGGGCTCGGCCGAAGATGAGAAAATTACGGGAAATGAAATGAAATGATAAGAAAAATGCCATGCTTTGAAGATCTTTGAAGCATATACTAAGGAAATGAGTGACAAGTGTGTGATGAAAAATAATGAAATCACCAAACGATGCATTGGACGCATGCAATTTGAATCTGAGATCCTTGCGCTGCTGCGCGGCACACACAGAACACCCGCTTGATCTGGAGCTCCACGTTGCTCTGAGTGCAGCTGGACACATTGGCCTCCCAAAGCATTGCCATGCAGTACAGTAGGCATTGAACACCCTTGAAAGGATTCTGATGAGGATTGATTTATCATCGACAATATCAGGGTTCGTTCCAAGATGTCCCAAGACACGTTTTTGCTCAAACACTCTTCAGATGGGCCAAGCAGCAGTCGGATGCCTCCGCAAGAACTCCACAAAGATCAACAATGCTTTCCTGCACATCTCACGCATGAATCAAAAATTGCATGCATGGCATGCACGTACGGAATATTACGTAATGGTGTTCAGTCCAATTCTTTGAACACACAAGCAAATCAAGGGTCCAGCGGAATCGACTTGAAGAAGCGGGATACAGCCGTCGCGCTTCCCCCTCCATCCTCCTTGTCTTTGAACTTACACGCCTGGACTGTGTACAAGCTATCCTCTCGCAGCACAACAAACGTCGATTTGCCCTTGACGCGGACAGTGGCAACACGAGCACGGATCCAAACTTCCGCACCAATGGCCGGACTGATACCATCTTCACCCAAAGTTTTTACGCTCACAAAGGGAATGGCAGGCGACTCAACAGACCGGATGGTGTCGTAAACACCAGTAACAGCTGCATCTGCACTTGTAACCACCGAAGGGCTGACCATTGTACCCAAGTTTTCCTCACTTTGTACTGCTGCAGCTGCAGCTTTGCGTGCCAGTGTCGACAAGCGTCTCCGACGAACAGTTGAGGCAACCCATCGGCAAACACCTGCTGTAGCTGCCACTTCAAAGCAAAAACTTGAAGAACCTCGTCCTGTTGCGGCCCTGGCGCTCCTTGCCACACGTCGTTGTGTCCTTGGAATGTGCACCTGCGAGTTTGAAGCGCGAGCACCTTGCAAAGATTCAATGCCAGCTTGAAGGCTGCAGCCCAAGGCGCTATTTCGCATCCCAAAACTTCTACTTCTGCCTGGAGCCTGTGTCAAGATTCGAGGGGCCAAAGTGGGCCACTGGGCACTGTGAATGCGGTGCATGACGCCGTGTCCCTTTTCCAAGGTTAGGTCGTATGTGCAGTTCTCTGGTTGGCAGTTTCTCTTCTTCTGTCTAGCTACTGTCTAGCTTATGCCTGGCGATTTGTGTTTGATGTCCCGTTGTAGAGTACCTGCTCGTTGATTCAAGTTCGTGCAGCTCAACCCATAGTCAATTTTTGAAACTTGGACAGGAAAGTGAGATCAAGTGAGGTTCTTGAATGGCTTGTAAAGAGCTGTTACAAATCTTGAGGGCAGTGCACACGGTTGCAAACTGCTTCCTGCAATAACCTGCAAAGGCGGCGGTGGTTGGAGATTAAACGTTTGATGCATATTGATGGCACATTCAGGCATTTAAGTCAAGCTTCAAACTATATCCCATCCACTCTCATCCACTGCAGCGACAAATGCTTCGCAGAAGATGAATTTGTGCATTCGTTTTGCAGTCACGAAGTTGCTGGGCATGTGAGGACACAATCGAATTAAGCTGCTGCTCTGTAATTTCAAGGCAGCATGCGATACATTGCCGCGTCACACCTGGAATTGTCTGCACCTCACACATCTTTAGAAGATGTCTGCAAATGCGGCTCAAGTGTCACTTGAGCAAGTACAGTAAGATCAGTATATCAGCCGTCCAAGGTGGTGACCAACGGCTGCACCATGTGCTATGAATTGCAACTCTAAGATCTCCGCCCCATGGCGAATTATGGTGAATTGGCAAAGCACTGTGCCAGCTGCAAACGAAGAGCCCTTTGTATGAGTCGGTCAGACCCTCCAACCAAAAACATGTCAATCTGTTCAGCCTCCAAAGACTTGACTAAACATAGCAGTATGTATCTCCTGCACTTAATCTAAAGTTGTTTGAAGGCTGCATACTGGGTTTTCAGGTTTCATGTACCGTCAAGCTGTCAAGTATCAAATCCACCGCCGCTCAGACTCAACGATATCTTAGGTCAAACTTCCTGATCTGGTCCTGAAGCACCGCAGCCGATGTTTTGCGGCATCTATGTATATCTACAAATACACACACAAATACTCAAGTATCCGGAATTATTTTGTGTAGTAATAGATTACGGTATAATATACATACATATATGTACGTTACATATATATATACATACATACAGTATAATATATATATATATATACATACAGTGTGTATATATATATATGTGTTTCCCCAAGTTCTGCCCACACACACCCCAAGCTGGATAGCTACCAAGAAAGCTACCAGGCATGGAGGCACGCACCGGGGCAACCGGCTCTTAAGAGCTTCAGCTACTCACACGCGCTCCCCCCACTCTGCAGCTCAGGCATGCAGAGTGTAGTGTATGCAACCTGGCAGAGGCCGTTGGGCTTGAGCCACCGCACCAACTGTTAGGCGCCTCGCCAAACTTCAAAAGCCAAACTTCTCGCTGATGAACTGCATCGGCCCCCCGCTTTCTGAGACGCCTCGCGTCCCCCGCTTTTTGAGGCAAAGACTCGCCCTCCAACTTCTTTGTCGAACAGGCCCTGCACACCGCAGATCTCCCAGCTTCACCACACCTGCAAGAAGCATTCCCAGCGGGCATCAAAGCCGCGCAATGGCCACATTTGGGCTCATAACCTGTGTTTCCCCAAGTTCTGCCCACACACACCCCAAGCTGGATAGCTACCAAGAAAGCTACCAGGCATGGAGGCACGCACCGGGGCAACCGGCTCTTAAGGGCTTCAGCTACTCACACGCATATATATATAATAATAATTGCATGGCATGCGTAGAGGCAACGTCCGACAACAGCTGAAAACTATCTGTCACACTTGCATACAAATGCACTGTATAAAGATATTGATACATGATATTCATTGATATTCATTATTATAGTTGTACTATGTTGTACTGGTAACGGGTATGTGCATATTGCAACAGAAGAGGTTCAAGAGTTTGTGACCCATCGAGGGGCGTTTGCGGACCTGCACCGAGTTTGTCCGCGGGGGAGGAGAATGTTGCATCTGTCCAGTTCCTGCAACCGTGAACATCCGTGAACTTGAGTCGTGTGTGGCATGTGTGGCATGTGTGGCAAGTGCAAGTTGGTCTGCTCCAGGAACACTTTTGCTGGCGAGAACGGCCTCGTGTGATAGTACACGGCTGGCCTAAATGCAGGAAAAACATGCCAATCATGAGCCTGCAGTGCCTTCATCACTGCCTCGAACTGTTTTGAATCAGTGCCAGCCATATCAGCTGGTTTGAACCATGGAGTCGTTTCAGCCAGGAAACCATTCTGTAGCTGTTGTCAGGAAACGCAGCAAAGAGAAAGGGAGAAATGCCAAACTCAGAGTCAAACGCTTGAAGGGGGACAGATCCTGCAGCATAAAGGAATTCTGATCAAATGCTCTCTGCCGGCCAGTCAACAAACATAGCTGTTCATATAGCTGTTCACAGCAATTTCTGGCCTCGATATGGGTCACATGAGAAGAACCTGGAGTCCTGTCAAGGGGCACTACCCTGCTCTATGAGAAGGAAACTGCAAGGGAAAACTCAGCAGAGCGACAAAGAAAATATGTTGAATTATGTGTTGATATAATATTATATATAGTATATTATATATTATTATATCGTATTATATATTATATATTATATATTATATATTATATATTATATATTATATTATATTATATATTATATATTATATTATATATTATATTATATATTATATTATATTATATTATATATTATATATTATATATTATATTATATATTATATTATATATTGTATTATATATTATATTATATATTATATTATATATTATATATTATATTATATATTATATATTATATTATATATTATATATTATATTATATATTATATTATGTATTATATTAAATTATATATTATATTATATTATATTATATTATATTAATATATTATATTATATTATATTATATTATATTATATATTATATTATATTATATATTATATTATATTATATTATATATTATTATATTATATTATATTATATTATATTATATTATATATTATTATATTATATATTATATTATTATATTATATATTATTATATTATATTATACATTATTATATATATTATATATTATACATGTATATTATATATTATATATTGTTATATCATATATATATATAATCATTTTAATTATAATCATAGTATGGTACAGAAAAATCACAATAATCTGCTGTCAAACCAGAACATGCCAGCTGCACTCAGGGTCTTCGACCTGTCGCAACACGCTCACTGTGGTTCTGATTACAAAGCTGCCCACAAGAAGATGCCATCAAAAGAATTCAAAAGATAAATCCTTACTAAATCCGCCCTCACCGAAGCTGCTGAGCGTTTTTTGTGTTCACGCGTTGATCAGAAACAATCGCAATAGCCATTAAGCTTTAACTTGGTGGGGGATGTGGGTGGTATTTTGCTCTAGAATCGTGGGTTTCTCTACGCTTTTGAAAAGGTTGTAAGCTGCCAAATAGGTCCGACATAGGTCCAGCAGAGGCCCAACATTGCCAAAGGATTGGTCAAATGGGCCCGGCCTAACATAGCATTGCCTGAATATAGGCTTCGAATCTGTTCCCCTCTACACCAACATAGATCTTTCAATGCCAATATGGCAATATGTCAAGCTGTTCGAAGGAAAAACAGCACAGCCAAAAAGTATGTGTTTAAAAAAAACTTGGTTTTGATTGTTTTTGTGTATGCTTGTCATATTGACGCCTGTGCCAAACCCAGATCAAACCTGTGTTCAGTGTTTATTGGTCCCATTTTGTGCCGGTTGGGGTGCGGTTCCCGGAATTCGCAGGTTTGCTTTGCAAAGTGTGTGCTACTTTGGAAGGATGCAGATGGTCTTGTGAACTTCCATTGGGCCACGGTAAGTCTCATCTTGGGCCCAAATCAATGATTGAAGTTGGTTTAAAATTTTAGATCTATTTGGTTGGGTTCGAACCCTTTTCCTCACATCAAAAAGATCGCAGCAGAAGAAAACATCAAACAGGCCAACATTAAGTCCAGTAGTGTCCTAACAAGGGCTACATTGGGGTCCAGCATGGACTTGACACCAGTCCAAAATGGGCACAAATAGCTCAATATAGCCTCAACTTAGGCCCAACATACGCTAAGCATTGCCCCAAGACCAACAAATTGTAACGGTGTCACAAAGTGTAAAAAAGAAACGACACGTTACAAACAGGTCTCACGGTGATTTACTCACGGGTTCTTCCCTGAGCAAAAGATTCCGGTGCGGGCGGTTGTCGTCGCGAAGCGACCAGAATAGAGACTGTAGATGACTGTAGCACATGGAGACGGGATTAGGTAAAGTCGTATCAAGTTGCCTGGCCCCATTGGCTCTGGGCCTGAAAGGCAGTCCGAGAGCTGCTGGGTGTCACCACACGGGTGTGGGTTCTGGCAACCTTACCCAGCCAATTTGAGGTTCGCCCAAATCAATCTGCACCACTTCTAGAACAGATCGGGCTTTCAGGAGCCAACGTGGATCGGTGCATCCCGTGATCCAGCACGCACAGTTGACGAGGTCAATGCCATGTGACCAGAGACAACCTCATAGAATCAATACCGGCAAGTTTGGGGTCGAAACTGGCTTTACGAAACTAAGAGAAGGCCTCAGAAACATCCATCACACTTGCTTAGAACATCTTAGAACTACTATTGAATCTATTGATACCATTTGCACACCTGGATGCATCGTGATGTGGCACCAGTGGGGTTGGACTTGTTGACTTCGTTTGACTTCTGTACGGCATTCCGATGGCCCGACTTTCCTCTTTCTTGGAGTGTTGGAGATTCATGACTACAGTGACTACATGCTGAAGGAATTGCAGTCATGCTGTCGAAAAAGGCTCGCACGGGAACCGTTTGTATGGCATGCGCAGCATGGGCAGCATGCGGATGTGTGGCATGCGTAGCATGCGCTGCATGTCGCACAGTGCAGGAAGGGCTTGACGCCTGAGCACCGAGATGAGCTGAAGCGTTGCATGTCTTTTGCATGGCTTTTGTGACTTTTCCTGCACAAATTCACACAAATTCACACAAGTCTAAGAGAAGGTCGGTGGTCCTGTAAAGGAAGTTGGTGGCAGTCTCCCTGTCCAGCTGCAGGAGATCACAGACAAACATGAGATTATCTTAGACGTTTGCTTTGATGACAGCATTGGCATGAAATTCAAGCAAAAATATGCATTATCTAAGAAATCTACACTATGTATTGACATGTATTAAGCCTGTACGTAAACTATGTACGTAAACTATGTACGTTTGTTTACAATGTCGTGCCACAATCCTGGCCTCGTGGTTGGAGCTCCGTGGCTGGTGCTTCTCTTCTCAAATTGAGAAACTAAATTTGCCACAGCCGGAGCCTCAAAAGAATTGAGAGATATGTGATATGAGATATTGAGAGTACTCAGAGTATTCGGCGCAAGAAGTTCATGTAGCTCCAAGAAATATTCTGACCCTTCTGACCTTACTTCTTGAAGGTGATTCATTGGTGCAGCCAAGGAGCATGTGATATGGAATCCACTGTCAAGTCGCGCTGACTTGGCACTCGCTGCCGCAGTTGCGGCCTCCAAAGTTCACAAGCTGGAAACCGAATGACAAACGAAAATAAAGATAAGAATCAGAAGAAAATAATACCGTGGAACTAACTGAGCGAACCCAGGAAGCTGGAAACGACTTGAGACAAACATCCATGGAGTTCGGAGGATGTCCCTCCTGCCCAACCATCCAATTCAATTTGCGTCTCTCTTCACACCAGTTTCGGACTCGTTTTCAACTGCTCAGGATCTCAGGAAATAAGAACCCTGCGATGCTGGAAGTCCCCCGGATGATGTGAGCACTGGAGGCCTAGGTGATAGTCTGGGGTTGGCAAAGTGATGGCTGGACTATGACTATGACTGCAATGCATGACTTTGGATTTCGGAAACAACTTCTAAAAGGATCCAAAAGGCTCTTCAGGTCTTTTCACATCTTTTGGTTCTTTTTACATCCTTTCACATGTCTTCAAATCTTTGCAATTTGTCTTCAAAGGTTCGTTTCTTCTTCTCTTGGTCCAAAACATGTAGGAAGTCGCACCGTGCCTTGGAGACCTTTGAGGGTAAAAAAGGCAAACATGCCAAACATGCAGCGATCCAAGAGCTGAAATCGAAATTGGACAAAAACTGCAATACTTGGCCAATCTTGGCCATACTTGGCCAAGTATTGCCAAGTGCCAGCTGAGTAAGGGCCCTGCGCATGTCTAGAGCCCAAACCGGATGGGGGTTGCCTGGCAGTCTTCTCTGAAGCTGCTGTGGCCGTAAAATCAATCTCAAAAAAGATCTCAAAAGCGTCTTGCTCAGTTGTACTTGTTAGAGGGAAGCTGGCTTCACCTTGCTGAGAGCGGGGATGGAGACACCTGAGGCAATTAACTGCGCTTGATTGAAGCAAGTTGATATTGTAGTCAAACTATGTCAAACTCAAAAAATGCATACATCATCATACATCAAATGCATCAAATCAGAACAGATCAGCTGTGTCTCGCAGTGTCATCAATCTTACTGTAAGTGTGCCGCTGTCAAACTTCACACAGCTGTTGTTCTAAGGCTCGGATTGACATTCAATTGATGCAACATGATGCGACATGATGCGACGTTCTTAAGGGGAGAAGGGGAGAAGACTGGCTTCGCCTGGGCAATTGTTGTCATTGAAGCGCTCGCTGCGGCGATGGCAGCAGGGGCTGGAGGAGCCTTCATCAAGACCAGCATGACCAGCAATGATGACTATTCAATGGTGCTTCTTGGCTTCCCAAACGTTTCCAACTTTCTTTGGGGGTTCATTGAGGTTTGCAATGTTTCAGGCATTCCAAACAAGTGACTATTTCAGGCATTTCTCTGTTTGTTCCAAGATGTTCCAGTTCCAGGTCTTTTCTCACATACTTTGTTTTCTTGGCCTGCAAACTTCCAGATAGCACGCCCGAAACCTCACGCTTTGCCACAGAAATGTAATGTTTTTGGCTCAAAGATGCTCAAAAACTCGAACCATCTTGAACCTCCTTCGACAGAGACAGCATCCGGAGAAACGAGCTGAGATGCTCACAGTGTGGGGGACAGAAGGTGTACGATGTCCGTCACAGCGTGAAATGCCTGGATCTTTGGCAAACCGCCAGTGCCCACGCCATCCCACATCAACACAAGATAACACAAGCGTAAGCGGCTCAAACGGGAAAAGAAGGGGAAAAGAAGTGGAAAGGGAAATAAGCTTTGAGGATGAGGGCAGCGATGGGCAGCGTGGGTGACTCTCAAAGAACATTCAGCACAGGTGCAGGCTTGGGAGCAACATAGGACTATCATGTACTATCTCCCTACACCTACACCGATAAAATGGACGATATCATGCCAAATCCATCCAAATCCCTCTTCTCCTCCATCATATCTACAAATGCCCCTGGATATATCGATGCTTTCAAATCTGAAGGTACCGACAAAGGACGACCAGATACTGTATTTAAATTTCACATCTGCGATTATCTATGCTGCAAGTAGCGGCTGCGAAATCACATGGGCATTGTTCATTCTTGTTAAACTTCCATGCAGAAGATGCTACGTATATATATATACGCTGCACATCTGCGACAGGTGAGTGGGTAGAGTATGATGGCATAGTTACAGTAAGCGGCTTGCAAGATACGACGCTCCAAAAGACCCATGAATACATTTAACAAAAAAAAATCTACTAACTGCGGGCATTGATAAAGGCACCGAACGATACAATGCTACAAAGCTTTCCAAGTTGCAAGGATCACAAATCACATCCCTACCGATAAAGTGCAAAGGTGTTTATGACCAATTCCTACGAGTACTGGAGGAGCCTTGGCCATGCGCAGGTCAAAATGCCGCAAATCACACTGCACCCAGGCCGGGGGATCCACAATGCTTGGGAATAAAGGTTTAAAAAGCGATCGGTGTTTGCTTTTTTGTTCCCCAGCCTGAGGTTGTCTTGCTGATTCCGCTATCGTCTCTGGCATCCTTAGAGACTGATCGCTGCATAAAGTCTCAGCTTGGATGCTTGTGTCACTGCTTGCTTTGTTCCGCAAGATGAGACCAGGGCAGAGCGACTCTTGAGGTTTGCCTGCAACTGTGATTCTCATCTAACAGCTGCCAACATCCAATGCAACGTCACTTATTTTGGCCTCCAGCTTTTGGCGGTGATCTTCCAGCTGTTTCAGCTTTTCCTTTGTTTCCAATGCGAAAACACAAAAAGACTGAGAAAGGGGGGTCCAAGAAGGTTGCTGAATAGAAGGCAGATGCTGAAAATAAGCATTGCAGACAAAACTGGTCTGCAAAACAACCAATTTGAGGAGTGTCAAGGTCAGGGCGCCACAAACAGCGGGTAAGCTAGTATCTAGACATGTGTTGTTGCATTGTTTTCTCCGCAAATCCTGTTAACAGTACTTTCGACTTCAGTCATGCACCCACCTCCAGACTCATGGTTCGTTTCTTCTCAGTGCGGTATTGTTCCTGCCGAATGAGTGAAAGTGAATGTGCCTGCTTCATGTAGCTTCATGCAGCTTAAGAAGATGCTTCAGAGGAAGTCTAAATGAATACCACTTGCATCCACTTTGCCAACTTCAACAATCGGCATCAATGTGCAATCATCTGAAACCCGTTTGATGCCGTGTGCATGTGCATTTCGAGCATTGGGCATCTGCCTGCCTCAGCTTGCCTCTGGTAATCCTTCTGCACACGCAATTCATCCTGCAGAAATGTCCATGACTCCAAAGCTCAAACTTGTTCCAGGCCTTAAATCATGTCCTCCTTGCGTTTGCACTCATCCTGCAAAGACTGAGCCTGCCAATCCGACTCCAATAACTGGACTCTGGAAGACTCTTCCACACAAATTCTGGCTGTCAGCTTTCCAGCCTTGTTCTTCCATTCTTCGCACTGCTTCATCAAACGCTGACGGTCATTCTCTGACTCGCTGTGAGCTTTCTGGAGGGCCTGAGGCCAAAGAGATCAAAGATTAACCGAAGCTTTTCATATCTTTTTTCATATCTTTTTTCATATCTGTTCATTGTGCAAAGCTTTGACGCTTTGACTTGGCCGGGCGGAGCCGGGCGGAGCCGGGCGGAGCCTTGAACTGGTCATCGAGTCGGAAGCGCTCAGCTTCTACCTGGCACTTTGATGCACTTTGATGCACTTTGAACTTCCGCTCAGCTTCTTTGGATGTGATGTTTTAGATTCGAACAGATCTTCGCTTTTCGAACTACGCAAACTGTTCTGCTTCAGCTCAAGATAGCCCTTTTTTGACAAGACCAATTACACTCACTGACTTCCTATGTGAAACCACTACAGCCAACCTGAAAGCTTTGACACATCGCAGTCACAGGATAAAAGCAGGGCTTCTGGTCTTTCTGGTTGCTTTGTCATGCTTAAACTGCATTCCAAGCTTTGTGTTGGCCGGTTCCAACCTGACAGATTCAGAAAAGCACACATAGAACGGAGCACCACAAGGCAGCAAAGTATCACAGCTTCACCTGGACTTCATCTGCTATATGCCAAAAATGTGTAAATTTCGGCATGGCTGTCTTCAAATGTCAAACATCTTCAAATGCATTCAAGTAGCAAATCCGGAAACCTGTCCAGAAGTGTTAGTCTTGCGCTTAGGGCTTCTGACTTGTATTCGTCAGCAGAGAGACTTGCAGAAATGCCTCCTTTCTTCTTGTGGTACATCCCCGGAGCATGCCTGAATGCAAAGATAGACAAACAAGCAATTGTCCTTAGTCTAGGATCTGTCCATTCCAGTACTGTTCTTCCGCATCGCGCCTCTTGTATACTTGCAATCTCCCCAGACGTACAGTGGCACCATCATGCTCGTAGAAACGACACGATCGTTCGATATCATCCATCACTTGGCCAAAGCGCGAATAGCGAGACTCTTCATGAGTTGCGACCATTCCGAAGCAAGCACCATACCTTGGGAACTAACAATGCTTCAGATTCAAGGGAACCCAAAAAAGAACTCGAAGATACCTGAAGTTTCCGTCGTGTGTTGGGTAGGGAGAATGGCTCTGGGTCAAAATTGCATCGATTCTGGCGCAAAGGGTGTTTCACGCTCAAGCGGGTGAGAGATGCTTCGCAATCAAATCAAGATTATGTTATGTCCGAAGAGGCCGTTTACACAGCTTTGAAAAGACTGGATTCCACACTGGTTCATTGGCGTTTTGATTCCACTGGCTGTGCAGAGCTATTCTTCTTACAAGCGGCAATTGTCAGTGTCGTGTTGACTTGTAATGATGTGTATGCCTTTTCATCCTATTCTCTTTGTTCACGTGTTGAAAGTCGTTGCATAGTCTGAGACAATGTCAAGAGCGGCAAGGATGCGTGCCGCCGCGTGCATCTTGATTGAGCGCGCTGCACACAAGTTCATAGCTGAAAAGGGCCATTATTAGTTCTTAATTGAGAGCTTGTCAGCTTGTCGGCCAACATTTGCTTCTTCCGGCGTTGTACAAACCCAAACTCTGTTTGAAATAGCTTGTAAATTGCCGAGATCTGAATAGATCTTTGTCCAACTTTTCCAAAAAGACATATTTGAGCAAGGAACCCCAAATTCAGGACGAGACTGCAAAGTCAGGGGCGGGAAATCAGATCAAAAAGGGTGCAAAATTGCAAAACTGGATATCCTTCTCTTGCTCTGCTCAGAAAGTAAGGCGTGTACACCAACCCCTTTCCAACATCCACATCTGCACTCCAATGAGCAGGGTTGGGTGAGTCGCTTCCAGACCAGATCTTGGCGTTCACCTTCTGCATTTCGGAAAATCCCAGTTGAATCAAATCTTCAAGGCCGGTTTCCAAGGTCTTGCCACAATCCATGAACTTCAAGATGTTGTCGTCAAAGATCATAACTTTTGTACCTCAGAGAAAGTCAAAATTGGAACGATTCAGGATATCAATGCTCTCAGTCAGACTGTCTGCCCGTGAAACATTGAAGGCTCACGGATAATGCAGCAAGTCCGTGCGTGTTTGTGTGTGCGTGTGTGCCGGTGTAGGTGTCAATAAAGATATGCGCACTGCACATGCAAATACAGATGGACGTTTGCTCATGACTTTGCATATATGCGCACACCTGTATATACAATAGTTTGCAATATTTTGCAATAGTTTACAATACTTTACAATACCGTTACAATACTTTACAATACTTTACAATACTTTACAATACTATATTACAAGACTGTACATCTATACATAAAAGTTGGTTTATTTATCATTGCAAACAATAAGTTGTTCTCAGGAAGACCTTTGCTCATCTTTATCTATGCCACAGATCCATGCATGCGTACAGACACGGGCACAGACAAGGTTTCTTCATCATCAGCACACAGATACACGTACCATGGCATACCATTGCGTACCCATATCTTGTGCACTGTACACATGGGCACAGACAATGACAGAGACACAGACCGCCAGACAGCTGGTCGGGTAAACAGGCAAGCAGGCAAGGAGGCAAGCAGGCGGCCTCTTTGCAGACATATTGCAAACATTTGCAAACCAACCAAATCAAGCAGGATATAGCAGGATTATCATGAGATTAGGGGTCCTGAGGGGTCCTTAGAGATAGAACTTCAACTAAGTCTTGAGCCCACCCGCGAAATTTGATCAATGAAGGCAATCTGGCGCTCTGCACCCTTCACACCCATGATAATGCGATTCTCCCATGGGCCAGAATTTGTCCTGTAGATATCAAGGTCTGGATCATCAGCAGCCAAGACCAGTCGGCACGAGTTCAGGGGCAAGAGTTGCTCCAACAAACCACAAGTCATCCTTCGGAATGATGAAGCTCGACCATAGCTTCTCACCAAATATATAATCGAATCTGAAGAGAGGGCCTGTTCCATAGATTGGCGTCCCTGCTCCAATAGGCCTGTGGGGAAACGGAACCTATCCATGTGGACGTGCTCTGCATGTGCTTTTTGTACCCAACTTGCACGTGCTCCACTTGCTCTTGTTGAGCGTCGTAAAAAACCCGACCCGGCCGACCCTAATACTGGCATGAGCCAGGTCCATTTGGTGCCATGTCCAAATCTATGTCGTTGCAATGGCACCCACGTGTGACTTAGGAAGACAGCAGGCTGCATGTTAGGGTTGCCAAGGGTGGGCTGCACAGATTGCACAAACGCCGAACTCAAGTGCATCCTACCAGCTATTCCGATGGGAAACATTGTGCTGAGCCAAAAGGTCTACATTCCAGTAAAGGGATGTAAAGGGTATCTCATCAATGAAGCATAAAATTCCAAGAAATACCTTCTCAAAATCAAGATCCCAACACATCCCAATCTCATCCTGATGGATTTCATGGATTCCAACATTAATACAGCCGGCATTGCAGCTGCCAGTCGCTGTTTCGTCTCTGCCAACTCAGCTTGGGCCTCAAATAGCCATGGGGGAACAGGATGGAAAAGGAACATTCAGCACATTTAAGGGCATGTCAAATTCAAGCACATTCAGCAAACCTTCAAAAGAACAACTTTAGATACCATTTAACAATCATTATGTTCAAAGCATTGGCATCAGTGGCAACAAATTGACAAAAGGGGACAGGGCCAAGCGCCGCGGTCGAAAAAGTTCAAACAAAACTGAGTCTTTCGGCTGAGACTTTCCGATGCTTTGCCTGTGCAGTGTCTCGGCTTCACAGAATCCCAGGATTTGTAGCAATGCTGCTTTCTGTATATTGTCATGTCCAACCTGTCCAACGTGTCCAACCTGTCCAGCCTGGTGACATCTCATCTCTTCATTAAATGTCATTACGTCTGTTGCACTTCGAATCATTGCCAGAAGTTGCTGTAAACGCCTGGGGAGATGCAACGGCGCGATGATCGCTGGTGTAGAGCGCCCTGACATGCTTGGGGATGCTTGGGGAACATTGCAGCAAAACTGCAGATTTCTGCACACTCAAATTCAATGCATCACGTTCCAGCAGCTCGCAGAGCTCCAACGCATGCCAGACTTGCGAATTCTTCCTGGCATGCTTCGATATGGCAAATTGCAGACACAAGACAAACACTCTGGCCAGTGGAGATCCCAAAAGGTTCCACCTGTCGTCTTCCTCGTCATCCATACAATCTCCTGAACGCTGTGCAAGTGACTTTGGGTTCCCACAGATTGTGTAAAGCTCTGTGCCATCAGCGGTTGCGCAATAATAGGTCCTCTTGGAATCTTGTGGATTGCTGATGCTGGAAACCAACCAGTCTGCAAGTCTCCCTCCTTGCAAGGGCGCTGATTCTTGGAGCGCCACTTGGCTATTGCATTTGTATGGCATTGCTGGCCTTGTGCCCACCGCACCAACCATCAGATGATTCTTCCAGTACCTGTGAAAATGTGTTTGCTTTCCAGCATCTTTTAATGATTTTAATGCTTGTCCTGGACAGCTCACCGTTGAAGGTTGCTTTTTTCAAACTTTGGGCCCACACCCAAACGATCTCGCCGGGACTCAATGGCAACTGTCCATCTTGCTCCTCAATCAAAGAGGTTTGCCCAGCAACAAGCTCGTCTGAGACTGCACCGAAGTGAATCAGGCAAAATTGACTCACATTGAAGTGCTCAAGTATTCCTATGTGCATAGATGAACATGGGCAATGTTCAATTTTCCTGTGTCAATTGATTACATTGGTTGGTTAATAGGGATTGCAAGAATGGATCATGTAAAATCCCCTAAAATCATCAACCACCAGGATTTTGAAGACTGCTACCGCTGTGTTTGTGTCTGTGTATATCTGTTTGTGCTATGTGTCTGCTGTGCATTCGAATTAGTAGTTTTTGATAGTTTTTGTGTCCAGCTTCCTAAGGTCCACACCCCTTGCGGAACATACCTGCGATAAGTGTCTCTCTCCCATCCTGTGTCTTTTCAATAAATCTTCCAAGCAAGCATGGTCTTCAATTTAGAATGAAAGCAGCACTTGAGCTGGTCTGCTGGTTGTGAACAACAGCTATAATAGCTATGTTTCTACAGACTCGGAACATCTTGGAACTAAAACTTTGCAAAAGGCTTGATGGGCAGCTCGAATCTGTGAATGGTGCTTGATTGGACGCAGTGATGAAGCTGCTATTTGGTTGACTAGCGTTCGACTCAGGGGCAGGACAGCTATATTTCATGAGTCTCTTGACAGAATCTCTTGTTTGGTTTTGGTGTCCCCAAGTT